CATATAGCAAGATCGAGCGAATTGCCGCTATATAGATACAGATTTACATTCTTTATAGTGATTTCACGACGGTTCCATAAAGACTTCATCAACCGGAAAAGTATTTCTAACTGTCGTTATTCTGGTTACAATTTCATCCTTTGCCTGGCCATTTGGGATTGGAGTGGATCCAAGGTATTTAAAGTCAAGCACTTCTTCAACCGGCGATGAATTGATAAAAATAGTTATTTATCAGTATTTTGTATATAAGACGAAAACACTTTCGTTAATTTACATTAATTTTTAGTAAGTACAATTCTGGTTGCAGTTGTTGACATATTGTTTAATATTGTTTGCATTTCCTCATAATTGTCAGCAAAAAGGACTATATCATCAGCGTATTTCTGTGATTTCTGTGATGCTATGTTCTAAACTGATTTGCACACCTCTTGAATGTCGACAAGCGATGCCCATTATCTAATCTATCGCATAGTTGAATATTGTGGAGGAAAGGACGTAGCCTGACGGACCCAGTTTTTATTTCGAAGCAATCTTCCCCATATACACAGACCTGTGCCAGGATATGCTGATAAAATGCTTTATGAGCCGAATGATCTTCTCTGGAACACCGTCACATTCCATCACTTCCCAGATTGTTGCTCTATCAATCGAATTGAAAGCAGCTGCAAAATCGATTAAAACAAGTGACGGTGGATTGCTAATATTTGAAGCAATGTTCCAGTACCTTTCTCAGATATCGCTTAAATATCTGGTTAGCACAATCGCGTCCCAGTCTAAATCCAGCTTGGTTAGGACGTATTCTACCATCTTATTGCCATGAGTCCATTTAGCAGAAGGGAAGCGAAAATTTTTCCGGAGATGTCCAGTAGGCTGATTCCTTGGTAATTGTCGCAGTATGTCCTGTCACCTTTCTTAGGAATTGGAAGCAGAATTGTTTTGCTCCAGTCTTCTGGTACTATTTCTTTTTGCCATACCATAGAATACATTTGAGTTATGAACGATGATGGAGTTCTATCCGAAGACCACTTTCTCCCGGAATTTTATTGAACTTAAGCTTATGTATTACAGAGATTATTTCCTCTTCTGTTGGCGGTTCACAATTGCAAACGTAAGGCTCGATAAGCGATTCAGTTATATTCGGGATAACAGATGGTGCATCGCGGTTAAGTTTGACCTCAAAAATTCTTTCCATCTTATGAGACGATTCTTAATAGCCTTAACAGGCACCCCATTAATATTCCATATCGTTTCACTGGGCCCCATCTCGAGTTATAATTGCTTTGCGGGGAAAGCGAAACAGTTTCCTATTATCACCTGTCCGATCCGTCCTCTCCATTCTTAAGGCCATATCACTCCAATAGCGATTTCTATCCCGCCATGCTGCTGTAAATTTAATTCTTCGAAACACCCAATAGTCAGGATCTCTTGAAATTCGAGCGTTGGTACATTTTTCAGAAAGTTGGACAGCTCCTTCCGACAGCCAATTTGCACACTTCCTACTAGTATATTCTAGTATGGCTGAGTGGCTTTGTAAGCATGTCTTTAGTTGGAACCAGTATTCATTCGCGTTCCAGAGATGTCACTGACGTTCATTTCACTGAGATGTTTCAATAATGCGGTTCAAAATGCGCTCATCGTTCCTGGATCTTTTAATTTGAGATAGTTGAAAGACCTTGGGATACGTTTCTTACAACTTGTCAATTTTTTAAGAATTTTGGCTCGAACCATAACATGTTCTGATCCATGGCAGTTACCAATTTCAGCACCCTGATAAGAACGATTATCAAGTACAGAACTTTTCCAGCGGTGATTGACCAATATATAGTCAATCTGATTAGAATATTGGTTATCCGGAGAGTTCCACGCGACTAGATATTTCCTCCGGTGTCGAAAGCATCAGGATTACAGAACAACCAAGAGAATAACCTTAAAAAGTACCGAAATTCTAATTCGGCAATACATCAAAATTTAATCTTGATTTCTATTTTTTCTGATAGATTTCTCATTAGATTTCAAGAAAATATTTCCATATTTATGATTGTGCTTGACGAGTGCATAACATGTAACACATTTTTTTGTTAAAAGAACCATTATAGTATAAATGGAATTATAATGAAACTACGGAAAAAACATTTTGATTTCTGATAAAGCAATTTAGATGTAATAATATAATATAGAATTCCATAAAATGTTAACTGGATTAAGAAATGAATAGATATTTGTATTTATTTATAATTTTATCAAACAAAATAAATCGCTAGTTGAAGTGCGAAAGTGGAAAGGTTATTATTGAATAAATCCATTCGGTGAATATCCTTTAATTTTCAATTAACGATCTCTTCAGAATTATAGAATAATAGGTTTTAACGACCATCGAATAAATCCTACAAATATTCAAAAATTTCAAGAAGAAAAATCGGCAAACAACCGATTCATTTAAGAAAAACTGAAAATAAAATGAAGCAGCTAGCGGAAAGCTGCAGGAGATTTAGATTTACAAAAGTTCCTGGCAAGTCTATGCATTATTTCTGGATATAAAACATGTTCGACTTTTTTGATTCGATTGTGAAGATTCTCCTCATCGTCGTTTTCAAGTATTTCAACCGATCTCTGTGCAATTATTCGTCCTGAATCAATTGCCTCCTAAATTTCCCAATTACAGAAAGACTCGAAGAGAGTTGTAAATTTTGAAAACGCTTCTTATAGGCATAATTTTAGTTTATTGCGAATAATTAGAGAATCATATCTGTTTAATAATTTTGAATTTTATTGGGAACGGCTCATGCTAGTATCAAACCAGCACTGGTGTGATGATTATTAAATATTATGAATAAATGAATAATGTTTAGTAAAATATATATATATATTTATATAATGAACATAATGGGCATCCACTGAATATTGAACATCCGTAATGGAGACCAAAGCACTTGGTTTTTATCCTTGTGCAAGCTTTTGTGCGACATGGCCAACTGAACAATGAATCCTTCTTGCATTCTTTGATCGTCGATCTGCAATGTTTTCTGGTCGTCGATTTTAAAATCAAATGTCGTTGCGACAATTGAGTCTGTCATAATTTATAATTTGTAGATTGATCGGATGTTTTCTTCGTCTTGCACCACTGCTGATTCAGCTGGCTCCACAGGTTTCATATGTCCAGATTAGAGATCCAGATCGTTCGATTTATCGATTCGCTTTTATCGATTACTGGAAGATTAACTAACACAGGCATTAGGCATTTTATAAAATATTCTATTCATCCACAATTTTTTAATTGTATTATAATGAATAAGAAATTGTTATAAATAACCAGCCGTCTAAAAACTGGCAATTTAACTGAACTGCAGTTTTATATTCGTCATGTTCGATTCTTTTTATTCATCATTTCCAGTTTGGCCTGCTGTACTGGCTGCCGGAATGAGGCTCCTTCGCCAGAGAAGCCTCTGGGAGATGGAATTACAAGTTGGTTCCTAACATCGCGTCCGTGATGCGACTGTTTTTGCTTAGCTTATTCGTAATATTGGTGAATATTTAGAAAAAAAGATTATAATTTTGATTCAGAGTTTTTTCGCTACTTTCAAGTGGAAACTTATTAACTTATAGGATAGAAACTGTGAAATGAAGCGGACTGTCAGATATTTTGCCTCTTACTTATTTGAATCAGGCGTTACCTTAAATGAAGCTCTATTTTATAGGACTAAAGGCATTAACTACCAAAAAGCAAACCTGGTTGACCGCTACACACCCGCCCACATATCTATTTATAACTGAGTGTATGGCCTACGTTAAAACTTAGAGATAAGCAAGCCAAGTCGGAGGTGGTGAACAGCTTTCCAGTGGATGCGTGTCATGCTGCCGTGCTTGCAGCATTAATTCAGGAAATTTATATCACAACTACTGGCATATTTCTTTCTTTCACATTGATTTATAAAATTTCGACATTTACCTATAATCAGAAATATTACGTTAAATTTTTTGCAACAAAGCCAATGAGTAGTGGCCATTGCACACCAATTTGGCTTTTCCCGCTGGCTATTAAGTGTGATTAGATTAGAAATTTTTGCCAGAGTCGCTTGGCGAAGTACAGTTTGTCGGCACCACCTGCATTTTTTGGTGACAGGTGTTGAAGCGAGGTCTTTGCCTCTGACACCTATTAGCAATTATTGTCCACACCACTACTCAATCCCTCTCATGGTTAATAGGAACTTTTCATTCATTTCATAATCAAGCAGAAAACATTAGCGATCATGGATTTACTGCGTTTCAACTGCATTTTCCTCCCACGCTTATGTCTCCGCATTCATATTCTCTCGCTCTTTCTTCACGTAAATATTTTCACGCACTCGTCTTTTGATCCCAATAACGAATCATTTTCACTTGCTTCCTTATATAACTGAAATAACATGAAAGGCAGAATGTCTAAAGCAATAAAATACATAAGCAAAAGAAAGAAAGAATTATGCAATTCGTTGGATATAGAATCATTGATTAGCTCAACGACGACATCGGACCGGTCAAGCACAACGTTGGCGACGAATACGGCGAACGGATTGCCGATGATGGCGAATTGTTTATGTTGTTGTTGTTGGCCTGCGTACCGTTGTTGCTTATCATTATCACTTATTGATATGATAATTACAGCGGCGCTATACTATCGTTCAGCTGACTTATTCATGCAGAATTTCTATCACTTGTTAGTTTTTTTATCATTATTTTAAACGAAATTGCATTCATCGATCGATGAGAGAAAGTAAGTTGTTTTGTTTATCGATGAGTTGCTGTACTGTCAGATAAATGTACTGCAAGTTTGGATAAAAATCCCACTTTGTTGAAGTGAATAAGTTCATCATTAAAAGTAAAATCCTGTTGATTTTCGAGATCCACGTACACTTCCGTTATTAAGTGGAAAAGCTATTATTTGAGTAATCGCTGCGATATTAACAAAAGCAGAAATGCTGAGTGCTTTAAAAAAATTTGGTCGATGTTGATCATATGATATGATAAAACTGATAAAAAGTAAAATACTTTTGAACATTTGAACGAATTTCAGGGATATTTTTGACATTTCAGTATTAGTGGTACTTACCGGTTTTCTAATTTGTGAAATCCTTGCGACGATTACTTTAATATTATCGTATAAAAAGAGAATTCAGCGATACGTTTTCCCACGAATTACTCTTCTTCTCGGACAATTTGTTACAATAACGATTATTTGTATAATATTAATCGCTTATTTTGGGGGGTTTTCACCTGCCATCAATGAATTTATTCTTAATATTTATGAGGTTTTTACTTTCTTTTTCATTAAATCTCTTCCTATTATTTTTAGTAGAAATTAGAGAGTTGTTTAAGTCGATATTTTTTAGACTAAAATTTCGAAATTTCGGTTAGCCTTGGAAGAATTTTATTTTAGAAAATAGAAGAGGAAAAGTGGTGCGCACTATTAAGAAGGAATCCATATCTTAGAAGACTTTCTCCTCGTAATACTATCTGTAATCTTCGAATTTTCAGTACTGGTCTGGCGATGACCTAGCGAAATATGACCGGCAGCATTTCGTAAATGATCTGATGATGTATGCGGGAGGTCTTTTTGTTCTCCTTCTCATTTTTGATATATATATCATATTCGAACTTTACATCACTCGGAAATACTATATATCACTGAATTCGCCTCCTGGTTTTGTACCAGTTAGTGAAAAAGATTTATCTTGTGATTATAAAATAGAAAAGAATTGTGGCAAACCAGTGGTGGTGTCACGTCCACCACCGTACAATCCAAATTATTCTGGTCCATAAATCAAATAAACTAAGCCAAACAAAAATTCTTGAGTTTTTAAATTCATTTTATTACTCAATTCAATATTGAATTTTATATTACATGATAATAAATGTGATCTCATATAAGGAAAATTTTTTCAAAATATCGCCAACTATTAGGTTATGGTGAGTTTTCAGCGATATTTGTATGATCCTTTTTAACGATTATATGCAGTTTTGGTTTTTATTGTATTATTATACAATTTTATTTGAAAAGAATATCTTACAACAATTATGTGCTTCAGAATTACAAATTTCGAGTTCGCGAAATTTGGGGTGTGTGGTGACCGATGTGTTTTTGGGAAATGAGGCTATAAATTTTATGAAATCATCCTTAAAATTCCTTAAAATTTAACCTTTAAGTCACATTTACTGTGCTCTTCATTTCCTACTTTTTGTTTCAAAAATAAATTGTATTATTGTTCAATTTTATCTGCTGAAAATTCGCTTTGTTTTCGAATAAAAAATAATTACTAAAATATCAGGCAATAAAAATTTAGTAAATGTAACATGTAAATGTAGTAAATGTAACATTTTGTTCTAACAAACAACATGATTAATCAATCAATCAATCTGAAATCCATGTTCAAGAAAAATATGACCATTATAAATCACTGAGATTACACTGGTCCAGGAAATATAGAAAATTTACCAGAAGCGAGCATATCAGACGATAAATTAAGCGGATTGAGATGTAGCATAACAGCATCATTAAGATTGCGTATATTATAAGCTTCATAATCATCCAATTTTTTAAGCTCTAAATCTCTGAACATTCCTAACAAAATGCGACGGATATTTTCATATTTGTCATCATCTATTTCCTTTTCAATTTCTTCAAGTATTTGCACAATTAAAGCAGCCTCTGAAAATTTTAAGATTTTTAAAATTCTTACCTAGAAAAATTTTCCTATTTTCTTCAGTAAATGCTTTTTTTCACATTTAAATTTTTTTTCTCACCATTACTGGTCAAACTCGCTCCATTAGCTTGTCGCATTGGGCAACATGCCAGGGAGTCCCTTGGTGATAGAAATACAGGTGAGTCGCCAGCATCACCCGTATTTCTGTACAGGTTTATCCCTGCGGGGAATCAGCATCGGCGCTCCCGATTGAGCAACAACCCACTGAGCCATTCTATCCCTCATACTTAAATATATAGCTCAAAATCTATAATTAAATATTTATCAAAGAAATGCAATTTATTTCATTAAATTTATAACAATCCTAATTTTTATCTTTGTTTTAAGATAAACAAGATTAGAAGTTTTTGCTAAGGAGTTTTTTTTAGGAATAGAAGATACGATTTTCCAATAGCAGATTTATTCCTGTTAGACGGAAGAATTCTGATGGATGTGATCTAAGAAATCCAGAAATCCTCGATTTTTCTCTTTAATAAACAAATAAAAAAGTTTAAAAAAAGAGAAATTTCAAAGTATTTTTACGAAAATAAAACTAAATTGGAAGACTTACCGTTACTTTTCGGTTCAATAAATCGCTTTTGCAATAATAAATTTTGTAAAATTCGATAGAAAATTGAAAAATCTATAATACCGATATTTTTTCTCATTGAACTCGCACTATCGCAAAGTTTTAAAAGCTTTCGCGATGTAGAAATCGGTCGATAAGAAATTTCATTAGACAAATATTCAGCTAAAGCATTCATTGTTTCATCAGAAATTTCACGCTTTTCGAATTGTATTGCTTGCAAAGCATCAATCCATTTTTTTTTTTCATCCGATTTTGTTGGTGATTGTTCAACATTTTCCGACCATATTTTATTTTGTGTTTTATTGCGAAAGAATCGACGTTCTTGCGCCATTTCTCTTAATTCTTTTAATTTTGTATGGATTTCGATTAATGATCGGCTTGACAAATTTTTTTCTAAATATAGCGGCCAACAATCAAATTCATACCTACAATAAATTATAAAGTGAATTTAATTTTTTGGTTAGAAATATATTAAATTAAAAATTAAATATTGGTTTAAGAACTGGATTAACAAATTAGAATAAATTAAATAATTCAGTGTATAGTATAAAAGATCTTGAAGACTGATGATGTAGTCTTTTTTGCTGACAGTTATGGCGAAATGCAAATAATGTTAAACAACGTGTCAGCAACTGCAAGGAGAATTGGACTGTGGGTCAACTGATTGAAGAGCTGTAAAAAAAACGAAAGCCTTTTCGTGTTATATACCAAAAGCTAATAAAATACCTATTTCTATCAATTCAATTGCCGATTGAGGAAATACCCGATTCTTGAATCTACTCTAATATCGAATGGCCAGGCAAAAGACGATGTCGCAACCCGGATTACGGCAGTTAAAAATGTTTCTCCAGTTTACAAAACTTTTATGGAACCATCGTAAAATCACCACAAAAACGAAAGTCCGCATCTATATAGTCGTTCGATCTTGCTATATGGCTCTGAGATAATAAGAGTAAAGAGTAAGAATATCTACCTTTGACCACTCATAACTAAAGTATATTTTATAGGTCCGTCGAACGGATAAAATATTACAAGATCACATCCACCTTCGTTTAAATACAACTTGCCACTTGCATTAACAATACCATCAAAAGCGTCGCTGATTGGGACACGTTCTTCGCCGTAACCACAAAAATTGATACATATTTCGTTAAACTCTGTATTGGGTAGTGTCAAAAGCGAGGTGGGCCAATCAAGACCTGGCCTTACACGGTCAGGAAAAATTTTGAACGTATAGATGAACCAGCAATATATGGATTTGAACGATGGAAAAAGGAATGGCTTTTATTACAACGGCGACGACGGCATCAGATCATAGCTAGCCAGATTAACCAGTAATGGTGAAAGTTAGAAGAAAATAAAAAATAAATAAGATTTATAAATCAGTTTAAATTAAAAATTAGAATAAAATGAAATAAAAAATTTTGCAGACAAATTAAAGAAATTTCAGCGATTTTAAATTTTAAATGCAATAAATTTAATCGACTTGTTGAGACAATCGAAAAGAATTCCTAATTCATAGGACGTCCAATCTTCATTATCAATATGAGCTCTTTTCTCAACTGTCTTCTAAAAATTTCCATATAACAATAATCACATTAAATTTTTTAAAAATGTTATATGAAAGAGAAAGAATAAATAAATTTTTAATTTACTGAAAACTATTAAGAAAATCATTTAATTAAACAAAATTAAATTAAATGTCAAATAAAACGAAAAATTCAAAAGAAAAAAGAAAAACTTCAATTTTAACAACTAAAAAAAATTAGACAAAACCTTCGTAGAAATTTTATGAATTTCATTTTTACCCATATTGTAGGCAGCTGCTAATTGCTTTTCACCTAAAACTATTTAAAAAATCATTTCTATTTATGATTAATATTTCTATTACTTCTAGATTTCGCTCAAAATGACTCTGGATTCCTTATCAGTCACATTTCAAAATCTGAACGGTGTTCGGAAGGACATTGACCTTGAATTCGACGATAGAGGTGATGCTCGGGTCATTTACTTTTTATAACTAATTGCTTTTCACCTAAAACACTTCCTTTTTCCAATAAGTTTGTGGAAAATCAAAAATTATCAATTAAATCAAGAAAAAGGAAAGAATATAAATATAATTATAAATACAATTAATTGCATTGCAAAAATATTCAGAAATCTTCTCCAAAGATAAATATAAATCTCAGAAAAAAAGACAAAATGGTGGGAAATTTAAAAAAACAAACTTTTTGAAGCTCGCTGTTTGGTGGATTTGCACGCTGGTGACATTCTTTTAGATGTTCGCTTCAATGCTCATTTTTATCTCAACAAAACTGAATTAAAAGTCCGAGCAATAATGGCTTTAATATCGACCGTGCGTAGGGCCTTGCTTCAACGTGTCATATAGCAGCTGAAAATAGATCGGTGCTGTCAAAAACTAATGGCAAAAGCGCAAATATCCGCGAATACTCCACAACTTACCAACTCCAGCAGCACAATGAGATTCGTTTTCTGTGCCAAAAATTGATGCGTCGATTAACTCGATCGATTTCGAAATAAACTAGTCACCGCAGTTATTTATTTATGCAACCTAAAATTACTGAAATTAATGCGCATAAGTTTGTCGTCGATTAAGTTTACAGCATTGGCCAGCGGCGAGGAATTTTCGCCAGGAAGCCACTTACACGCTGGAATATAAGCGAACTGCCACCGCCATCGCTATTTTTAAACTAACAACCCCTTCTTTTTGAAAATTAATTATTTAAATCATTAATTAATCCTAAAAAAATTATTTTTGATGCAATGACCTAAATAATTAAAGCTGCCGAACAGTAGCTTTATCTTTCAGCTTCGGCTTCAGATTTTTTGAATTTGGATTGGTCCTTTTTTAGCTCTAAGAATTAAGTTGATTTGAGATTAAGAAGATGGTCCTCCACGTTTTTTACGTGCTTCGTGTTGCGTGCTTTCGTGCAACTGCAAATTTATAGCTTTTTATGGTGGTGCCTATGTGTTTGCAATGGATACTGAATACGGATACCGAAAGTGCATTTTAGAAAATTCTAAGCAAAAAACAGTGTATCAAAAGATTTGTACTTATGATGGTGCACATTTAAGGTATATTCTGAATATTTTAAAATGTTTTGTCCCCTTCATTGGGTTCCAAATATTGGCGAATATACGAATCTACCAAAAGATAACAGAGGGGGCTGAAGAGAAACTGTAGAGAAATTACATTACAGCTCATACTTTTAGTGCTTTTTGTACTCAAATTATACTTTCAGTGAGTAAAATTAGCAGATATTTAAAGTTTTATTTTGCAGAAATGATCGGAGAACTGAAATATTCATATCCGTGATAATTTTCATAAAAAAATAAAAATGGTAAATAACTGAAAAAATAATCTGAAACATAATTAATGAATCTTTTAAATGAAATGAAAAAAGCTGAAAAGTGGAATTCTGTGTGGTTTTTTTGCATCTCATTTACTATATTTTTCTTATTTTTTATTTTTTTATAAATTTTATTTTAAATTTAATTTTTTAATTTTTAAATTTTTATAAAATTATAAAATTCTTTTTTGTTTCGCTGAAATCTATCAAATTCGATATTCGTTTTGCTTAGCGATTGCTTTATTCGAATTAATTTGAATTTTTCGTCTGTTTGTTATTTTAAATATTCATTTCATCGAATATTTTCAGATTAGCAATAAAAAAGTCGTCCTTACAGAAAAAAGCGAAAAATTTACAAGGTGAAAGTTGGCCGAGTCGTTGCGTATTGGTTAGGCGTCAACTTGGTTCGGTCGTTATGTCTTAACGGAAGTAAAGTTTACCATTAAAAGTTAAATTAGGGTGATGATGGAGAACCACCCGTAATTTTATCCTCAGGTGATTCTGGCAAGAGATTGCCCAAAAATCAATGAAACCAGCCAAGTCAGAGATAGTTCGGGTTGCAAGAAGAAAAGATTATAAAAAAATTATAAAATCAGCTATATATAAAGAAATATTTTTCATTTTTTCTGATACTTTACTGTTTCCTAATTCATTTGTTTAATTTATTTTGAGACCGGAATATGCGATTATTTTAATTATTAGATTGATTACTTTTATTTAAAAAATTTCAATAGGAATGTACGAATTCATTTATAAACTTTTAAGCAATATAGCATTCTGATTCATTCTATTCATGTTGCATTTTCACCATGATCATTAGAATGACGCTTTATTTTTTTTCATTTTTTTCATTTTCATGGGAAGAGGGACAGGATAGCCAACTGGATCGGATTGAGAGACGAGGATTTAAACAATGCTCCGGACAGGAATAAACTTGCCATTAAAAAATCCAAGTTGTATTGTTGATCCGCCTGTATCTCTTTTGCCATAATAAAAATTTCTAACTAACAGCTTTATTAAAAGCTAGCGAATTAGGACCAATTCTGCAAGAAAACTGTAGAATTTTCACTTTCAATCTTTTTTGCCAACATCCATTAAAGCTTAGCAAATAGCTACTGGTATTAGTTCTTATTATGGGCAGCGAAGAAACGGTCTAACAAATCTACAGATGGGTGAGACTTTGCGACGATATTATTATGCAGATTTTATTTGAAGTTAGGTGCAATCAAGATTTGATGGGCTCACAATTTATTAGGTTAGAATGATCAAAGATGGATAACTTCATGGTTAGATAAAAGATGGAAATATGTTTCTTATCTTCGGTTCGCTCTGGCCATGTTTCGTAGCCATATAACAAGATATTATGAGGAGTAAAATGGTTGTTGCTCAGTTCAGAACACTGATGCTTAGGTTCTATTTCCCGCAATAGTGAATCTGTCCAAAAATCCCTGTAATGCTGGCAACTATACTTCTGTCGATAAGAGCCTCCGTGGCATATTTGTCCAGTGCGACAAGCCAGCGGAGCGAATCTAACCATTAATGGTGAGAGTTGTTTTAAAAAAAAAAGGAGATATTAAAGATGCCAAATTTCATTTTGTATATAGCACTTAAGCAATTTATCAGTTAATATAATAAATGAAATTATTGGTTGGCTATTTTGATTTTGTGATTACGTTGTTTTGTTTATCAGTTTAACAATCTGGCAGTCTATTTTTTATTGTCAGCGATCACCAGTAAATTTATCATCTATTTGATGCAAGAAAATCATTGTTTACTAATCATATTAATGGTATTAATGCACAACAATTTAACACTTTATTGTTTATTGGTTCTACATAATGCGAAAAGTGAAGCACTGTGGATAAGACTTACTTTGTGTTGGAATCTTATTAGCATTACATTTTTCTTGCTACCATGGAATGGTTTTAAGCCTGAGTTTTCTACATGATTTGCTTATCATCCCATATTAACCTGTCTTTATATGGAGTGTGTTCATAGTTTTTTTGTAGTTTATTCTTTCTTTTTGAAGAACTTATTTTTTTGTTCACATTTATGTTGGATTCGAGAAATATTCAACATTTCCACCAAATTTGTATTTCATATTTCATTTTTTTGAAATTGTATTGGGACCATTGAATGTAATAATGAAAGATAAGAAAATACGAATAGGTTTTTTTCACGAAATAAAGTCAATTGAAAATGTTTGCCTAGGATGGAAAAAAAGGGCGCAAAAAAGATTTTTAGTCTTTTGATTTCGATTTGTAAACTTTTTTTGAATTTTGATTTTTTGAGGATTTTCTGCTAAATGCATGAAAATGAATGCTATATTCACTATTCATCTAAATATTTAGCTCATTTTAAATTGTCGAATTTTACATTTTGCACTGTCGGTTTTTTCAATTCATGCGACGAAAATCTTTTCTTGGTTTCATTGAAGAAGGCGAAATTTTATTTTTTCAGAGGAAACCACAGTCAAATCATTTAGCGCGAATCTTCCTTTTGTTTTCATCGAAAAACGCGAAAACGATAGAAGCGATTAGTTTTAGTAAATCTTTTCGAATTTTATTAAAACTTTAAGTTACCGAAAAAACTAATTGTTTACTGAAGAATTCAATGGATTTTCTCGTTCATTTAACAGTGACCGTTTTATCAAAATTCTCTTTCGTAAGTTGGCACATATTTTTATAAGTTTCTTTATGAGAATTATACAGTTATTCCTTTTTAAATTTCCTTTTTGCCGTTTACTCGCTGTTTTTTTCCACTTTGAGGAGGATGAAAGGGAATTTCTTCGACATCTCCGAGTTGATTGATTGTTGTGTTGTCATCGAATGCTGCTGCTTGCTGCTTTCATATCGATTCTTCTCTTTTCAATTCAATTCAATTTGTTATTCTTGTGAATTTATTCTTTCTTCATTTATTTCCATCTTTGGAAAAATTATTTGTAATGACGAGGATGCAAATGGAAATTCGCATAGTTTTTGGGCGGAAGGAAATTCGTGCCAATGTCGAAGAGCCGAAATCGACTTTAGATGATCAACTGAAATCGCCAGGTTGTTTTGCTATTTTAAAATATCCCGTTTTTTTATTTGGATATTATCGAGAATTTCCAGTTAACCTTTTAGTAATTAAAAGGAAGGTGAAAAAATTTATTTTCTTTAATTCAGTTGAAAAACTTAATAGTTTTTTTACTTTTAAAGGTTTTCAAAGTTTTCACTTAGCGATTTTGAAAAAAATTGGAATTTCATCGTTCTAATATAATATAAGAAATGTTACTATTCTTCATTCTTCCGAATTTTTCGAGCATCACCTGTTTATGCGACAGTCGCACTGGTAATTTTTAGGACCTAATTTTGTCGGCAGTTTAGCTCATCGATATTGGTCATAATTGAATTCACCTCCTCATTGATATTCTTTGTAACCTTACCTCGATTCTTCATTATCATTGCTGTAAAATGGAGTTTAATTGAGCCCCATGTAGTTCTGAATAGTTCTGAACTGTTATTCAAAAAAGCAAGGTTTTTACTTTTAATCGTTTTGAATCATTTTGTCTTAAACTTCAATTCCATCTTTGATTTTAAATTTAATTCAAGTCTCTAATAAAATGATAAAATTAAATTAACCAATTTTATTTGACCGCTCCATGATTTTTTTATAATTCTCTTAATCTTAAATATTTTATCAAATTTTGAAGACTAATGGGTTTATTTGTTTATCCTTTTTTTTTTCTTTTTCAACTTATTTTCATTTTTGTTATTTATAAATTTTCATTAAATTTTTCATTATTATATTTCATTAATGTATGCAATTAGTATTACGATTTCTGAGAATTAATTTAGTTCAAAATATTATGCTAAAATCTATTAATGATAATAGATTCCCATTCATAAAAAAGGAACCCTTCTAATTATAGATCTATTAGCCTAGCATGCGTTGGTAGCAAGGTGCTCGAAAGGTTGATTTGGTTACTTATCTTGATGCCAATAATTTTATATCCCCTTATCAGCATGACTCTTACACAAAAAATCCACTTCTTTACAAATATTGGCAAATCTTTCTTGCATCAATTGACAATGATAAAATAGTATTGTGTACCTAAATTTGGTTAAAGCTTTTGATACTGTTTCCTATAGCAAATTAATGATCACTCTTAATAGTTATGGCATTACAGGGTATCAGATTACATAAAAGATCGTCACCAAGCCGTACGCATCAATGATACTCTCTCTGATACAACACCTGTTAAATCTGGTGTTCCCCAAGGTAGTGATATTGCGCCATTGCTTTTTCTATTATATATAAATGATATCACCAATGTGGTACTAAATTCTACTATTTATTTTATGCTGATGATTGTAAAATTTATTATTTTCATGGACAGATAGCCTATTTCCACTGAAGGAGAACCTCAACAGAAACTCCAGAACCCCAGCTGGCTATACGACAGGCAAATTATCCTTTCCTTTCAAAAATGTAGCATTCTTCATATCAATTGTAAAGGTTTCGATTTTTCTAATCTTATTATTAATGGCAATATAATTAGTAGAGTCGCACATATTTCCGATCTTGGAATAATCATGGATGAAAGTATCGATTTCGACCTTCACTGCAGAACCATGGTAACGAAATCCTCAAATGTACCAAATTTTATTTTTCGTTCGTTTAAGAATAAAACTGAAGATTTCCTTATCAAAATGTATAAAGCGTTCGTTCAAAGCCACTTGTACGAAGCCACTTCTTGCCTATACTGCTACATGTTACTCCCAGAGATATCGTAAATCAAGTAAAATAATTGAAGGACTCCAAAAATATTTTATACGGCGCCTCTCTCCTAATTGCAATTTTAATTATAAAAGGAAACAATATAACCTGGATTCTTTGTCAGTTCGTCGTACTAAACAAGATTTTATACTTATAAGATTCTGTATGGTTATGTTATTGTTCAAAATATTGTAATTTTAGGTTAAATTTAAATCCAACAAGAACTAATAGGCTAAAATTACTAAAACCTATGTGTAAAACTAAATTACTAAAACCTATGTGTAAAACTAAACTAAGGACTCAATTTCTTTATTCGCAATATTAATTACTGGAATAAACTACCGAACGATATAGCTTGTGCGCCATCCCTAGCTATCTTGAAAAAAAGAATAGATAATATCTTTTATGATATTATTTAAAAAATTCACATCATGGAGGAAGTGTGAAATCTCGATTTTTTCCATCCGATTATAGTTAATTGTACAATATTATATTATTTTGCAATTTCCTCTTTATTTCATCTTTAAATTGTTTATTTTATTTTATTATTATTACTTTTTGTTTTTGTCATTAATTCTTATTATTTAACTGCTATTTTAACTGTTGTTATTAATATAAGCACATGGCATTTGCGCCCTGCTTGGCTGGTTTTCAATAAATAAATAAATAATGGTAAGGTATTTCAGGAAACGGCTAAAATTAAGGAAGTAAATGGTTATCGATTAAGATATCTCTGCTAGGATAAATCTTAACCAGGGATTCACCTGTGATAAAAATGGAGTTGGGTGACCAGCATCACTCAAAAAGTTTTTCAAATTTTTGTTTTTTGTATATTTTTTAGAGCCCTCTTTTTATGTTTCATTTGCCTATGTTGCGGTATTCATATTCATATAAGGAGACATTTTAGGAAGACTGAATGCTTATTAACTGTTATCAATTCTATTAATGAAATATATTATTTCTTATCAAGAATTCCGTTGTAAATTCAAATTAAAATTTATTTAATGAAATTTAATGAACTTGAAGAATTTAATTTCATCTTAATTTTTTTAAGTTTTGCATTTTTTTAAGTTGTGAAAAAAGGAAAGCAGTAAATTGCGATATTTCCATGTTAATTTTGTTAATTTTTTAAAATCCGTTTTATTATTTTGAAATTTAGCAAAGATGCGGTTAGTTTTGCTCCATGCATTTGTCAATTGTTAATAAATATTTGAATAATAAATAATAATAAATGCTAATGATAATGAATAATAATAAAAATGATATTATTTATTGTAACAAATAATAATTTCAAATTGTTTGGGATTTTTTAATATTCTAATTCTTCCGAAAATTTATTTATCATCGTCCCTGCAATGCTTCACGTGCGAAATGTCACGAAATGCATTAAAAGTTTGATTTTTAGGAAAAAAAATGATTATATTTTAGTGATGGGTTTCTTTCGATTATCAATATACAGTATTATAGCAGCAGTTTTTATATATTCAATGGCTTATGATGTTTTATATATTCCACGAATCGGACATTCATGGTGGATTTATAAATTAACAATGCTCACTATTATTAATTTGGTTGTTATTGGTTTTTTTAGATGAAATTTTTTGTAATTTTTTAGGTCATTTATGAAAATCTGCTTAGGGGAATAGGGGAAGTTATTCTACTGTATTCGTTTGCGTATTTTCCCCTTTTTCTTTTTTCACTAACAATTTAAACTTATAATATTTTTTAATTTCTGAGGAGGGTAAAATGGCTCACCGATTTTTTGCTCTCATTTTGAAATACTTCGACAAGCCAGCAAAGCGAGTTAACCAGAAATTCTCTTTGATTCTCCCCTATGGTCATATTTGTTTCCTTATCAACAGTGGGTTGGTAGGAGGAGCGGAAGAGGTCGCTATGGGGCCGGTTGGAAGTGAAGAAGGTAATTATGTTATTTAGAGGAGGTTTAAATTTGAATTTTGCTATAAGACAGCAAGTTCTCATAATATAATAAAATATATCGAGTTTTCGAGTTTTATTAAAAATTAGTTATTTGAATATTGAGTATGAAAATAGCTGATCAAATAAATAGGCGATGTCAGGAATAGTTTGCAAAATATAATAACTTAATGAAAATATAGTTAAGTATTGTATTGCCAGGAGAAATGTAAACATTTTTAATTGGGATCATTACAAATTACCTTTTTTTTCAGGTTTTACAAACGACATATTACTCTTTGTGTGTTTTATGCGCTTTCTTTGATATGTTGACAGAAAAGAAAGGTGTTGGTCCACATAAAAAACATCCAACTACCCCAAGCTACTGGAGGAATTCTAAACTACACCATATTTGTGATTTTTTATATTACACTGCTGCATTTCCTATTGGAATGGTTGGTTTTACAAAAACATCCTTTGTGTTCTCAATAATTCTATTTATGACTTTTCTAAGGATCGAGCAAATTTTGCTAGAAAGTTACGTGATGATATAAATGGGTGAATCGCCAGCATCAAGATTTTTGAAGAACAGGCTTAATCCTGCGGGACGTAGGGTCTCGCTATCGATGCTCCTCCGATGAGCCACTCTATCTCATTTTGCTTTCACCTTTCGCCGACTTTATCGTCCAACGAAGTATGTTGAAAACCCGAGCCATTTTCGATTCTCGTTGGCAGTTATCTCGCCACTAACCCACCGATGTACCATAATTTATTTGGAAAAAAAACTAACTAATCCTTATTATAAAATCTTTTTGAACAAATTATTGATAATTTTTTCTACTGTATCATTTAAGATTACATGTTTACTGTATTGGAGTCTATATCTCATTGATCCGAAATTGGTAATACCTGACTGGGCAATCTCATTAATTCCATCGTTTCTGAATCAAGTTTCTCACACCGCTCCTATTCCATTTATACTTGTGGATACTTTATTAACTTGCCATCATGCACCTCCGTTACGAACTGGATTTGTTGTATCATTGGCGATCGTATGTATATATTATTTCATGTAAGTTTGGAGTTTAATTTTCAAAATTATTTCAGTTTTACTTTTGTAATCGATGGCTTCTTTTCATTCTTTTCAATTGTTGATAGTTTTTTGCTATCTTATCAGCACTGTGGTTCCTGTGGTCGTGCTTATTTTTCATTTCATCATTTCATACGATTTTCTAGCAATTATTGATTGTTGAAAAATGAGGAAAAAAATTGGAAAAGTTGTCGAAAAACAAATTGTGAGGAAAGAAGGACCATTGTTCCCTATTTCTATTCTTGGTTCTCTTCTATTTTCATTTCATCTTTTATTTAAATATTGCAGGTAAAGATACTGAAGTTTTTGAATTTAAGAAAAATACGAAATTTTTCTTTTTTTTTAGAATTTTCGCTGTATATATAATTGATGGATATTGGATTTATCCTATATTAGGATATCTTTCATTTTGGACAAGGATTTTTTTCCTTGCAGCTTCAGGCTTTGTTTTGTGTATTTTTTATTACATTGGTGATTTACTCAATACAATGTTGTGGGGTATGTTATTTTTCATCTCACACATTTTCTTAAAAGTATTACTGGGAAAGATTCTATAAAGTTATTTTTAAAACTGTTGTTTTTTAATTGGTTCGTTTAAGTTAAGTCCTTTTATTGAGCTTACAATTTGAAAGTATTATTGTAATAAATGATATGATTATTTCCAGGTGATGCTCCTCATTCACGTTCGTCAACGGTTAGAAAGAAAGCACCTTAAGCATTTTTCTCACATCACACTCCATATTTTTTTATTCATTTTAATCATTTTTTTTGAAGCACGAGATTCTTCTTAAATTCAGTTGTGTATTGTTATTAAATTATTGGTTTCAACGCCATGAGCTTTCTTGATATTTTTCTTTAAATGTCTTTTTTTCAGTTTTTTTTTTGCCAGAGAATTCCATTCATCAGGTATATTCTTCATATTTGTTAAACTGATGTATTTCGTTTTTTTCTAATATTTTCTAATGAAAGTCTTATGTATTGGTTTAACAAGTATTTTTCAGTATTGTTCAACGAGGAATGTTCCTTTTTTTCTTTAAATTTCAATTTTGCAGCATATTCAATTTTGCTTGCTTCGAATTTGTTTTTCTTAATTTGTTAAAGTTTCGTAATAAAATCATCTAATTTTTAAAATGTTAAGTGATGTTTGCTGATTATTTTATTCATTTTTTCTTCATAAATTGGACATAATACTTATTCATTTTGCCCACTGTCCATTTGTTCTATAATATTTCATTCTTCAACGTTTTCTGTCAAGAAAATTTGAGCCAAATTGACCATACATGTAAAGTTTATTAAATAATGGATTATTTTATTAATGGATAATTTTGGATTATTGTTCTTTATTTCATTGCTGTGCATCTTCTGATTATATTTAATCTTGGTAACCAGCAGTCATCAATGCATTTTATGTACTTTATGTATTTTTTCTAAAAGAAATAATGAATTCGCAAATTTTTGAGTTGTTGGCATTGCACTCCACCTGTCAGAAGCAGAACCGTTATCATAAACCGAAGCTAGAACTAAGGTAGTGTGATTGTTCGATAGTTTATGCTAAGTTTATTTTAATTGCTTTGATTTTTTCGAATAATTTTGATGTGTTTTCTCCACTAATAGGCAGATTTTTATATGGAATTTTAATAGGCAGATTTTTTAATGAAATGAATTACAAAAAAAGGGAAGGGAAGGTAGAATGTCCAGTGGGATGGTTCTATTCCGTCCTTTTTCTGAATTGTGCCCGGGTTACTACTAAATGCTAAATGCTTAAATGCTAATGCTAAAAGTGCAATGAAACTAGATTCCATCAATAAGTTAATTCTTTTCGGTTGGGCTTTTTTCCACCGAATCTCGAGATCAGATGAATAATAATTGATGAAGTAATATGGAAAAAAAAATAGACAGAATTTTGCCCTCAAAATTAAGTTAGTTAATGAAGAACACTGTAGACGAAAATAAAAAAAAGCAATAAAATTGAAGAAATCCGATTTCCGACAATTTTGATGGAGGAAATATGAAAAATGCTGTGCCAAAAACTGTTATCCAGGTAAACTAACATCATTTATTATTAAATTCGAAATCTGATCAGCTTATTTCGACGAAAAAATTTTTTTAAGGAAATGGGCAAATTTGATGATCCGCAGCAATAATAAATATTTCATTATAGTAAAAATTAAGCGAAATTAAAGGATAAGTTACTAAGAAAGAATATCGGACTAATCAAAACCATATTTAAAGAAAATAAGGAGATAATTCAGTCAATAGGGGAGCCAATCTTCAAAAAAAGCGGAGGCAAAAGTAATATTCATTGATAAACACTGACACAATATGAAACGTAATATCAAATACTAGTTTTATTCATAAATCAGTAGAACATTTATGACAAATTAACAACAGTGAGAAGTTATCAGTTATCAACTGTGTAGTTGGATGGTACTTTACGAATTACTACAGATTTTGTGATTCTTATTTATAAATCCATTGTAAAAAAAGTAGAGGAATTGACAAAAGGAATAACCATGGCATTGTCATCATGAAACTATTTGAACCTTTTTTCATTTCTTCCTTGAACGGACAGAAATGAAAGATGTGGGACGCTACACGGTAGAATTTTCTCTTCAAACTTGGGTAATTAAGCCATATAAGCGAAAACAAAAGAAAAAGAAAAAATGCAGAAAACTAAACTAAAAGATTAAAAACTACCAATAAAATAAATAAGGAGAAAAATTTGGATATGAATTCAAACTAATTTGATCAATATAATTAAAAGCAAAAAAGTATTAAAGCTGATTGTTTGAGACCGTCGCGCGATCCCTAAGCACCTACGATGAGAATTATTTGCCTGGCAGGTATGGCTGGTTTGACGAACAAATTGATTCAAAGTCGAGGTGATTGCACTTCCGGAAACTGATTATAAGTGATTAAGAAATTGACCTCCATTAAGAAGTGGCATTAAAATTTTAATAAAAATTAAAAGTTTTGATATAAAAATTAATTAAAATAGTGAATAGTGCCTCTGGCGGATCGGACAAATTTAAAGTGATAAATTTAGGAAGAACATCGCATTTCGCGATATTCTCTGTTAAAAATAAATATTTCAAGCATATCAATTTTAAATTATTGGAATTATTGTTGTGTTTTTTTTCGACCAAAAAATTTAGGTTTTTCAAGAAATTTTTGACAATATTCAAATGTATTCAGTTTCAATTTCTCTACGATGAATAAAATTTTACCTGCTGCTTTACAGCGAAAAAGCGATCAACGATTTTGTATAAGTTGATTAGTTTAAATTTTTATGCGCTTTCTTAATTCTTTGTAAATCTTGGAGAACTATTTTCATAATCCACAGAATATCTAAAAACGCCTCAATCAATTTTTTGTATTATTTTTTTCTTAAAGCTTGGTAAATTATTTTGTTATGAGTAAGTTATGAGTAAATATGCATAATGTCCATCTGTGATTAGTTTCCTTCGAGAAGCTATTTGTGGATATGAAAGAAAGTTTTGCCAGGAAATCACTTGGCGATAAAGTCAGATGAATTCTAGCGCTAAGATTTCAATAATAGATTTGCTCATGTAGAACGAGATACGTAACTTGAGCAACAACGATTCGATTACCCTGTCTCTAACAATTGAATTAGTGAATCGAACGCAATGAAGTTTTTTGATAAAATAATTTTCATTAATTTGGCTTAATTAGTTAATTAATAACGAAATAAAGATACAAATCTGATTAATGACAAGTTTCAAAAGAATTTCGAACTGCGATCTGTTTAGCTTCAGCAATACTTACTGATGATCAGAAGTCGAAAATATTAGATGAACATGCATTGATTAAAATTGGCTTAAAAATTTGCAAAATGTGGTCAGTTCCTGCCAAACGGCTCTAATATTCAAAAAATGGTTAGTAAAAAGAGGTATCGAGGTATTTATTTATAAGGATTTTTTTTTCCAGAAATGGAACTGCTATTTAGAGAAAAAGGGGCTAAATTGGTCTTTCTAACATTCCCCATGATGATATTCCGTGATGGTGAGAACCTTCATGTGCGATGGCACAAGTCACGTTCGGTATTTGCTTATTAAAGCTTGTTATGCTCCTAAAGATTTCGATTTTTTCCTGCCTTTTAACCAGCTAAAACAAGCTTAACCAAGCATGAATTGAATTTTAATTATACAATCCATCTTAGATTTAAAAAATAAAATAAGCTTTTTTGACCAGTCGTTTCCCTCATATTCTTATTAAATTAAATAAAATTCTTATTTTCGCTTAATTTAAATTAGTGGCTTCAAGTTTTTGATAATTGGCATAGAATCAAAAAATTTTTTTTCCACCAAAATGTGCTGTAGAGAGGTTCTTCAGCAGAAGCTAGAAAAAAGATGACATAAAATATTAATAAAATATTAAAATACAGACTATGCTCACCTCGGATTCTTCGCAGTCTGTGTAAATATGAATCGGATATCTATTGTTGAAAATGATTAATCAGAAAATTAAGAATTATTTGATTCCTATTTAAAAAATATGAAAACAAATAATATAAGAATAAATAACATATGAAAAATAACATATGAAATGGACTAGTAAATGAACTGTTAACTGAAACTAAAAAATTAATGCGAAAGAATTAATATATGGTTAGCATTGACCTAGACTATCTCTATTTCTTACTAGTTTTCGAGGATGTTGGGCATTTCGCCGGAGAGCTGCAGTGTAGCTATGTAGGTTTTTAATGACAAATTACTGGTTTTGGAGGCATAATCAGAAATTACTAACATCGATAAGACTGAATCTAAGCAATAGCCATTCGGCTATTATAAAAAATAATGAATATATATCTGAAGATGGTATTAGCAAACTCGAATGAACTTAGCTCTGCAGTAGTTAACTGCAATGCACCTGGCGCATTTCCATATATTGCTTTTCATCGGTTGTTACTATAAACTGATATATGTTATTTCTTAAATGAATTCTTCAAATCAAATCAAAGCAATATTTTTAATGCAAACGATCTACCGTTTCAATAGAAATGATAGGCCAAATGTGGTAATGAAGATATATGCAGTAAATATTCGTAATGCCCAGGTGAAGCATTAGGGGTCTACGTGCAAGTGGCAATAAATTTTCAAAAAAAATTCGAAACTGGTGTAGTAGAAACTCCAGCAAATATGGCTGAAAAGAAAACCGGAAACAAGGCATTCCAGATGAGTTCCGCATTGGCCAGATCCACCCTTCCAAATTTAAGGATCGAGAAAGACATCCAAGACGTATCGTTGCAGCAGTGTTAATAAACTTTGACTATTTAGGACAAAAATAATGCCACCATCCGACAAGATGTTATTAATAGGCAATTTGTTAAAGCGAATGTATAAACTGCTAAATTTATAAAGTAGTAGCTTAGATAAATATTGATATTTATTTGGATGTTATGGCTCGTAGTCTAAAAATGAATAAAAATAAATTCTTTCCATGGAATTTGCTTCTTTTCTCCTTTTTTCAAAGGTAAAGGATGCAGAGTTCAACAAAAATAAATGAATTTGAATGAATGAATTTTGAGAAATGGAATTGTTCATTGGAAGAAATGAAGCAAAAAAGCAGATTTAACCGGCATAGACGATGTTTCGTGACGACACTTGGTATTCTTTATTAATTTGGTATTCGAATGTGGTTTGTGGCATAAAAGTGGTTTTAGAGGACCACTATTATTGTAGTATGGAAGTCTGTTTAAAGTTAAATGTATGAGAGGCTCAAAACTGACCATTTCATCAGTATTCAAATCCATCATTAAAAAACAGGAGTAAACCTGCACAAAAATCCGTGTGATGCTAGCGACTCACCTGTATTTCTATCGTCCATGGCATTAACAGTATTTTCAGATGGGAAAAAATTAAAAGCAATTAAGGTATAGCATATATTATAATATCGGTTGTGGGGAAATATTTTATAGTCTTGCACGATATAAAACATATTTATATGCAATTTATTGTTTGTTGCTATTCAAGGTAGAAATTTGCAATAGTTCTTTTGAAACCCCTTTAGTCAATAGGAGAGCAATAATTGTTCTTTTGAAATTAATCTATGGTAGAAAAATTTTCGACGACCAGTGACGACGGCACAAAGTATATGAAACCGATAATCCATGCAAAGTGATCTTGGCTCTGCAATGACCAATCACTTTCAAAATATTTAGCCTAACAGAAGCTTTGTGAAAAACTAGGAGACTCCCATTTTCTATGATTGATTTTATAAAATTCTTTGAAACGATCAACGGAGAATTTTCACGTAAATATTCTGTCAGTGGCTATAACCATTCCATTTTTTTTTTATAATAAAAAGAACATTAATAATAAGTTTCACGATAAATCCACCCCAATGATACTTCCGACATAAATATTTCCGGATTTCATTATAAACGAATAAATAAAGCAAATGGAAATGCCACCATTACCCATTCGAGCCTATAAATTGTTTTATTATAGTACTATTCATTTATTATATCATTATTATATAACATAATTTTGCCACAAAATTTCTTGTTTTTTCAAAATATGAAATTACTTCAAATCTGTCAAATAAGTATTTTCATTTATTATCTAATTGTAAATTTAATAAATATTTTTATTCACAGTCACACTTGCATATTCCGGGAGAACTTTTTTTGGGACTTGACTAGAACTCTTCCAGCGGCAAATGATTAAGATATAATAAATCAATTTGGAGTACTGGTTATCCGAAGATTTCCACGTAATCATTTTCTTCGATGCTGGAAATATGTATTAGTATTATTAGTAAAAAAAAATATCTTTGGCAAAATCCTTAATGAGGAAAGCGTTTTCCACTGGCGCACCAATCACCACGATACCAATTATCGAGTTCACCATGGTGGAATCATGACTTACGCGAGCATTCCAGTCTTCTCCGATTATAACCGTGTCATTTTTCTGTAGATGTTGTTAATAGTTCTGCATAGAAGTTATCGGATCTCCGACAAGCAAGCGATATCCGCACGATATTTAGAAAGAGTGTGGACAGTGATCGCTTGGCTTGCAACGTCTATAAGCGTTCTTCTGACGTTCCATGCTGCTACGGCCAACACCTCACCACATGTGAAATCCTTTTTTCTCTTGACTGATTTCGAGGAATTACCCTGGCTCGCGAACATATCTTATTCTCGGGTATCGTTTTTCTGTGATTGTATTATCGCGTACCACCTGGCGAGGATATCAGAGGATTATGCCATTTCAAAAAGATCAGACCTCTTTAGCAAAGAGTCACTTGGGAACATAGTTATGGATGGGTCCCCAGCAGCCAGATTTTTGATATCATGATAGGTTTGACTCCTGTCAAAGACAAAGACAAAAAGAGCAAAAAAGGTTAAAGAAAGATGAAAAATAAAAAGAAAAAAAGCCTTAAAAATACTTAACATTTCTGCCTTCATTGACTGTTAGTATGAAACACTTTCAACATTTGGGAATAGAAATATAAATGGTTAACCAACACCGAACTAAACGAAAATATACATGCAAATTCATACCAATTATGCTTTGCTATATTTATATAAGAAAAAGGCAAATTTATAAGCAAAATTGAATAAACGAACGAATAAAATAATTTTTTAAAAGTTTATTCTATTCATTTTAAGTATTGCGAAGCGGTTGATTTATTACTAAAATTACAATTACTTTAAAAGTAAAATGAATAAATAGAATATATCAAAATCAGCAAAAGGATTGATTTTCCTCTGCAACAACTTAAAGAAGATATCGAAATGGTAAAGGATTTCCAAACGTCTTACCCTTATAGCCATTGAAACCAGCCGGAGCAGTAATGGCGAGATCTTAGAAGTGTTTTTAGAAGGCCACGCTCTATATATATCACCTTCCTCATTTCTTTCAAATTTTTTCTATAATTTCAACTTAAAATCAACTAATTCTTTTTTTTCATAATCCTTGGCAATTTTTACAAGTTCTGCAAATTCGAATTTCAGATTCCCATATTCCGATACTATTAATTATTGAACTCTTTGCAACAACCACATCGCAGATGAAAATTATAAAATGTATGAAATCTCGTTCCCCGTTTCATATTTTAGGACAAAGTGCAGATCATTTCCCCTAATCGCCAACATTTCATTTCTAATAAGCTGCTCAGATCCATTAAGGAATGGCAAATATATTGCTACTAACTTATTATTATAAATTTTTTTAAATCGAAAACATCGCATTTATTGAACAAATTTTTGACCGTTTCTAATTCCAATATTTCGTACTTATTATCAACCATCGCTTGACTTTGATAATCCAGACTTCTTGCGAATCTTTTGAGAGCAGCAGAAATCGTTTTATGAAAGTATTGATTATAAAGTATAATGCAATGATAATGTAAAGAATATGATGGGATTTGAAGGTCTTAAAAGATAATTTAATGGGACATGAAGAGGCTTTTTACAAAATATCACAGATCTTAGGGAAAAAGATGACTTTTTTTTTTCACATTTGGGCACATTTATATATTAGTCATTTATCGTAGACTGTTTATAAACAACAAACAATTTAAGACCTATCAGTTTTGTTAACGAGGTATTAACAAATAACCAGTTAAAAAATCCACCATAAAATTCAAAATTTTGTTCATTGTACAACACAATTTTATACAATTCTCTGGAAATAAGCTGCAAATGATACCAAATTTCACGAATCAGATCTTTTCAAATGTTTTTTCTTAAGCAAATTTTTTTTCTCGCGTTCGAGTAAACGAAGCTTCTGTCGTTCTCTTCGTTTTTCCTTCCGTTGCTAAATGTAAAATATTATTAAAGCGAATTTCACCTGAATTCCACCTGTTAAAAATTCTTAACTCGATTCTCTCCTAATAAACATAATAAAATTTTATTTTTCATATTTTTCCCAAAAAGTGGATTTTAAATATAACAAAATAACTATGAATTATATCAAAAAATTGCTGTACCGGTGAAGTTGGTAGAAAAAACTTATAAATTTATGAAAAACTTTGGAAATCAAAAATTTGATAAACTTACTTCACGTAAAAAATTATCGACATTTTCAATATCTATACGCGTATCCCATGAATCCATTTCTTCAGCAATACTATCATCGTCAATTTCACCTAATTCATTGGGAGCCTAAAAATTCCATTAAAAATAAGAAATTACAAATTCAAAAGAAAGAAACCAAATGTTAAAAAAAAAATTGTTTGCAGAATTGATTAAGTAATGCAAACCATTAGTTAAAATTAAATGGAATTATCCGAAAAAAATTGGAAACAACTATAGTAAAAATATTTAAAAATATTAAATATCTATCGAAGGGCCTACCAAATTAGACAGAACTTCAGATGCAGAAAGGGCAAAAAGGGTTCAGAGACTGTCTAACACATGTAAGATGAAGGCAGGAAAAGCATACACTGAACGACACAAGCAAACATCGAAGAAAGCGAAGAAAGAATTGCAAGATAATGGAAAAGTTAGTGAATAAGATTATAGTTGTGAGGAAGCTAGAATTTATTGGTGAGGAAATAGGATGCTGGCAGAAAAAAATATAGAGATCTTTTTTTTCAGGATCAATTGCTGATGAAGAAATATAAAAAATAATTTTGAATAATAATAAAAAAATAATTTTACATAAAGCACATAAGTATAATATAATATGGTATTTGTCGAATGAATCATTAATGAGGAAATAACTGGAAAAACTAAGGGAATTTAAAGGGTAAGATATTTCTAAGCTGCACGATTTGATTCCATCTCTGATAGTGATAAAAGCAATTCTTTTTTCCATCATCTATATTGCTGGTCCATCTATACGTTCAAAATCTTTTCTGACTGCGTCAGACCAGGTCCTAATTGGTCCTCCTCGTTTTTGATACTGTCTATCATAAGGCTTAGCATGCAACAAAATATATGTCAACTCTTGTGGCAGGCGATGAAGATCATGCTCCCATGCTCCAACCAGCAAAGGCTTTATGATGGTAATACCAATGCAGGTGATATTTGAGTGGAGATGAATGTAATCATGTGAGATTTATCGTGTAAAATATATATATTTCAAATATGAGTGGAAAATAGCTTCTTAATATCCTCCACTCTTATCGGCAACACAAAATCGAATTACAGCTATATAAATATATTCGTTCTTATAGTGACTTTGCGACTGTTCCACAAAGGCTTCGTCAATCAGAAGAATCAGAAGAATAAGAAGAACGTATCTGAGTAATAGCCTTGCCTTTTGCTTGGCCATTTGCGATTAGAATGGATCCAAAACATTTAAAGTCTGGACATATCTTCAACAGGTTAAGAATTGATAGAAATAGGTATTTTATCAGCTTTTTGTACATATCACGAGAAGACTATTGTTTTTTACATTGATCTAATTCTCGTTGCAGTTATTTTATTTAGCAATATTTATATTCAATCATAACTACTATCAAAAAAGACTACATCATCGTATTTAAGATTTGATATTATCTCTAGACTGAATTTTTTGTATATCTCTTGACGCAGCCTTGATGGACACCAATTCTTTTCCAAAAGAGCTCCCTATATATACATCCACAGATATGTTGATAAAATGCCTTTATGACTCGAATGATATTCTCTGGAACCCGTTACATTCCATCACTCTCCAAAGCGCCATTCTGTCATTGAATTGAAGGTAGCTGCAAAGTCGATTAAACCAGGGTGGGTTGGAGATATTCTAACACCTTTGAAGCAATATTCCAACTCTTTTCTGGTCAACACAATCGCATACCGATCTAAATCCAGCTTGCTGTCTCGTATTTGTATAAGTCTAGGGAAGCAAAAATTTTCCCGGAGACGTTTAGTAGGCCAGTAACTGTCACTTTTCTTGAGGACTGGAACTAAGATTGCTTCACTACAATCATCTAGCATTACTTCTTTCTTCCATACCAGACAGTACATTTATTGAAGATATGTTATGAAGGACGATGAATAACATTTAGAGAGTTCAGTCCAGAGTACAGGAGTTTTATTGGCGAGATTTCCTCTTCTGTTGGCGGTTCGCAGTTGCAAACGTATGTTTCGACGAGCGAATCACTATGTCCAGGTCAATGTGGTTGTTTGGCCTCAAAGAATTTCTTCCATCTTATGAGGCGATCCTTAATAGACTTAAAAGGTACACCATTATTGTCCTTTCATTTCACTACTCGTTCCCCAAGTGTAATTGCTTTATGAAGGCGGAACGAAATAGTTTCCTATTATTGCCTAATCGAGCCATCGCTCCATTTCCAAGGTCATATCACTCCAGTAGTGATTTTCGCCATGCTGCTGTTCTTGTAATTCTTCAAAACAACCGATAATCAAGATATCTTGACACTCGTGCTTTAGCAGCGTTTTCAAACTGGTATTCATCTGCGGTTCCAGAGATATCATTGATATCTTATATCATTAAGTATAATTTCAATAATTCGGTTTGGAATGGGCTCAATGTCCTCGAATTTTCTAATTCGAAATAGTTGAAAGACCTTGGGCTGTTTCTTACAAGTTGCCAGTAGCCAGATCCATGAAGGTTGTCCATTTCTACATCACAATAGAAACGACTGTTTAATATGAAAATCTTCCAATAGCGACTAACTAAAATACAGTCAATCAGTTGGAATGTTGGTTGTCTGAGAATTCCATGTGACTAGATGGCTTTTTCGATTTCGAGGGCATGTAACAAAAACTTCATAATCGTTTAAGGCAATCGGAATCCAGTGCCATATTTAACAACTACAGGATTCGTCGTAACATCAGACTATTCCAGTTTCCCTCGATTATGATCATGCCATATTTCGGTAGAGATTGTTAGCAATTGAAGTTCGGCACCCACTTTTTTATCACGATCATCTGCAGAATATTAGAGCATATACACTGATGACTGAGATATTGCAGAAATTCCCTTAAAGCCAGCATAGGCCATACGATCGTTTATTAATTTCCCTTTCCAGAATCAAAAGCCTTTCCAGAAATAAGAATCGCTACGCCATTTTACTCCAAGTTATCCAAGATAGAACCTTCGCCATAAACAAATGCAAATTTTTTTGTCAAAAAACTTTATAAATTAATTTCTCATCGAAATTTTCGAAATCGCATAAGCACTTACACCTATGGATGCTCCTATTTCATCGAATGTGAATAAATTCTTTCTTAGGCCATCAATGGAATTCGTATTACCAACAAAAGCCTGAAATCAAAAATTATAATTAAAGAAAGACAATCATTCCAAAGACAAAATAAGAAAATAAACAGTAATTTTCTATTTCGATATATTTCTTAATAATGAAACCTTTAAAGTTTTTCTAATCTGAGGTTGCATATCGATGAAAAAATCGACTTCTTGATTGGTTTCACTTGACGCTTCAGCTTTTTTCTTCCCATATTCTTCGATTCGTTGATCTACATCCATAAACTGCTCCTTATTCCATGAATTCCATTGTTCATTCACTAGAATCATCGTGGTTTTATGTCGTAAGCGGTCGTTACTCCACTTCCCTCTCTCTTATAGTGAGTTTTTTTTATATTTTCTAGATAAATAAATGAATATTTCCTCGAACTGAATATATTCCTTGAATATAAATGATAAAATAATTTTTTCACCACAAAACTAAAGGTGGCATTCAAACAACGTATTAAACCTTGTATTGAAGAATGATAAAAAACCAACTAAGATCTGGGTTAGCATGCTTAGAAGAGATTCTAAATGTGCGGACTGCAAGAACAAAGAAATTTAAACAGAGATATCCAAACTCCTTGAAAATTTAGCATTTAAATTTTCTTAAAAATGAATTTCCCGACAGATTTTAAAAATATTCGGAAATTCTTCGCCTTTTTCGAAATGTTTTCAAATAATATTATATAATATTTATAGGAGTATACTGGAAAATAATATATTTCGAAAATAGCTTCTGTTGGTGTCAATATAGCCATACGGCCATTGCTGTTATGCAACTTTGCTACTCATGCTCATAAATTAAACAATGCTAACTCTCACTTTAACCTCCACGAATCTCCCATTAAGTGGGAATAACCGCAAGAAATTTAGCTATCGATGAGTAAAAAAATCGGACACACGTGCTTTGCAATGCTTTTTCTATTAGAGTGAAAAAACCTAACCTCGGAGACAATTCGATTCATCAACAAAGAAAGGTAGGGTCGTCCGATCTAATTCACCGATTTTTTTCCGATTTTTACAGCAGCAAATCGATTTGAAACAGGAAAAAATCAAATTGAAAACTGATAAAATTTTCTTGAAAATAACCTTTGTGTAGAGCATCACATTATTTTTGCTAAAAATATCATCATTGACAAACATAATTCTTAGTGCAGTGCAATGGACCGATGCAATAATGAACTGTTAAAATAAATTCAGAAGCTAGAAAAGGAGACGATTGCGTTTCTGAATTATCGCCCATTTGTGAATAGGTCTTCTCACTTGCAGTCTTTTGCATCTGGGAAAAGCCCTATTCTCAGCAATGCCCGGATTTTTTCGTCTTTCATTCCAAGTTACCGATGGGAGATTAAATAAATTGAAGCGCGTTATAAAACAAAAACCAATTAAAATAAAGCGAAAAATGGAGCAACACCTCTCTTCGCACTTTGTTAGAAGAAAATCGTCGGACTTTTATTCGTCTTTATTTCACAAACGAAAAGTTTCCTTTATCGTAACAAACCAATATTAATACAAAAGCTAAGATAAAGATTGGCGACGTCTCAGTATTTATAACCACCGAATAATATTGAAATACTACTTTATCTTATCTTTATTGCAGTAACCATTTGAAAGATAACATAATTTTACAAATCAAATCATTTATTTCTTCAATAAGCAATCTGTGAATCGGAAATTTTGGCGAAAAATGGAAAACTTTTATTAGGAGAATTGCATGAGTTACACAGATTGAGTTTAAGAGCATAAAAGTATGTATTATGATTTTTGCGCTTCAGTCAATTCTTAATTTTGGTGAAATATCGTAAAACATAAATATTACATAATCCATCTGAATTGTATGCATATGTATTAAACTGAACTTCCTTCCCGACGTTCAAGAATATCATTTTCGATTAGAAATGCAAAAGCATCTTTAAAGCCTTGTTTATAGTAATTACGTAAAAGCTGACAAGATGGTGGGAAAAGAGCTTGAGCTCCACGCATTATATTTCGCAAATTCACCTTAAAATAAAAAATTTCTTACATTGATGTCGACATAGTAATTTTGACTGAACTTATCAAAATTTGAATGCTTTAACTACTAGCTCCGTGGAAAATGCAATGAAAAAATTCTCTCGAGTACAAAAACATTCATTCAAAATTAACCAAAAATTACTAATTCAATACGGTGAAAATTTCAATGAAGGAATATTAAGAAAAAAAAGAACAATAACACCTTAGTTTACTTATTTATTCAAGAAAGAAAAGAAAACAAATAATGCAGTATCCAAGTGCTCATGTTAATAACAATGCCACAAAAATAAGTTATATGAAATAAGTTAAATAAAGTTAAATGAAATGAAATGAAGTGAAATGAAATTAAAAGCCCTACATTCATTTCTTGGTTCCGAAATCGCACTCTCCATTCCACATATGGCATATAAGGATTATTATCACGTGGCGATATCACTGCTCCACCACTGAATGGAGAAACAGTTACCGTTGGTATATCATCAAAAAGTGGTAAATTATTGCTAAATCCACCGTCGATATAAACCTAAAATTAGAAAATTAGAAAATTTCATTCAAATAATTTTAATAAGATCCGTTAGAAAAAAACTGAGAATAATATAAATGTTCAAAATGATACTGAAAACCTCATTATCAATAACTGGTGGTTGTGCCATCATATCGGAACCCATTGAATATAATGGTATGAAGCAACTAGCAGTAATACAACGAACAAGATAATCGCGTGAATTAAATCTCGACAGAATCTTGTTTTCACCACTCTGAAATGAAATGAAAGGACTCAAGAAAATCATTTAAAATAAACAAACATATATAAAAATATTAGTTAAAAAAAGCAATCTAACCAAAAAAACTAGGGATAAGAGGAAAGAATTGTATGATGCGATTAAGGCCAAATCAATACAGGTTCGATTCTCGACTCCTGATTGAAAAAAACTTGTCAATATATGTGTAATACGAGTGATGCAGAGGATTCTCATGCAATTTTCTGGCAAAACTTGTCAATATATGTGTAATACGAGTGATGCAAAGGATTCTCATGCAACTTTCTGGCAATTTTCATATGGCCCCTTAATCAATGGAGTGCTTTTAGAAAATTAAAAATTTTATAACAATCTAAATAAATAACCTCATAAATCCAAAGATATTTTGGATTTCAAAATAACTGAAAATTTTACGAATTTCAACAACTGGCTAAAAATTTACAGCAGAAAAATTTGATAATTTAATAATAATTACTTTGTAATTCGTCACTGAAATAAATAATCGATCTTGTAAACTGGAAACATCAGAAGGAATATGGTCGTCGACAAGACTAATCAGTCGATCATTAAGCGAAAAACCAGGGGTGAATGCACCAAGTGGTAATCCATTTACTTCTTCCGCTAATAAATAAAATTTCTTCAAAGCATCCTACAAATAATTTCACTCAACCATTTGAAAAATAACTACAAATTTTCCAAAGTAACTTAATAATTAATAATTTATAATATTTTACACCTTAATAATTTACATCGACAGAAAAAAAAGAAAACTTGGATTTTATGAGGCGTTAGTAATAAAATTGTAGCAGCGATTGATCCAGCCGAAGAGCCACCACAACGCTTTAATTTACTTAATAAGCGCTGAAAAAATATTTCATCCGAAAATAAAAATTTAATTAATTAACTAACTAAATTAATTCTACATTAATTTAAAATGAAATATGCTCTCAAAAATATAACAGAGATTAATTACTGAATTTTCATCAATCATAACTTCAGTCTCGAAAAAGAAAAGAAATGGAGATTTTTAAAATATAATACCTTCTCACCTTTCCATTAGTACTTAGGCAAGCAAGTACACCAAAGTGATATATGCCTAAAAAACCACATCCACTAAAAGATAATGCCAATTCTGTTGTTTCAGCTGAAAATTCACTGATTCACCAATTTAAAAAAAATTATAATTATAAAAATTATAAAAAATATAAACAATTATAATTATAAAAAAAAAGACTTCTCGTTTATTTGGTATTTAGACCGTAACAAAACTGTTATATTGACAGGCTTTAGGCTATTTTTATTTCTTTCCATAGCAAATTATTGAATAATTCCGTAATTGAAGGATCTCTATATTCTCTGCACAACATTTCTTTTCAACAATTTCTTTTATCTCTAATACAATTTCAAGTTTTTCATTGCCAGATTCACCACGGTTCCACCATTTGCAGCATCGGTAGCTTGGTAGCATGATGGTCGAGAATGATCCAAATCCGGCACCTCGCTTCGTCAATACCGAATGGCAAAAAAGAACCAGAATGGCTCATCAATTTAGTTGTTTGCTGCTGAGTTTGAACGCCGGGTTGTATTGAATTTCTATATCAGAAGTAATCCGTCCTTCAAAAAGGCGAGTACTGCTGGCGACTCATCTATACTTCTATTCCCAAGTGGTTCTCCGGCAAAATGTGTGGTCCAACAAGCGCCGCGAAGCGAGCCTAACCAGCAATGGTGCTCTTGGAAAAAATTACAAACTGAGGATCTTTTTTCACTGCCTCAAGGCTCCACCATTTCATCGCCAATCTAAAGTCGCTTTCAATCCATTAACTTAAAAAAGATATCTACTCAGCATTCCCAACTACACTTCGCATCAGAACCAAACAGGAAAGTGGAGGACACAGTGAAAGAAGAAGATGAACAAACAAATGAGCAAGAATGCCTTTTGGCTTCACTGGCGTCATAAATAAGTGCACGAAAATATTATTTAATGAACGCGATTTTCGAATTCTCAAAAAACTACACTTACCAAAAATTTTTGAACGCATTTTTCCAAAATTATTCTTGAAGTTACAAACAATATTTATATTATTATAAGCGCACGAAATGAATTTTCCTGAAATACTGACAAATTTAAATTAAAAGAATATTTGCTTTAATCGGATCAATAAATAAGCATAATTCAATACATCTCTTGGGCAGTATGACGGATTTTAAAGGAGTATTAGCGGTAATTTTAAGAAATATTAGCGGACTGCAACAAAAGGGGTTTTGGTAGCATATTTTGCTAGTTTAGTCTACAAAATTTTTTTAAATAGATTTTAACATTCCAAGAATTTTAAAAATTTTTTATTAATTTTTAAAAATTAATTTAATATATTGAGTATAATACGAAAAAATATTTTCAAACATGAGACCACATCAAAAAATTGGATTACAGGAAAAGAATGGAAGGAGTGGAAGAGAGGTGAATCTCGTTCTCAGCGTCCTACTCGCTTAGTATCCTTAAAACGCCGTTTTAAAACCTCCTAACAAGCCTTCACACCCTTTTACGCGCCTTCGAACCCTTTCGTATTGCATTTCGTATCTACCGAACAAATACGTTTAAGGGAATAAATGGACTGTGGCAAAAAGAAAAAAAAACTCATAGTTTTCGCTTACGCTTTCATAGTTTGAGATTTCGTCCATTAACATAAATTTCACACACGAATAACACAAATAACTATAAAAACAGTGGCAAAAAAATTAAAGCTGGATGGAGGAAAGAAACTGGCAGGAAGATGGACCGCATGGAGGCTTTTTTATTCGTAATGAATATGAAAGCCGCCCATCTTCCTGCAATTATTTCGAACGCTATTTATAATTAGTAATTAGAATCATTAATATTTAATTAAATAATGCGACCAGGAACTCGAAGCTATAGCAGCTACCACCGCAATAACAAATTTACAAAAGCAGCGATTCCAGTTACTTTCAGATTTGCATCTGCATTTACATTTTATTATAGCGCCCACTCTTGCTCATGCTGGCAACTCGCATGTATTTCTATCACCAAAGGATTCCCTGGCATATTCGTCCGGTCCGATAAGCCAGCGGAGCGAGTTTAATCAGTAATGGTGAAAACTCTTTAAAAAAAAAAATAACGCCCACTCTAAAACAGTGCTACAATGCAGTTTGTTGAAGAAAGGTCGGTTCCTTCAACTGTTCTGTCGACTGGACAATACTGCGAACATTTTAGACTTCATTAGCCGCTGCATTTTTCCATAGGCGAATAGTCGCCTTTTAAAGTGGATGCAGTAATTACACTTAGCTCGACTGCATCACTGTAGCCAGAAGAACGAGCCGTTCAATCTTGCCAGAGCAGCTGGTCTAAGCAGTACAAATGCGAGCTGATAAAACACGAATCCAGTCATAATCGGAATTGCAACTGATCCGGTAAACTTACCATTTTTAGTTACTTCAACAAAACATCGCTCTGATAACATTCATTCAGAAGAAAAAGAACGTTAAAAAAATAGCGTAAACACGGCATGGCATTATATTTTATGTCTCGATCACCTCAAATGTATATTTTCGAGGAATCACCGTAGCAAGTGAATACAGTAGAAATTACAAGCGTCCTGGAAGCAATAAGTCTGAAATTAAAAAACTGGTGAGGGGTCCTTCGCTTCTGCCTTCAAGCGACCGTGCAGCGAAATTGTGTCCTAATAATAGCCCAAGAAATAAGCCTAGAAAAACGATTTCCCGCTCGCAACCGTCAAGCACAAACAAATGTGCAAAAGAAATAGATGAAACATCGTATTGGTGTTTTCGCACTTTAGTTTATTTTTGCTTTTCTAACTGCCATTAATTCCATGGCCACCAGCTGCGCTCAAAATCCATAAATATTGACAACCCATAAATATCAAAAATGTTATTAGACTGGCAAATTAGGATACTTCCACTGCAGAATAAAAATAACCAATTATACTAGGGCACGAGCAATTGACAGAAATGACGCGCAAATAGTAAAAATCCTTGCTTTCCTTTCAGTTAATTGGAAGAATTACAGCACAAAATTTGGTAAAGAATTTTTCAGTGAAATTCTTTTGAGAAAAAATTTCCAATTAATTCAAAATTATATCGATTTTTTATCATTTGAGAAAAATAATTTTAAAAATGAAATTAAAAATTTAAAAAATAAAATATTCTCTGATTTGGCAAAGTGCCAAACGAAGAACAATTGTTTTGAGATATTAACGAAAATCTAATCCTATCGAATTCTTAAATATTCAGTCATTTTCTTTGGTACTTTTTACTTGGTCCCTAGTGGGCGGTGCTTGCTATCGATTATTTGATGATTTTAATATTTAACAAATTTAGTTCCCTAAATGTCGGAAAATTTGTAAAAGGCTTTCGCGGTTTTGCGCGGAAGAATTTTCATTCATTTTTTTTGAAAAAAATAAAACTATTTCTCTAATTTATTTTTAGAAATCTACTATTTTTTTTTTGCTTTTTTATAAATTCAAATCAAACAGGTGGATAGGGGTGGTAATTGCTCAGAATTTGAAAAAAGATCGTCTGCTACACTGTGTTTCGGATTCTACTCTTCTAGGAATAAATCTCTCATTGAAAAACCTCCCTGATTCTGATCACCCACTTCTATCGTTATTTGACTCCCTGGCAAAAATTTCTAATCGTGCTGACAGCAACCAGAAATGGTAAGCATTATCCACTTATTTTTTATTTTCTAAATGAAAATTTTTGTACATATATCTTTAAAATTTTTTAAATCAATTTTACATACTTTTATTTTATCCATTCTCTAAATTTTCCTGTCTTTTAGCTGGATGATTGCTCGAAAAACTTAAATTAAACTACTGTTCTCTTATACTTGAGCATCCCATATAAGCCCAACCCCTTAAAGAGCCACGCCTACAAAAATTAACATGGTTGGCAATGAATAAAAATGGCTTGAAAAATTGGCGATCGGAGACCAAGGTGTGAGTATTTATTTGAGATTCATTTCCAAATTTCTCTATGGATTGTTTATTTTATTTCCATTTTTGTTTATACTAATTTTATAAACGTTCGAAATTTTTGTAGGTCACCGAAAAGTATTACTGGTTGAACTTTAACCATTAGATTAATTAATAAATTTTTCTACGTTATGAATACCTTTGGCATTTTAATGAAGTCCACACACCCCAGATGTTGCTTAATGACAATAAATTTAGCAGTGCCACTCGTATTTCTTCGGTGAAATTTACGGATTGTAGGATATCGCAAATTGGTCATTAATCTCAGATTGAGAATTTCCAGAACTTTCTGCCGGGAAGTCATTAGATTTGGGTTGCCAAATGCTATCTGGAGAATGCAATTTTTATTTCTCGCTTTGACTATTTTTTTAATTTTAAAAATTTCAAATGCTTTCGGAAATAAATAATAATTAATAATAAATAATAGGAATAATAATTGAAATATTAAGTGAAAATAATAAGTAAAAACGACAGTAATAACATTAATTTTAGTAACAATATTGTATTAATAATTAATAACAATAATAATAATATAACAATAAATATAAACAAACATAAAGTACATTAATAAACCATTATAATAAAATAAAATAATAAAAATAATGAATTTTATAACTTCTTATCATTTATCATTAAACCAAAAGGGTTTAAAGGATTTTTTTTTATTTTGCAAAATTATTATTTATTATTTATTCATTTCTATTTTATTTCTTTATTTATTTTTTGTTCTGTTCGTTTTTTATTTTTATTTTTTTTCATTTTTTTCACCATTTTTGATTTGAAATTCAACTAAATTTAAAGTTCTTAGATTTAAATTTTTGAATTTTTAAGTTTTGAAGTTTTAAGAAGTAAAAATTTTTGTTTTGAATATATAAATGTTTTAAATAAATGTTTTCATGATAAAAAAAATTATTTGATTATTTAACGACAAAATAGCCGACCGGTTGCTGTTTGGATTATGGCCTTACTGTTAAGCATTACAGTTTGAGCAGTAAGCTTGCCGTTCAAAAATCGAGTAGTGTTACCGTCCCAACTCTGTTTCTGTCCTTAAATTACTATGTAACACAAATGTCCCACTAGTCACTAGAGGATGCCGAATCAGAAGTGGTGAGTTATTTAGCAGTTATTTATTGAACGTATTTGACGACAGTAGAATATAAAAATTATTCAACTTTCAAAAATTTTTAATTTTTAAAATTTCCTTGTGGGAGTTTTTTCTTTTTCAATGGATTTTCAAATATAATTTATTTGTAATTTTAATTTGCTCGTTCCGGAAATTTTAAATTTCAGATTTTTTTGTCTTCAAACACTTTTTTTCTTCGTCATAGAGCCACGTGAAAATGAATTATGGAATGGGTTAACAGCATCAATCGAATTTTGCTTTAATGGCGGGTTTATTCCGTTTATTTTGTGCGGTATAAGGAATCGGAATCAAATCTGTGATAGCATAACAGCCTAATAGTTTAAGGAATATTTAAGGAATGCATCAGTTAGCTATACTGTCTTCTCATTTCGACCTAAGGTTTTATAAATAATAATTAAATTTGAAGAAATATTTTGTAAAAATTTAGTTTGTAAATACGAAATGGAAAGGAATTTCACAAAGGGAAAGGAATTTTATAAATTTTATGTGAAACTGGATTTTATTCAGCTGAATTCACTTGATTTCTGATTCCTTCTTATAAACCTTCATTTTCTTATTTTTTTCCTTTATCCTTGTTTTTGCTGAATGGATTACATTTATCACCGACTCATCTCAACGCAATTTAACTTGTCTTTGCCACGGTTGATTCTCTAACAGATTTCGCATAAAACACCCATATACCCAATCGTACCATTCTCGATGTATTTGTCTTTCTGCCATTGTCCTCTACCATGTCCATCTTTTTTGCGAAATTGCTTCGTTTTATAATTCTTTAGTTCGTCTTTATTCTTTAATTTTATCGTTATTCGTTTAAAAATGCTTCTATCTTCGTCGTTAACATTCCATTTCTCATGAAAATATCGTTATACGGTTATCCTAATTGTTTCCTGTTTCATCAGTTTCTATTTTTCCTTGATTATCTTTCCACAGCCTAATATTCTCCTTTGGTTCCTATAGGTGACCAGCTAGTGAGTTATGTAATATTTCACTCACACCATTCACTCACAGAACCACACTATTCTCGATATATAAATATGTAATTTTCGGACCCTTGCCCACTGGTATTAGAAAAGGTTATCGGATTGTAGTTCGAGGATTATCGTCAATTATGGGTCGTAAAAAAGTATTATAAAAAGTATTATAAAAGTATTATTGTAAAAGCCTAATAGTTTAAGGAATATTTAACGAATACATCAGTCAGCTATATACTGTCTTCTCATTTTGACCTAATGTTTTATAAATAATAATTAAATTTGCAGAAATATTTTGTAAAAATTTAGTTTGTAAATAAGAAGTGAAGTGAAATGTATTGTAAAAAACGAAGTATAAGAAATAAGGAAAAAGAAAAAGGGATATACAAGCCACTCACTTTTGCTGTGGACTTAACCGAAATATGCCCAATTTTCCATGAATGAAACAAATTATTGATTGTGTTACCGTGAGGGGTTCAATAAATGATTGGAAGTTGGTGTAGCCAGCAAAACCAGAAAATCAATATAAGGCTAATTTGAGAAAGCCAAGGTCACATCTCTCTGGTCAAGTTAAAATATTTAGATAATTTCAGTTTGTATGCGTTCTTTTCTCTTTATATCCTCACACTGGCTTTCTGGCAAACTAGTCTCATCTTTCTGGTCAACGGATCCAGCCAAATCACAAATCGAAAATGCTGAATGCTATTAGAAGAAGTAGAAGTAGAAAATTGCGGGTTCGAGTTCTACAAAAATTGCAGTTTTGCTCTACTCTTATCACCTTATTGTCAATATGATGATTGACGTTATATAAACTTAATTTCTTAAAACATATTTGTAAAGTCAAAGTTCCCCTTAGGCCAAGTAATCACAAAACTTGCTAAATGCGATTGAGGACTTTCAGCTGAATTTTACAAGGGCAGTTCACTGGTTCAAGGATTCAGAGGGTCCATCGTCTTTGAATCATTCGACATTATTACTGGCATCAGTAAGCGATTAGCACTCAGCATTTCTGGTAAAACCAGTTGCACTGAAGAGAGAAATAGAATTTTGTTCTTTTTTTAATAATAAGTCCATTCCTACTGAAGCGGAATCTGAACCTATAGGCGATTACCTAAACAATAACCATAGCCACTCGGCTATCCTTTCTCCTATTAATTATTTATTATTTTTTCCTATTAAAACCATATTTCTAAAATATTTCAAATACTTATTCCTTCGTTCAAAGGTATTTTGAAGATTTCACATAATGAAAAGGTGTTTTTTGTTAATTTTTCTTTTACGAATTCGACATGGATTTTTTGTCTTTTGACCTAAATTTGCTACGCGGTTGGCAAAAATAAATGATTTGTTTGAAAAGGATGATTTGTGATTAAGAAATATAAAAGATTTATCGATCTTTATTGCTTTTTATTTAAAAATAGGTAACCTGACAAGTCCGTGAATTACACCTAAAGGGACACCTAAAATACACTTGAAACGTGTGGAAATATAGTTCTCAAAGGTTTTATTTATTTTATTGTTCTTTACGCATAAAAAATGTTTAAAAAATTTTTTTGAGAACAAATTTTTAATAAAAAATTTTTAAATTTTTGTTCAATTTTAATTTGTTTTTTGCATTTTCTCTTTGTTGCTTTTAAAATTTTATTGTAATTTTCGGATTCCTGCGAAACAACGAAAAAAATCTTGTGCGATTTGTTAAAAAATTTCGGAAGTAAAAATGCGAGAAATTTGGATATTTGACGGATAGGTTTTACGCGATTTTAAAGCTTAAGCGCTATAGTTACAGACGTTGGACAGAAACGCGCGTGTAATTCCCAGAGAGATGCAATAATCGTTTTTCTCGTGAAAATATAAATATATTCGAAATTTAATTGATCGAAAAATACAAAAAGGACACTAAAACGGCTTTACAGTGCACTTTTAATGAACGCAAAGATAAGATTAATTCGCGATTGATTAATTTCAAAAAATTTTTTTTAGATTTTTCGCCTATTTTTCGCGCTTTTGGAGTTTTTTATTTTCGTCCTCCTTTTTGTTTTCTTGCACTGTTTTGATTTCACACATTATTTTATGCTTTATTTTCATTCCGCGCACATTTTTTTCTTTCCTGCAATGTTTCGGTTTATTTTTTTGTATTATTTTGGTATTAATATTATTAATATTAATATTATTTTGGCATACTGAAAGCAAAAAAATTCGTTTTCAATCATAGGTTTCTTGAAACTATAAATAATTTAGAAAATTTAGAATGGATTTCAATTCAGATTTAGACTGAATTCAATTGGTCGATTTATGCAAAAATTCTAATAAATTTCCGGTTTCACTAGTTTTTGGCATATTTTACGCGTATTTTACGTATTTCCTAGCATATAAATCTTTTCATATGTTCATAAAATATTTTAAATGATTTTTTTCATTTTTGACAAATGAACTTGTAAAAGAAATTAAATTGATTGCATTAAGGTAAAATGCCGAGAAAATGCATTCTTTCAAATTAACGTTGATGAATTTTTGAAAAAAAAAGATTTGACTAGCATATAATGTCGGTGATGATAAGATCAATAATGACATTGATAAGCATATTTCCCTAGACACAGTAGTGATAAAAAGAAATATCAATTCAAAATTAACCCATATTTAGTAGTGTTAAACAAATGAACTTGGAAGAACAAGAGGAAATCGAGAAAGAAATCGAGAAACGAAGAGGTTTGAGGTTCGGAGAATAATTTAAATTTAAATTTATTCACGTAGTACCAATGAGTATGGGTGAATGATAGGGCATATAAAAGGTGAATAGAATGCAATTAAGGTTGTTCTAGGCGGGGCATTTCTTCGAGAGACATATACATGCACACATACACATACGTCGTCATTATTATCAATCATCATCATCCAGCATCCTTTCACATTTTTGTTATATTTCAGCTGCCTTTTAACTAGCCAGTCATCATTATCATCAATTTCTAGTTCCATTAAACTCGTACCTGTTATTATGCTCAAACAATACCATATCTTATTCGTTATCTTATTCATATTCAACACCGTTGATACGATTCATTGATTTTCTATTTTAAGTAAGTATTACCATTTCGGGTTAGGCTAGTACCACTGGCTATTAGCACGGTCCATTCGGATATTCCGACTCTTTCATTTTTACTTTAAATATCTCATGAGTTCATGCATGATTCCTTAAATTTTGTACCATATCTTTCTTTTTTGATTACTTATTAATTATACTTAATTTAAAAATATTTTTTAATTTTTATTATTAATTTATTAATTATACTTAATTTAAAAATATTTTTTATTAATAATTATGTAAAAATATTAATATTTTTTACATAATTAGTGGAATTAGTGGAATTATCCGACGAAAATACTATATAAATATCAACAGCATCCAATAATATGATGAGCAATAAAAAGAGGAAATAATGAATGAATACCTTACCGGACAACAAAACTACTTGTACTTATAATTTTTAGGAACATTTATTAATTTATTAATTTATGGTAGAAGTGGTGAGGAGGATGTATTGCGCGAAAATTTTCGGAATGAAATCCTATATGACGTCATTTATCGTCGAATGATGTCACATTGTTGTTTTCCTATCGATTTATTCACATAACGTAAAGTAGTACTTCGAAAAAGTATTACTTCTTGATTATTACTTCTTGATTACTTTCCCAAAAAATTTTATTTATTTGCAGATTTTCGAGTATTCATAATAATAAACAATAAATTTCTTATTTAAAAAAAGAAAAGGGAAAAGAAAATAAATAATCGATAATAAATAATAATAGTAACTGTTCAACAATCAATGACTAATAATGATTTATTTGTTCACGTGCAGCCTGGTGAAGTACTTACAATATTAGTTGGTAATGATAGTCAGCACATTGCTGGTTGGTTTTTTTTTCCTCTCTAATTTTATTTATTGCAATTATTTCAACAAATTTCCACAAATTTCAAGTATTTTTATTAATTTTATTAATAACATTTATATTTTTTATTTTTTATAAATATTTCTGTGGTTTTAAAATGCAGATTCGTTGCAATTCGTTGTGAAAATATTTTATATTTTATTGCTTTTTTCTTTTATATCAAAAATCATTAAAATATTTGGAAAAATTTTTATTTCATAGAAAATCTGATAAATTATCTTTGATTATTTCTTAATTTTCCGTAATTTAAAAATTAATATAATAAAGCAGGGAGAAAACAGGGAAATTTAACTAAACGCTTATTTCAATGATATGAATGTTTCAGGTCCAGCAACGGTGCGTATGGTGAATTTAGCTGGTATATCACCACCAGCATTACCTTTGCATGTACCACCTGGGCATATGGTACAACAGATTGTTGAACAGGTTCATTTTTCTCATTTTTTGTTCATTTTTTAAGGTCATTTTCCTAAACGGTAATTTTACAAGGAATAATCATATTTTTGACCTTTCGCATGAAATATTTATGAATGAATGATATTTAATAAATATTTCATAATAAATATTTAATAAATAAATAAAATATTGCAGGGAATATTACGACATTTAATACTTTCACCGGAACCACCACCAACATCGCGGTTATTGGCTGTTCGTTTTTTCCTTTTTTGTTTCATAATTGAATATTTTAAATTATATTAACAGTTGAAAAAATGGTTTTATCGTTAAAAATATTTTAAAAAATTTTTCTTCATCGTTCTCTTCTTTTTTTTTCAATTGTTTTCTCAAAATTTTTGTAAAATTTTCGCCAAGAATTTATTATATGTCGAGCTCTTATTTTTTGAATTACTTTAGAATTATCGTATTTTTTATTTAATTCAAGTTTTTAATCATCGCATAGAATAGCCGATTAGTTATTGCGTAAACTACCATTATCAGTAATAGCTAATAATAGCTAATGATTTTCTCGAAAGTTGGTTCTTTTTACGATATCTATTTAAAAAACCATTATCAGTGTTCGGATTCTTCCTGTCACAGGTTCTTATTAAAAAATCCGGATATTGCTGGCGGCAAATCTGAATTCATTTTCGCACTTTCTTCTTGGCAAAAATTTTTCTTATCTTACTAACAACAAACGAACATAGCCACAAGTGATGGTCACGCTAATCACCATATATTTATTAACTAAAAAAACATAGTTAAAAACTTAAACTGAATTTGTTAGTTTCAACGATTTTAAGGAAATAAGATGTAAAAAAATTTTTTCATTTGAATTCATAACGAATTGATTTTATTTAGAAATAAAATGTTTTAAATTTGAAATATGTTTCAAAAACCGGTCTTTTTCTGTAAAAATTAAGTGAATTTTGTAGAAATTAAGTGAATTTAATAGAAATTTGACCAAAAATAGAAAAAATTAGAAAATTTATAAAATTTTATAATTCTATAAAAGTGGTTTTTTAAAAAAATTTTATTAATAAACTTTATTAATAAAAAACTTTACTAAAAACTTTATAAAAAACTTTATTAAAACTTTATTAACTTTATTAATGTAATTATTGTTTATTTAATACAAAGATAGCTGAATGAGTTTATGGTACTAAGAGGAAAGGGTTTGGCTGCTGCAGAAAAAAAGTGCATCATTAAAAAATTTGTCCAGTGGCGGCCCACTTGTACTATTCCTCTTTCACAATTTCATGGCAAAAGTTTCTAATCGTACTTTTTTCTTATGCCCTTTGTAGGTACCAGGCCAAACAATGTTAACCACATAGTTTATTATTTAACGATATAAGAACATTTAACAGTTTAAAAAATTTTTAAAAAAGTCTTATTTTCGAAAATGATTATTTTTTCTTATAGGGTAATGCATATGCAGCAACAGCAACTAATTCGGCAACAACATTAATGGCACCATTAAAAGGTTATAGTTCACCATCGCCACCTGTTGTTCTTCCGTTTCCACCGCCAAATTTAATAGCTAATGATTTTCTCGAAAGTTGGTTCTTTTTACGATATCTATTTAAAAAAACGAATGGGTAAAGTTTTAAGTTCGAAACTTGGGTTAAAAATTCTATCAGCTATATTTGCGGTATATTGCTTGGGCTAAGGTGGGTAACATGATTTCAGTTTTTCGCATCTTAACCTATAAAGAAAAGCAGTTCTAAATTTTTTACTATAATTCCTTAAATATTCCTTTAAAATCTGATATTTTTGATAAGTAAATTTAATCGAAAATCATTAAATGCTTGAGAAATAAGCGATTTAATTTAGATAGTTCTCGGCGAAATTGGGCAATTTCTAGTAAAGAATTCGATGTGAGTAATAATAATCACATTTTGCAACCACTATGCAATACATTTAATGAAATCGTTAGTCGCCCCTTGATATTTTTCTTATTTTTGAAATATTACATTATTAAATTCAACTTCATTCGAATAGAGTAGAATGCATTATGCTTTTGTAAATTAGAATTGCAAATGTGGGTATGGTTGGTGCTGATGCTTGCGTTCTCGTGAAATCCTCGCCGAATGTTTTGTCCAGTCAGCTTATTAGCGTATGAGTTTAAATTCTTTTGGCCTCGAAAGATTCGATCAGATTTTGTTTAAATTAATTTTCGCGCCATTGCGTCATTTAATTCCAAAGGAAAAACTAGTTGGCTTTTCGAGGAATGTTCTTTTTTTCGATTTTAAAAAATGGATATTGGTACTCGACACTCAGTTCAATTTTTTTGAGGACCAGAGTCACTCAGGTGCGTCGATAAATGAAGAAGAAGATTGGGAAAAATATATTGATTTATTATCGAAAGTAAAACCACCTCAGGTAATTTATTTTCTTTTGCTTTAATTCAATAATAAATATCAATTTTATAAGAGTAAATCTGTCATAAAAGATGAATTTCAAATACAAAAGATCCATCTATACTTCTAATTCTATGTGGCTCTGTGGCGAAGGAATATCATCCCAATATTAAGTGGGACGAGAAATAGTGAATGGTATTAGGCGATGAATAGTACAATTGAAAAGTTTTTTAGATTCTTCGAGTAGGAGCAAGAGAAGCTGATATCGCATATCGGGAAATCGATCATTCCGAAACATTTAGGGTTTGGTTTGGTTTGGTTTTTTTATCAGTTTAAATTCTTCTTTGGACCATCCCAAACTGGATCTCTGTGGGATGGGATTTCCATCTGCCTTATGAAATAATCCTGTTTATTTGCTTGCATTTATGAAATTATTATATACCCTTGAGCGTATAAGAGATTGAAGGCTTGTTTATTCGAATTTAAAGTATCTAATAATGACCTGTTTAATAACTTGTTTATCTATGTTTGCTTTCATTTAAACAAATTTATTTTAGGTTAATAGTACGAAATTAAATGATTGGCAAGAACTGGATATTTCCGAGGGGTCACATATGTCAAATATAAGTGCATCGAGCACTTGTGGAAGTTATACACAGCTTGATCAATATGAATTTACTTATGATATTGTTCTTTTTGAAAGTATTGGTAGAATTGTTAGTAGTTACAGGTATTTTTTATTTTTTGTGAAATTGGAAAAATGAACAATAATTTCATGTTTGACGTTCGGTTAATACGGAAAATAGTTAATATACATAATTTTAATCTAAAAAAACTAGCAATTTTTCGAAAAATTTTGAAAATGAACTTCATTTTTCAAATTATTTTGTTAAATATTGGTTTAAACAGAAGTTTGATTTTACACAGTGGCATTACTTTTAGGTGTGAACCAGATTGCGGTAATCGAGTTCGTTTATGCCGATTAAAGCCAAATACAGATTATTATATCCAATTGCGGGCGTCACTGGAAGAACTTGGATTGCAAGGCAAACCATCAAAAGCTATTCGTTTTCACACTCTATCGACGGTTCCTGAATGTTTATATCCACCGCGTTTTATCTCATCAACTTCAACATCGATAACCATTTCATGGAAATCAGCTATTGATAATGGTTCAAAAATTATCTCTTATCGTGTACAAATTGCTAAGGTTCGTTATTTTCCCCTTTTTTTGATATTTTTCAGTTGAATTAGCAGATTTTCAAGGTTTCTCGAAATAGTAAATGTGATTTAATATTTTATGACACATAAATGAAACATTTTTTCACAAATAATTTTGGGCTAAATTTTATTTCTCATTCGATGAAATTTCATGATATTTCATCATTTCAATATATAATTTGTAAAAATTTATTTTTGTTGTAGGAAATGAGCAGTAATAATTTGAATGGAAATTACGATGATAGTATCGACTATGAAACAGTTTTCGATGCTTTAACTGAACAAGCGACCATAACAAATTTACAGCCATCGACAAAATATCGTTTACGTATTATCGCTGTTAATAATGAGGGTGCGTCAAGACCATCTGCTCATATTATAGTTCTTACACCAAAAGCAACAACAGCAACAATTACAACGGCTATAAGTAAGCCTGATATGCCAAAAGTTGTGATGCTTACATCAAATTCGATTACTTTATCTTGGGATGTTTTATCGCACCACCTATATACAGTATGTGAATTTATTTTTTTATTCTGATAACATTTTTTAATGAAAAAAATAAAGTTCACTGCTCACTAATTCTGGTTCACTGTTCGCTGTTGATGGTATCTAAAATATCGTGGAACTTAGCTTGTCATTTCGAGCATCATGGCGCCCGGCAGAAGTTAAAATGCTATTAGAAAATTCACGTGGTGCTTGGGATTCATCTATAGTTTGATATCTAAATGATTCTCTGACAAAATTGTTTCATTTTATAGCAAGTGGAGTGATTTCAATTAGAAATGATGATTATTAAAAACTTTATACCTATTTACTTTTAAGAGGAAGTTGTAGAATATGACATCGTCATCAAAGGTATTTATCTTTGAGTTAAATAATATGTTGTCTTTAGTTGGAGATGTGCGAATCAACAAGGAATGGTAAATTCAGCACTTTCTATGAGAAAACTCAACAATCCTCTGCTGTTATCAATGATTTGATCAGGTATTTTCATCTTTTTCATCTTCATGTGTTTTTTTATTTCTGCTTTTATTCCTTGTTTTTTAATAATTAACTTTTTGCTTTAATTAACTGGAATTCACTGTTACTTTTTCAAAATGTTACTTAAATTATTTTTACTGTATTTTTTTCAGTAATCGACAATATAGTTTTCGTTTACTGGCATTTAAAGAAGATTTGGGTTATAGTGAACCGTCGGATTTATTAATTGTTCGAACTTTACCATCAAATATATTCGTACCAAATCGTCCGTATATTGTTGTTAACGATGGATCAAATCTGGAAATTGGTTGGAAATCGAATCAACTAATTGAGAAGGATGTTTTTTATGTTGTCGAAGGTAGTAATGGTGCCGGTGAAATTGATGATGAATGGAGTATTATCTATAAAGGAACATCAAATAGTTTAATGATTAAAAATTATAATTTATGTGCCTTTCGTGTTGCTACTTGTAAAAATAATTTACAGGTTTGTTTTTCTTACCATTTTTTTACAGTTGGCTTTTCTTTGAAGATTTGCTTGAAATATCCAACCATAAAATTGGTCTTCGATTTGATTATTTTTTTTTCGATTTTCGGTGAAATCATATTTGAATCATTTTTTGAATCATTTTGCTGATTTTTTGGAATTAAATTTATATCTTTCTTCAGTTTTTTCTTAAATAGAATATATTTTCCATCTGTTTATACTAATTATTAATTTAATTTAATTAATGGATCACTTTTTCTCGAAAAAAATTTTTTTAGAGTGCATGGAGTGGTATATTACGAGTGAAAAAAGATGTAAAAAAAATAGATCAGATTATCGTTGGTTTGTGTTCACCACCAACGTTAACAGAGATATCAAAAGGTCGTCTTCGAGTTGAATGGTGTCCACCTGAACGTGGAGGCGAAGCATTAGCATCATCTTCAGTTCTTTTTTATCAACTTAATCGTACCAATATTTACCCAACGTCTATGATTTATCAAGGCAGTCTTTTCATAATTTTTTATTTCGAAAACGAAGTAAAGTCTTTGATTTTGTCATTAATTTAAGAAATGTTCAGGAGAAGCAACGATGTATGACATCACGAATTGTGTACCTGGTGAGGAGGTAGAAGTACAAGTGCGCGCAGTAATTAAGTCTTCAAATGGTGCTACAGTCGGAGGTGAATGGAGTCGTACAGCGATTGGACGCATCTCATTGCAACCACCCTCACCACCTGTTGGCGTTTATGTCGATGAACAGTTTATTTTAAACTGGAAATCACCTGCTACTCTTGGTTCACCAATTGACAAATATATTGTCGAACGAATTCGCATGAAATCATCATCGTCAGTTTTCTTTTTTTTTGTGCTGAGAACTTTAATATTTTCGTTAGGTGAAATATATTTTACGATTTTCCTTTAAAAAAAATTCACAAAGAAATGGAAAAAAGAGTTGATAGATGTTCACAAATTCTCACATTGTATTTGATGGAAGTGGTAAAATAGAGAAAAATTTTCGATGATATTTTTTTGCAGAAATAATGATGAAGAAAATGGTCAATCATTAAGCAATAGTGATGTGGAAGATGAATGGACAGTTCGAAATGTTGACGGAAATTCATGTAGTTTAGATGTGCATGATGGTCGACCCGGTTGCAAATATCAGTTGAGTATATCAGCTATATCAGCCAGCGGTACTAGCCTGCCAAGTGACTGTGTATATGTATCCATTCCTCCAACTGTGCCATCACCACCATCATCTTTTCAAGTATTTCCTCATGGTATTTTTTTTTCTATTTTATGTGAAAATATTGGTTTGTTGGGATTTTTTTTGTTTTTTAATCCGCACTCCCTCTAATTCTGGATTTACTCATTTTATTTATCTTTTATTTATCTTATTTATTATTTATCTTTTATTTCAACTCTTGCAGGATGTTGTCAACTTAAGGCAATGTGGATGGCTTCATGTCATAATGGCTGTAAATTATTAGAATATATATTGCATGTTGAAGATGAAGTGACGCAAGATTTAATTCAGGAGCTTAAATTTTCTGCCGATTCACTAGAAAATGAATGTATCATTGAGAATTTGGAATCTGACCATTCTTATAAGTAAGTCATCATCCGATTATTTCAAAAACATGCTGAAGTCAAAGTTTTGTTAAAGAAGTGATAAAAGATATATTTCCTGATATCTTAATAGGATGGAAAAGAATTGGGCGGTCCAGATTTATGAGAACTTATTGTAATTTTTTAGCAGAAATCCAAAAATTTTATTTCGATCGTTTTCTACGATTTCTAAAGGGTAATGGAAAAAATTCAAATTGAAGTATATCGATGATTTATTTTTTAAATTGAAAAATACTATATTAGATTGTCAATTTGTGCTACAAATTCGATTGGTTCGGGCAAATGGTCATCAGTAGTCATGAAAACATTAGCACCGCCACCACCAGCACCAAATCTCATTTGTTCAGAAGTTGGTTCCAATTATCTAAAACTTAAATGGAAGCCTGTTGAAAGTGTTTCCATTTCGCCAAATCTTTATTATTATCTGGAAAAAGAAAATGACAGTGGAAAGTTTTCACCGGTTTGTTAATTGTTCCCATTTTTTTTACTAGTTTTAAAATTTTTTCAGTGATTTATTATGAATCAATTGCCAGTATTTTTAAAATTAATATATATTAGTCTTTATTTTAATCTTGGTTTATAAGGGATTTATCGTATGCAATTTTTAATTTATTTTATGGTTTATAAGGGATTTATCGTATGCAATTTTTAATTTATTTTAGTTCATTGGAAATTGATTTTTTCATTTAATAATATTTAACAAAATATTACTCTTTTTTCTTATTTTAAAGAATTTTTCAGATTTATGAAGGCGATAATCGCTATGCAAAAGTGAGAAATCTAAGTGAAAGTACGAAGTATCGTTTTCGTATTCGTTGCTCATCGCGTGCATCTGGTGCTGGTCCATGGTCTAAACCATTTGAATTCTCCACGGAGCAGCTACCACCACCAACAATTCGTGCTGCTCCAACTGTAACGGAAATCAAATCTGGTACTTTCCAAGTGGAATGGTCACCTTTGCGTTTACCATTGACTAATGGTAAAGAATCGTTGTTTTATCGATTACAGCTCGCTTCACGTACTTCGAGTGAAAAATCGGCTATTATATGGAAAACGGTTTTTAATTTTTTTTTCAAATTAGCCCTTCTTTATTCTTCTAGCAGCTGTCACCATTACTGGTTAGGCTGGCTACAAGGGCAAAACGTCTCCAAGATGTTCGGTCCGATATCATCGTTGGCAATAACAGGAGTCATTTCCTTTTCGATCTTTTGATTGCATATATCGATTGTCCATCTATACGTTTAAAAATTAACGAAATATTATTAACTCTTGTGGTGAGCGACGAAGAACATGCCCTTGCGAAGGCGAGCCCGTAAAATCTTAAACAATGGTCAGAGATAGATAGCTTTTCATATATTCCACTCTCATTGGCAATGTCTCGTAGCCGTATAAAAATATTGAGTGAATCGCAGCTATATGGACGTGGTCTTAGCTATATGGTCTTTTGTTTTTATAGTGATTCGCGACCTGTCCATGATGGTTTTATCACTAGAAGAAAGAATTTCTAGTTACCACTACCCCAGGTATTTCATCTTTCATCTTTCGCTTGACCATTTGGGATTCGAATGGACCCGAGATATTTAAATTCTGGCTGTGGATTGATAAAAATAGGTATTTCACCAGCTTATCAGCTTTATATAAGACGAAAAGGCTCTTATTTCATTAAATTAACCTTTGGAGCTAGAGCAGCCCAAAATCGCCATTTTTAGGAAGACTCTTTAGAAATCTTTAGGTCCTCAATTTATCCCTAATTTCTTTTCCTCATATCTAATTTTCAATTTTATGGGATAAATTTTTCAAATTAGATCATCTGTAAAACTCTTCTAAATTTCTTTGCGTTAAAAAATTTGATTTTTAGATCTATGAAGGCGTTTCAACATGCTATTCATTTTCATCTTGTGAAGCAGTCCAGTTACGTGTTCAATGTGTACGTTTGCGTAATGGTACTGAAAGTGTATCTGCGCCATCAGCTATTCAGTTCGTGAAACCATCTTTAGTATTATCATCTAATTATAAGGATATTAATGATACGCTCACACCGAATATTGATATAACGAAAATGCAGTGGATTCAATATCATATTTTTTCCGATAAGAATTATGCTTTTATTATTTTGGTTAGTTTTTTATCAGTTGTTTTATCTGAGTTCTTCAATCCAGTTGTTGCTACGAATCCATCGCAGAATAAATTATCTCTCTGATTAAGGAATTATCCTAATAGCCAGTGTATTCAATCAAATGATGAAGAATTCTGAAGGTTTATATTGCTGTTGTTTTTTGATTGACTAAAGACAATTCGCCAAACTTATCGGTTCCATAATTCCTTTATTTTTTCAACTTATAAAAAAGGTAGGAGCGAGAAAAATAGAGAGATAGAAAAAATGTTCAAGGTACTTCCTCTTTCCTACTATTTGGTCTTTAACCACTCAGTAGTATGGCACTCGGGTAAATTCAGTTGTGGAATCTTCTTTAATTGGTTTTTTTAATTTTTTGCTTAATCGGCTTATCTCAGAAATTAATTTTTATTGTGTAGTCTTCGTTAGTTTAGTAGAAATCAATTGAATTTTTTTTTTTAAATTTACTTTGTTTGTTGACAAAGTTGAGGGATTTAGAGTTGTAATTGAGATCATTTTTTTTACTCATTTTTACCAATAAATTTTGGAAATTTTCAGATTTTTTTTATCGCATTAGCATTCATTGTTGCTTTGGCTATTGATGCATTTCTTTTCACTCGTCAATGAATTAAATATATTATATATATATATTTATATATATATATATATATATACATACATACATTTACAAATATTTTTTCACCGAAAATGGGATAAAATATTCTTTGTTTTTTTTGGAGAACATTTATTTTAAAGGTGTTGTACGGTAGAGAAAAGGTAAAAATTTTTCCTTACCTTTGTTTGTTATTTTAATTAATTTTTACTATCTTAACTATTAAATTAACTATTTGAATGAATTTTCACTGAAAATCTGAAAAAAAAGAGTTACATTTGCAGTGAATTATGATAAGAACTGACTCCTGCTATTGTATATATTTTGCAAAACATTTTTTGCTTCTATCTATTTAAACTAGCGGTACTTAATGAATATAAATTGACAACCGCCATCGTTTTTCTTTACAGAAATTAGTGAAATTTGTCGGTTTATCAGTTTTTACCACTGCTTTACAAATTTCTTTGTTTTTTTTGGGGTTTTTGGGGTGAATTTCTTTTTTCATTGTAAATAAATTTATTTTTTCCTGCCCTATTTTCTTTCAATAGTTATTTTGCTTTTCCTTCATTTTCCTCGCGCTTTTTTTTTATCCTCAAATTCTGTCACTTATTTATATTAAATATCTAAAATATATTTTTCCATTCGCCGCATTTTTGCTGTTTTATAAATGTTTCTTTTAGCTATTTTATTTTTTGATATTTGGATAATTGTTTAAGTGCCAAATATGTTGCGGTTATTTCTTTGTTTGAAAATATTTTCCGGTTTAATAGATAATTTTTTATTCTTTTTTTTGAAAAATCCGGTTTTCATCTGTGATCTTTCATTTGTTTTTTACGATTCCTTCCATATAGTTTTTTCGCATAATATACATTTTTTGTCTGTCCATCTGTGCTCTTAATTTATTTCTTTTTTAATATATTTTTATTTATTTAAGTATAAGAATTATTTAAGTATAAGAATACTTTTTTATTTTATATTTTTATTTTTCTTATCTATATTTATAAAAATTATAAAAAATTTCGTTGTTCTATCATGTTTTCAAGTGAAAAAGATTTGATAATTCTTTTGTCCAAAAACTTTGATTTAATAATATATAAACAACGAAAATTTGTCCGAAAAAAACAAAAATCGAAAGAAAAAAAGGATTTGATTTATGAAAAATTTATATCGTTATAGGAGAAAATCGTAGAAAAATATATGGTACTTATTCTTTTTTAATGAAAAAACTGATAATAGGGTCAAATAGAGATTATAGTATTTATTATAAATGTTAAATAATAATTGGCAAGAAAAGGATATGAAGAAAAAAATTACATCATTTTCATTCGGAAGCTATAGTGGATCTTTTAATAATAAAAACATAACCATCACATGAAGCAATCGTATAAAAATGTTCCGGATAGCTAATTGTTATTGTTTCGAAACCGTTGTTGAATTTTAACAAAAATCTTTTACCAACATCCAAAATTTTAATAATTTTTGTCGCAAATATATCCTTGTCCACTAAGTCACCACCGCTCTTCAAAGAATATTTTAAAATTCAAAAATGGCCATTTTATTAAAGCTATAAATTTTTTAAAAATTATTACTGGAAAAGATAAATATGAAAAATTAGGAAATTAATGAATAAAAAGTAAGAGAAGAGAATGGAGGACAGAATGGCTCAGTGGGTTGTTGCTCAATTGGGAGCGCCGATGCTGAGGTTCAATTCCCCGTAGAAGTAAACCTGCACAAAAATCCGGATAATGCTGGCGACTCACCTGTATTTTTATCGCCAAGAAACTCCGTGGCATATTGTCGGATGCGAAAAGCCAGCGGAGCGAGTTTAACCAATAATGGTGAGGACTCTTTTAAAAAAAGAAGAGAATAATACCTTTAACACGTAACCATCTTTATAATTTACAATCATATATCCAGTTTCTTCTGGTATTTCCGTTATATATTCTACTATACTTTCCATTGTAATCGTTATTTGAAATGATCTGCAAAATTTTTATAAAGTGACTTCCGAAATTGCCGCAAATGAAGGCGACGATCTGAAGAAAGAAATCGCTATTCTCATAATTATTGTAAAAAACGAGCGAACGTGGGTTTTCGATCACGTGAACATCGAAAAAAATAAAATCTTATGAACTCTTATAGCCAATCATAATAAACGCATTAACAGGAGGACAATTACTTTATATACTTGACAAAACAGCTTCAACTCGATCTCTTTCAGAAACAGAATTTGAAATCAAAAAAGACTATAAACATATATATATATATATCAATAAATATTATTATAGTGATACTCAAGAGGATCCTTCTGAGGACCTAAAAAAGTATGAATAAACCTAACTGCACATCAACAAGCAACTATCGAAAAAAATGATGAGCACATGAATAAATGGAAAATACATCTCTTTACATACGTATCGTACAGATTCCACGCCACGTGGAAAAAATCGTGATTAAATTCACCTTCGCTCGAATATTATTGATGGTATCCTTGTGAAGAATCGCCTATGCTAACTGATCACATCAGTCAACAAAGGATTTGATGCATACCTCGCCACATGCCAAATCTTATGGAAGAAATCAAAGGATAGAACCAACATCCGGATTGCGTGGATAGAAATGCGTCCTACGAAATGCTCAGTGCTGCACACATTGCTTTTCTGTTATCTTCAAATATGGTCTCGGAACGCTCCGAAATGTTATTTTAGCTAAAGATGTCACACTATTCAACCGTAATTTTTAGAAAATGGTTTATTAAAATGCACTTTACATCAATCTAAAATAACCAAACAAACAACAATCTAAAAAAATTAAAACAATCGTGAAATTCAGTATTTCTTTTAACTTTTAACAAATCAAATCGCCAAATGATTAAATAAGAATCGAACAACTTATATTTATAATATAATTTTTATTAATTATTATTCTTTCTTCTTAAGTTTACTTTGTTGAGTAGGATTTGAAGAAAAAATCTCCAGCCAAATTTTAAGGAAAGTCATTAACGCTCCGACGCTTCAGTAACAAGTTAGATGGACTTCAATTCGAATTTCGATGCTCAACCTGATCAAACCCCACTCGACTACGCAACTCTAATACCACGCCAGAAAACTAAAATCAATTTGTAAATAAAAAAGAGAAGAGCAGTGTTTGGAACGTGATTTGATTTGTTACATGAAAAAATCGTACAAGAAAATATGATAAAGGATGAAATCTTGAAAGAATTCTTTTATAATTATCACCAATTTCCATATATTTCGATTATGATAGAATTCGATGAAAAAATATTAAAATAAAAAAATATTAAATATTAAATATTTATGATTCGAATATACTCGATAAAAAAGAAAGATATCGCTTTATTAAGAAATTTAATTATTTCTGGAAACCTTTATATCTTTATCGAATTCAATTTATTAATTTATTTTTATTTTATTCATTATTAAATAAATACAATAAATTAACAGAATAAATAAAGTAACCTATAAAACAAGTGAAATATTATAATAAAATAAATTAATACAATAAAGAATAAAACATTGATCTGCCAGAATATAAAACAAATTTTTCATCTTTTGAAGATCTTACCTTTATCAAAAGTCCATTAAAACTTAGAAATATAAGATTCACCTGCATAATTCTAGTTAACTTCTCTGAAAATTTATATTACATTTAGCAATAAAAGACAAAAAAAATGCATATCTCTTCATGAAACTATTCGTTATAATATTTAGACTAAAGCAAAACACGAATTAAATAGTAACCATATGATATTTATCATGCTTTTCAATAAGATTCTTGACAGCATCATCAAATCGTTGACATCTTATTGGCATATCTATGGAATAAAATGGATTTTTTAAAGCGTAATCAGCATATAATTCATATAAACGTCGTAAAAAATTATCGATTCCAGTTGTCATTGATGGTGAACCAACAACGATAAACTTTACTCCAGTTGTTGGTTGAAAACATTGTAATCTAAACATTCATTAAATTCAATCTATTTAAAGCAATAAGAAAATATTCGAAAATAAAAATAAAACTTTAAAACAAATCCTATAAGTTCTATAATCTTCTTCTTCATGTAATGGCGCTCATCACTTCAGGTTTGGTTATCTCCATTGACTACATTTTAATGATAGGTTTACCCCTGTCAAGGGACGAGGATCAAATTCATGCATGGCCTCAATCAAAATAATTATACCATTTTGCTATAAATTTCATAAATGGAAAAACTAACTTAAATTTTGTTGTAGAAAGTATTTCGATTCCAGAACTCTTCTTAGCAGGACTCAACTGCGCAGCGATCGTGAAAAGCGAGTGAAATGTACTTGAAAGTATTATTTTTTCATTTGTTGTTATTGTCGGTGGCATAAAACGAATATTCAATGGAAAATTTGCTTCATTTGACAAGTATTCCATTACATCGACTTCTTCATTGTTCATCATAATACGTGTTCCCTGCACGGTTATACCATTTATTGCCGCTACTGTATATCTTAAAAATCTCATTATTCCTTAGTATTCCATTTCATAAAATGAGATATTTTTTAAAAGAGATATATTCAACATATTTATATTATAATATATTTAGGTGATCTCGGCTGGAAGCTCGTCGAAGCCAGCCTAACCAATGACGAGTTGAAGGACAATTTTATTGTGAATATATTAATATAAGGATGCCGACGACCCATCTGTAGTTCTATCGTCAAGTGATTGAAGGTTTTACAGCAGACAAAGCTGGCATATGGTGAAAACTAATCATTTACTTAATACAAACGTTATTATCCTCCTTGATCTTCTTTCAAATAGTTAATTTACAGAAATTTTAGGCATTTATTCAATAGCATAGAATCGGTCATGCGATTCTGCAACATTCGCACTCCACCTCATTTGCAATTGCAGTTCAGAAAGGCGATACATCTGGCGAACAACCTGCTCTCCATCGGTCTCTTCAACAGCAAAAGACTTTCCAGTTCTCCACATTTCTCCTTCACACTTCACATTTCTCCTTCATCCAAATAATTGAAATATCCAATATTCGAGAAGAAATATTCAAATGACTTCTCGCCAGCGCTGTCCACCCAACCGAAAAGTCAAAAAACGAATAATAAGCGAAAAGAAAACAAACCTAATGGCAATAGAATCACGTTCACCAAAAACAACGCTAATTTTTTGGTCGACAATGTCGAAAATGATATCCAATGGATAACTAAATGTTTTCTCAATACCCACATTTCCTTCTTTACTGTCTTCCCAGTCGTAAATTAGGCTGCCAGCACGATTTATTATAAAAACCTGGTAAATCGACATTCGACCTTCGCAACATCAAAGCCATCAAACTCTCAACTTACAAAGGCAATATCACTGATAAAAGCCGATTAGTCTTCGCAGCATAATGCGGCCAAAATTTTATTCTTCGAAACACATTACCTGGTTGGAAAAGTCGTCACTTCGCAGTCCTTGAAACATTTAGGGTGTAATCACACAATTTAGTCTTATTCGTTGGGCTGCGGTCCTTAAATCTAGTGCTCTCCAACCGATCTGAATAGGGAGTTGTCGGTTCTTTGTCACGTAAGGTCATCCGCTAAGTACCGAGGTGGACGATGAGGAAAATTTTATTTTTTATTTCTTCTAAAAACAATTTATGCCATTCATATTGCTTGTTGTATTACAGTTTCTCAAAAAAACGGGAAAAAATTTTCACACTGCAATCAGTTTTGATCAGTTGTGTTAGATATGTTAGATATCTGAATAAAAGCGCCACATCTCACAGCATTTCTGGTTGGTTGCAGCTGCCTGCTCTCTCGTCACCTTACTTCGCGGCAGGGGAAGGGGCTTTCCGAAGCGCTACGCGGACTCCGCTTCTAGGTTTTTCCTCCTAAGCATCTTCGTATTCGACGTTTGCCTCCTATCGAAACAAAATCTTACCATTCAACCATTCTCATCCCAATTTCTTATTAAATCATTATGAGCCGTAAATTATTTGTTTATTTAAGGCTTTAATGGTCCTGCAAAAATTGAAAATGACTTATTTAGTCCAAATTTATAAATGCATATATGTTTTCTTAGTATTTAATAATTTTTTGGAAACTATATTTTCATTTTAATTATTCTGCTATTTAACGCCGGGATTCCAGCAAAAGAGCCGTTGTCCACGACAGTTTTGATTAACATTCTCGGCTCTCTTTTTCGACAGTGGTTTTATCAACCCAAAATTTTGCCAAAATCCATGAAATATTTATTTCGAAATTGAATGGAACCAAAATTTATGTAACGAATTTTCTAAATTTCATGTTTTGTAGCAAAAAAAATCTATATTTTTTTTGCTTTTTCTAATATTTCATCTTTTCTAAATTCATTAATTATTATGAATAACTTCTGCTTATTGAAAAATCTAGAGAGCCACTTTGGGGTGGAAATGCGGGTGAGTCTCCACCTCAACTTTTAATGACTGGTTTACTCCATACAATAGCTGAACTCATCACTTTTGCCCGACCTTTCGTAATATTCTGAGATATTTAATAATGCTGCTTGTAATATAATTATAGGAAATTAATAATTGTAAATTTAAATTTTTATTTATATTTTCCTGAATCTATACTTTTCACTGTACTTTAATAAAAAATTCGAATTTTATAATCATGGATTGTTTTTTTTACAGTAAGTTAACATCGAATTTGCAGAATATTGCCTTTTTACAAAATATTTACAATTTTTTATCTGGCAATTATAAATTTTATTTATATTTTTATTCCATAGGAAGGCTAGCAAGTTGAGATTCGGCTTTGGTGTGCGTATCACGCCAATCCATATCCACATTATCAGTTGATTTAATGAAATATCCGAGGATTTCCGAGGAGAATATCCGGAAGTGTGTCCATCGCTGTTCGGCCCAGGCTGTTTTGCGAGTTCTCTGGATCTATGAGCTCCTAGTGCATTTTGCTGCAACGTATTCTTCTACTCGACTATATGAAGCACATTATTCATAATGTTTGATTATCATTTTCTTCCAACATCAATCGGTTCATGAAAATTTTTGCCATTGTGAATACATTTAAAATCACTTATCCCTTTCTTTCCTTCTTCCTTTCTCCATTTTCCATTTTTTTTTGTTAAAATGCAAAAAAAATTTATTCTTTTATTTTTCCTTGAAAAAATGATTGGAAAAAAAAGTAAATTCAGTCGTCTAATTATTTATAAAATGATAGTTTTTATTGTTATTTTGTTATAATTATTAACATAAAATAAATTATAAAAAAACTGCTAAGACAGTAAATGATGATAGGTTTTACTTGTTAAAGAATAGAGATTAAAAGGTTTTTGCAAAGTATTGATATTCCAGTACAATAGATTTAATAAGTGAAAACAGATGGTCTTTCTTGCAAAAGTATGTATGGATAGAAATAATTAATTAGGCGCTGGCTTGATGACATTGAAACAGTCATTGTGTATAAGCCACTGACCATTGACTTTTTTCCATACAAGAAGATAAGCACCAGATTCAGTACCACGAGTGCCGTCTAGATGATAGCTGCCACGTTCAAATGCCCAATCACCACTCCCGTTCACTTCTTCCGTAATTATCTTTAATTTGGAGAAAATTATTTCCTTCCATTATATATGTTTATTTGAAATAATAATAACACTGCGACCAGTAAACTGCCAGTATTTCCTTGTTCTCATAAAATTTTAGAAAAACCTTATAAATTATCCGATTAATCTCTCCAGATTAAATAGTTAATTTTGAAATATATTCGAAATTTTGATAAGCTTAGTTTTTACCTGAACACTTTTGACTCCTTCTGCCATATCTTGTTTGAAATATGCTTCTATTCCTGAAAATTTTATGAATTTTTGACCTTGTTCGTTTGTTTTCTGCGAGGTTTCATAAAAAAATATTTTAAAAAACAATTGTTCGAATTATTTATTAATTCCAATAATTACCGGCGCGTCCTTTTACCGGATCTTTGCCGTTTGGCATAAAGTAACCATCAGGGTCGTATATGTTTGCTGCAGCAGCGGTATTTCCAGCGTTGAAGGCTTTCATAAATTCTGTCTGACGCGATTTGATTTCTTGGAATAGAGCTATAAATAAAATTCTAGAAATTTAACACGGTTAGGGCATCTCTACTCCACAATAAATATTGGTCGGGAACAATTTTCCAACTGTGCGGAATTAACGCTCATGAAACGGATTGAGTTCAATTTAAAGTTCAATTCACCATTCCTGGTTAAGCTTTGCCAGCGAGTCATTTGCTGATAAGTATATTGGTAGGAAGCCAGCACTATTCAAATTTTGATTATAGGTAGGTTTATTCTTCAAGAGCCTTGGCTATTCTATTCTACTCCCATTGTCTAAACTTCGCTAGAAATAATTGAATTACTTAGAACTGAATTTTAAAATAGTAATAAGAAATATAACTACCAAATTTTTTATTTTAATTTTAATGATTCGAAGTCTGCAGTAAATTATTATTATTGTTAGTGATAACAATCTTGCAACTGAAACGACAACATTCCATTTAAAATAATAACTCAAACTCAAATTTTAAAGCCAAATATGATGATCGATTTAAATGATAGCATTTAAAATTTCCTTTAGCTAAAATTAATGACAAACCGATTTAAAGCAAACTGACTGGACCGTTTAAAGTAGTTTCATGAGAATGAACTAATTTCTAAGGCAGAAAGCTTCTTCTTTGCGGATCGAAATAATGATAACCTACCCGGTTTAAAAGCATTAATAAGTGAATTGCTGAGAGGAATATCATGAAAGAAGTTCATAACCTACCACACATAATTGAAGTGAAGCCTTTCGGTTGTTATGTCGGATCTGCAAATGACACATTCGAAGTTTTGCCCTCGCCTTTTATACGCCCTACCGTAGCCCATCCACCTCCCTCCCTCTTTATTCTAATATATCACTTTTCCAATTATGTTTGTAGTACTTGGCAATTCTCTTATAGCCTTCAGAATTAAGTAAAGCAATTTTCACATACATCTTTCGTTCGAACGAACGCATAATTTATTTTTTATATTGGACCTCTTTTTCTTCTCCTGATTGCTGCTTTGCGTATTCCGTTGACCGATCATTAGGATGAGGTCTCCGCACCAAAGAATCACTTAGAAACTGAAACATAGGGGCTTTTTCCCTTTCAGTGGCAGATTACTCTAGGGGGTTGCTCTCAAACCATCCAGTCGCACACTTTTTTATGGCAGTAATATTTATTTTTTCATCAGTTAATTTTGTCATTTAATATTTATTTCTGGATAGTTTTTTGTCCGAGTAATTTTTTGATTTCTTTTTGCATTACACCACTTTAGAATAAATTCTATAATTTTGTTTCTATAAAGTGATGCAGGAAAGAAGCGTTTTATTTTTACTGTTTGAGTTCGGTGATTATATCTTATCACAAATCATTCAAATAGGGCCTTAGCTGTAAAATATTTTAATCACATAAGCCAGTTTTAATGAATGAACTGGATGCGTGCAAAATTACATTGACCTTCATCCACTTAATACAGTGGGCAATAGTTTGGCGACAAGCTATAGAAAAGAGGTAAAGAGGAGAAAATTTTCAGGTTAGAATATTTTTGCTTTCAGATTATTTTTCCTTACTTGTCATTTTTTTGCAATAAATTGCAAATTATATTTGTAATGGATGAACAGAGTACCACTGACCTATTCAGTTTCCCAATTCAGTTTCTATGGATTCAAAAAACGTTTTCACAATTAAATGTCTACCTATTTTAGCTTTTATTTTAGAAAATCCCATTTTTGACTTTACTTTTTCTATCAAAAATTTCATAAATCCATAGGAAAAATCCTCATAAAGCATTTGAATTCTTCACAATTTTCTCATATGATAATTAACTAAGATTTTTATCTGTTGAATATTTGAATTCATAATTACTATTATTACTAAATTTTACACTTTTTAAATAGCAAACAATTTCAAATTCGGTCGCTTTTCATAAAACATTATGTACGAATTGCAATTTCGAAATTCCAGAAATATCGTTGTGGCACTTTTCGTGGTTTTTTGTTTTTTAAGAGTTTACTTTTATAAAATAAACTTTAGCAAGCGTTTATTAAACTAAAACAAAATAAAAAAAACAATGTCAGTCATGTTGTTGCACTATTTTTCCTTAAAATAAAAAATGAAAATGAAACTGAATGGAAATTATAGAAAATGGTATTAAAATGGTAATGGAAAATGGCAAAATATTCTTAGATACATTCTATCAAAAATTTCGCAATCTTCAAATAATAGCCGAATTTACGAAAAGAATGAAGATAAAAATTATCATTTCTTCCCAATTTGAAGTACTTTCTGGCTCAAAGCTCCTTCACTAATATTAATAATTTACAAAAAAAAATTGAGTGTGCATTTTGCTGAAAAAATACCGGTAAGCAAACATTTGAAGAAAAAATCCATCCATAACAAATAACAAAAGAAAAAGATGGAGAAAAATCAAACTTACGAAAACTATAACGGAATAGATTTCCAATTCATTCGATTTTATTTTAATATGTGTGTTATCAAAATTCAGAAAATTAAGATGAATTTATAACCAAAAAAGAATTTTTCTATCGCAAATATATTTGGATAGATTAAAGATTTTTATCAAAAACAAAATGAAAAATAGCGCCAGTTAAAGAAAGAATGCCCTAAGGATGTAATTTTTTAAGCGGAAAAAAATCATGAAAATAAGCTATATTACGTATAAACCTATATTATTTTCATAGATTGATTTTTAATGAGACCTTTTCAAGCACATGTAGTGGCAGTAATTATAACCGCAAAAAAAATTACTTAATAATTACAAATAAGTCATCTGATTTCACTGATTTGGATACCACTTACAATGAAGATAAGATGTCGGCACAAATCCTTCTCTAGCAGATGCAACATGCCTAACACGAGTCCAACCATCACCTTCATCTCTTTCTGTTAAAATCATTTCATCGCCCTCTTCCATAGACATTGTTCCTTCGCTACCACCATCGAAATTATATAAAGCTGTGCACGTGCCCAAAGCTGGCATATCACATTCTTCATAGACTTCACTTTTTTCAACAACTGGAGCAGCTAAAAGTCAAAATATTAAATTATAATATTAAATATTAAAACATATCATAATTTTAAGAAAATATTTGTTTTTACTTTTAATCGCATGAAGAGGTGACTTTTGTCGAGCACAAAGAGCAGCCGATCCATCAGATGATACAGACTCCTCAGAATATGAGGAACGATTATTTAAGACTGTATTAGAATTAAATGGCTGTTGTGGCGAAGCCTGTGAAGGTGTACTTAGTCCAGAATGAGAAGGTGGGGGTGGCCTTGCTGGTGGCTCTGATCTGAATGATTTTAATTAATTCTGTTTAAATTCTGTTTAAAATTGTTTAACCCTGCTTTTTTTCAGTTCAAAAATTCAAAATTAAGCCACTGATCAGTTTAGGATAAAGAATAAATAAAACCTTTAAAAAATGGATTTTAATCTTACCCTATAGCAGATATGGGTACATTTAATTCTGATTGTGCTTCACCAAGCATCTTCTAAAACAATCATTCTTAGATCAAGAATTACAATGAATAATTTTAAAATAATGAAAGAAAGGGGATAATGAAGAAAAATCAGAGAAAAGGAGATTTTACCTTATATTTTGAAAGAGTTCTTGAAAGGGCATCGATTTTTTTCTTATATAAAATGATTTCCGAATCAACATCATTCGCGTTTCCTAATTTAGGATTATCTCTAAAAAAAAGAATGTAATCATAAAATATATATATATATCAATCTATATGATATATGTCCTATTAAATATATTTTTATTCATTAAAAATTTATTATTTTTATTATGAATATTTTTATCCACATCAAGGAAAAATTTTGGACATAAGGAGACCAGTGATATATGGACTTAGTGGAAAAAGGAATGGCTTCTATAATTATCATCAGCTATAGCGTTGAACAATTTGAAAATGTCTTAGCCTTGCAGTCAGTGGCGCTAGCTTAACCAATAATGGTGGGTAGCTAGAAGAAAAAGAAAAATTCATAGTTATTATTAATATAAAATTCATATGAAAGATAGCTTGTTTAGAATGTTTCGAGAATTATGATTCTGTCCCTACCGCCAGGATAAAAGGAGTCATTTGGACCAGGCAGGTATTGGGAATCCATCTACAATTCAATGCCCTGGATATCAGTGATGAATGAAAAAATGTCTTTTTAAAAATGTACCTTCATTTTGCTGAAAGAAAAACAAGAATTTTGGAGAAAATATTTTGATTGAGGCAAATGAAAAAAAGGAAAAATATATGAAGTATAATAATACAACCATCAAATTATTACGTACTATTATTTAAGCAAATTATTAAACAACAAAATTCTGAAAAAAAAACTAAAAGGTGTAATTTACCGATAAACCTGAAGCATCTTTACTGCACCTTCACGACTCTGATTATTTTTTTCAATTTCTTTTTCAATATTATCAATCTCTTGTTGCAATCTTCGACATCTTTGTTGAGGAGGATACGAGCTAAAGTCGATAGTTCCATCCTAGATAAACTCAATGATATTCAGTGTAATTTACAAGCTAAAAAATGTAATTTAATTTAGTAACTTTATAATAATGAATTCCGAAAAAATAATTCAAATCAAGCGTAAAACAAATTTTAAATCGATGTTTAAATAGGACAAACCTTACGCATATGACTATTGCCTTTAAATATGCCCATACTTGGCTTTCGATTTATGCGAGAAGTACCATTTTTCATTGATCGTCGGATAGTATCACTATTACTGGTTCCTTCACCAGTTACAACAGCAGAAGGAGGACCTAAATCTTCAAATGGAAATGGCTGAGGATGAGCATATCCAGACCTAAACCAATTAATTATAAGTGAAAAAACATATTGTAATCGATAAATTATATAATATAATTATATAGTAAATCATTTAAATGCTAACTGACCTATACTGTTCAACTACAGTGGCAGAATCTTTCGAAGGTGTAATTTTTGAAACTGCTGCAATCATATCACTATAGCACCTCTGAATAATCGACATAATTTTCGTTTCCGCTTCAACGCTTTGCAGCATTATTGATTTTGTCTCGCTAATGCGTTCTTCATCCATTGCCCTCAGACGCTAAAATATTTTTGCAGAATGTATAGAAATCTTCCGGACAAAACAATGAATTGAAATGTTTGAAAAAAAAATTAAGAAAAATAATTGCAATCGACCTCCAATAACTGCGGCAATAACTGATTATAATGTTGGTGCTGTTGTTGATTTGCTGCTTGTAGTGCATGAGCATAATTCTGTTTCGCTTCTTCACAAAACTGCGTACGTTGTATTGCATTATTTTTTGCTTTTTCAAGTTCAGCTCTCGACAAATCCATATTTTTTTCTGCTTTATCATATTTTAAATGGGCTAGTTCAGCCTCTTTAAAAGCTTTGCTAAAGAAAAAACAAATTATCAACAAATTCAAAAATTTTCCAAAAATTTAAATAAAATTAAATATCTCTTAGATGAAAGTAAAAATATATATAAAATATTTTACGAATTTGCAAGAATTTTTGAAATCTAGAAAAAATTTGAAATCAATTTCAGAAAAATGGCAAATTGCAAATAACCAATAGCTTTTTTGGAATTTTATCAAGTTATCCACAGAAGCATTCAACAATCCATGTACAGAATTAAGCTCATTTAAATGAGCCTTCCTAGTGGCACGTAAAGAAGCGCCTTTAGTCAATATCGCTGGATGAATATCTTTTCGTAATCCTTCAGCTATTAACTAAAATACTAAATTCAGAGTCTCATACTACCGAAAATCAGAAAAGACACTATAAAAATTGCCTGCCAGACTCAGTTCTTAATCAATTTCACTCACAGAATAACTATCATAAATCTTTTTTCATTTCTCATTCTTAAAAATTAAATAATTCTCACTTCATGTTGTCCAGCCAAACTCTCAACTTCATGAAGCACTAAATAAAAACAATTTGTATAAGTATATGAACGCGTTGATTCATCGTCATCTTTTTTTTTGCCGAGATTTTTCTTTACCAGTGCTCTTAAATATGACTATAAATAAATGTGAGAAAAAGATGCAAAGAAAATAAATCAGAAACCATCTTCGTCCATTTGAAAATAATTTGCAATTGAAATATTAAATAGGAATCACTGAAAAGAAATTCTACGAAAAATTCGAAAAATATTAAAATATTTATCCCAAAAATTCGATTCATTTGGAAAATGAAAAAAATGCTAAATCTTTGAGGATTCAAAAATTCGTGAATTTAGACATCTTGATATTAAAAAATTAAAAAAAGTTCGAAAAACTAACCTAAGTTTAGCTGCATATTCTTCTTCTATTGCTGCACGTTCTTTCAAAAATAAACCATATTTTTCAAGATGCTCAATTCCTTTCTGGGTATGTGACGCTAATGCGTCAAGCTGATCCTGAAACGGCAGATAAAAATGAGATCACACTGTATATTCAAATACATCTGATGTTAAAATATACTTTACGTTAAAAAATACAGCTATCATTAATCGATACTGATATCCAGGTGATTCTATTCATTGAAGCATTCAACAGCCGAGGATGACTACTTACATTAAGTTACTCTTACCACCCTTACCACTTACGTTAAGTTTACACGAATTTCAGCTACTGCAAATGCATGATGTTGTGACATGTTTTGCTTGAATGAAGCTATTGTTAAAAAAACCAAAAACCTAGCAACTGACCAAAGTTAAAAAAACCAAAAACCTAGCAATCGACCAAAATATCAAAGCCCACCAAAAAAAGTTGAAAAAAAAAAAATTTGCAAAGAAAAAATTATTATATATACATATATATTACGAGAAAGGGTGAGGTCATGCATAATTTTTCAGTCATATAGATTTCATATGCGGCCGCTACCAAATTTTTTTTTTTTTTTGTACTAGCAGATAAATGCGCGCATAACATAAAGTTAGTAAGTGGTTAGTGCTCACAACTTCTAATTTTATTAGGCTAGTTCTGCAAGGTGAGAAATTTCTGTTACAGAGAAATAGCAGTGTAGATTGGCTATCATTTAGATTTTTTGATGGCAGATTTTCACTGCTGCCAAGGAGAACTCTTTGCGATATTCTGCAACATTATCATATAAGTCCTGCGGCTTGACTTATGCGATAAAATCACAAAGTTAATTAGTGTATAAAATATATTGGAACTAAATCAAAAATAAAAATATTATATATTAAGTATAAAAATTAAAAATTATATGGAAATTAACATAAAAATTTGGAAAAAGACCTCGAAAAAACAACTTACCCATAAATCTGCCCAACTTGTTACGATGGATGCACTCATTATTCCTTTGAACAATATCGACTAAATCACATTAAATTACTTTTTATACCCGGTAATATCAATTAGCGTATATTATAACTGGAAAAAACATAAAGATGTAAAGAGAAAATGCTATTCTTTACGGGAATCCTCTTTTATCCTCTTCTAAGATAATGCATAATTAGGACAATGATAACCATTCTTTTTCCTCTAAAGCATTCTTGTCCAGTATCATGGAACTAATCTATATACTAAGTAATATTCCACACGAACATACTACCCTCTAGTGCTATAATTAACAAATAAAGAATAAAAATTAATGAAGAAATAACAGCAAAAATATATAAGAAATTTATAAGAACAATTTGTTACTTTTTGACTTTTACTTATTAATATAATTAAAATTATTGATTGCTTCTCATGTCGAAATTTCAATCAATAAATACTATTGAATTTCAAGGAAGCGAATGAAAACAAAAAAAAAGATGAAGAAACTAAACTTTAACAAATATTTTTAATTTAATTTTAATTTTCCATATTTACATATTACAATTATAATATTAAAAATAAAAAATACTTAAATTAACACTTTAGTAAAAATACTTTTAAAGAAGAATTTCTATAGAAGAATTATAGAAGAAATGATAGCAATTCATCATACAAAGACGACCAAAAATTTTCTCGAAAAAAAATTTATGAAATTATTAGCGGTGATGACTCATTCGCCAAAGATATTTTCTATAATAATTGGGCACAAAAAACCCCAACTGATTTAATCTGGAATGTTCCAACGATAATCAAAAGTACCACAGTCCCTCCGTTGTCCAAACGTACCACATACCAACCCTTACTCATCAAATTTTTCCTGCACAACAAAGCCATAAGAACTTCATACGACACCGTTATTTGCCACTGAGAGAAATGAGGCCATGGCCGATCTGGTGGCCGCGTTTACCTGCTCGCAACAAACAGTTTTTGTTATCGCTGCGAAATTGCTAATCTACAAATTGACGGAATGAAAGTTGCTATGGGCTTACGAGTACTCCTATGACTCTCTGGCCGGAACTATCTCAACAGTGCGGACAAACCAGAAACTATGAGTGCTGCCATGTAAAAAGAACTATTAGTAGGGTGAAAAATTTTGGTAGGAATTCTCCACGCGAGAAGTTCAAGCGGGTCACCGGGACAAGCCGATTTTTCGGCTTCATTTCTGTCGGAGGGTGCGAACTGTGTGACGCTTAAGAAGGTGATCTAAGCGATAATCGCTCCGCACTCCCATCCCTACAATAAAAAAATGAGAAAAGCTGAAATAATCATACACAAATTATTTATTATCTTTCAAAAATGTTTATAGTAATTTATAAAATAACTTTAGAACATCCTATGAGGCACGAAGTTTCCACATATTCCGATTCAGAGAATATTTTTAAAAAAAAATAACGAATTTTTAGAAAAAGCCAATATTTTTACAGTGAAGATTTACGAATGGCAAACCGAATTTTGGCAACAATCTTAAAGTAATCGGAATAAGATAAGATTACTGTGGTGAAAAAATCAAAAATACTTCAATGGTACAAGAAACGGTGAGGGGAACAAGGAAAGATGTGGACGATGAGATTTAAATGGTTCCTGATTTTGTTTAGATGGCACTCATTCATATTTTAATTTCCTGTTATCAGAGATCAGAGAATTGAATCAACTATAAACGTTAGTTACCGGAACGATAAAAAAATTTGAAAAATATAATTAGTTAAATGAATATTAAGTTTTTTCTCGAAAAGAAAGCAGGCAGTTCAACTGAGTGTACGTTGTTCGACTAGACCATATATCGTGGATTCGGCTTTGCTTCCTGGTGACAATAAACCTGTCATTAAGAGTGAAAACCGAGTGGTACTTGTCTTTAGCTCACTCTTTTCGCTCTTTCTAACCAATTAATAGAGATAGTCAAACCAGAAGGAATGGGCAGTAACTGTAGAAGTAACTGTAGAAAAAATTCAATAAACTTGTAAAGTTCTTCATGTAGAAAACTTTTCCCTCATCTTAAAAAAGCAATAATAATGATAATATTTTAATTCTAAACTTTTATAATGTGTTATTAACATTCCTGAACAAATTCTCGCGATAAATTTCATAAATTTACCGGTTGAAATTTTTTCCATGTCAAGGTTAATTTTTTTAAAAATTTTATTAAAATTATTTCGATTTTTAAATTTACAATCCCTGTATTTTTTATATTTTAAAAAAATAAATACTTCATTAGAACAGAAATATATTTATTAATTTATCGTCGATTTAAGAAAATATCTATCTTTGACCACTATTTTAGAGGTTCGCGGAGTGGATAAAATCTCACATGATTACATCCACCTTCGTTGAAATACCACTTGCATTAATAACGTCATCAGAAAACTTCGTTTTCGCTGGTTAGGACACATTCTTCGTCGCCTACGACAGTAGTTGATACATATTTCGTTATTTGCTAGACCCTACGATGGATGGCAAAAACGAGGAGAGCCAATTCAAATATGGACCGATACAATCAGGAAAGATTTCGAACGTATAGATGAACCAGCGATATATGGACTTAGACGATAGAAAAAGGAATAGCAACTTGGAAATCTTACCTCTGTAGCCAAAGGAAACAGCCTCACCAGTAATGGAAAGAGCCACTAAAAAAGAAGTAAAGATGGTCAAACCATTTCTAGTAAGGGACCAAAGAGACAATTGGTAATAAAATGTTAAGTGGATCACCAACACTATCAGAATTTTTTAATGATAGGTTCAATCCCGGAGACTGCTTTTCAACGGTAGTCTTAGCCATTCAGCTATGCTACTCTTGAAGAAGACTAAAATTCTTAAATTCTTAACAAAATTTGTTCATAAATAGTAATTTTATTTTTAAATTTTGGTTTACAGAATATAGTATTCGATGATAGGAAGCCTTCAAAAATATCAGTTTGTTACTACCGAGGATATTTCAAGATATTAACAATCTGATTACCCATATTACCAGCATCTTACCTTAGCAGCACTCATTTTTGCTTTGAATGGCTATTAAGGATGGAACCTTTTCGCCAGAGCGAGAGATATGGACAAGGCGTGAATCCTGGCAGCTCCATATCCGTATTAATTAGTACAACAATAACATTAATAATCGATACAAGCATTATATAAATATATATATATATATATATATATTTATATATATTTGCGTAAATATTGAATGGATTTCTTAAATCTAACAATACTGAGAGAAGGAAAACGTGATGAAAAATCTGATTATCACAGTCTTAAATTGGCTAAAATTTTGGATGCTCTGTTTTTCGTATTATTAGCAAATATAAAACTTATCTACATTATTGATATTATTTAAAATTAGAATTTACAGAAATAAATAGAAATAAAAAAATTCCTCAAAAGAAGAATAGAATAGCGATGAACCTCGTTAAATGGTCAAATTCAATTTTTAAATACACAATGGAGGGCGAAGCCAACTGCACTTCTATCTCTCTGGCCAAATGAGTGTTCAACAGCCAATGTTTGAACTTCTAGATTTTTGATTTTTCTTACCATCGTTAAAATACCAAATATTAAAACAATTCGAAAATTTATAAATATATGAGATGATTTTGTAAACTGCAACAACTTAACGATATTTTCGATACAATATTTTTGTGTCGTTATATATTATCTGACATTGACATTGATCTGATGTAAGATACGGGTTCGCTAAGTGGATAAAATCCCATATGATCGCATCCACCTTCGCTCAAATACCATTTGCATTAACAGTATCATCACAGAGCGTCGCCTTCGCTGGTTAGGACACAGTGGCTTCTACTGCTGTCGACAGTGGCTTCAGATCGCGCAAGCTTGGAAATTTCTTAGCCTTGCAACCAGTGCGGCCAACCTAGCCAATAATGGTGAGAGCCATTAAAAGGAGAAAAATTTGTACGTCGCTAACAAATTCGATCATCACTTAACGACGACGAACTCATTCATTTGACACCGTAAATTTTATTAAACATATCGATATTTCGTTTTATTCGAAATATAAAATTTTAAAGAAATTAAAATTTACATATTAAAAAAGAATTTTATAAATTTCCTCAAAATTTTTAGGCATAAAAAAGAAATTGTAGCAAAATTTTGAGCACCATGGCTTCGCCCGCACCGTAGAGAAAAAAAGAGTCGGTGAAAAATCCGAATGGTGCTGTGGGATCCATCGTCGCTTCTGAAGCAAAACGATGAAAAAGATTTTCGTTGTATTTTAAAAAAAACGAAATTAATGTGCCGTAATACAATTTTAAAAATGAACATTATTTAAACATAAACATTATTGCTAGCAAAAATTTGAAAAAAAACAAACCAATAAAGAAACCAACAAAATATATATATACAATTTGTTTAAGTAAATTAAAAAAGTTGAACAACTGTTTTTTGAAAAACAATAGGAAGTGATTCTGACTGAAAAGACTGTAGATAAAGAATCGAGTGGCGTGTTGCTTGGACCAATGCCAGACCATTAATGGTTCCATTCGTGTTCATTCACCGCGATATGGCGGGAGCAAATCTGTCCTCGAAAGCAATCCAATCTGCATGCACTATTCTACATCCAAACGATTCTCTGGCAGAGTTAGCTCATCGCAATAAATAGCGAAGTCAGCCAAACCACGAGTGATGAGTTTTATTAAGAAAAGAAAATGGAAAGGATTGATATCAAATATAACGAGATACGAACATCACAAATCAGCACTTCACCCAGCACGTTTGTTCGAAATAGTTACTCGGGGTTTCTGCAGACTAAACGATAGTTATACTCCTACTCGAAGCATTCTTCTGCCAGAGGGACTAATTTCCCAATTTTATCCTTAAAAGCGATTTCATCTTCTCAAGCGGTGTCCAGCAGTGCTTAAATTCAACTGAAATCATAATAGACCACTCGCGACCTGTCCAATGAAATTTTTTGGACGAGCTTTTTATTAAGAAATATTTTAAAATAAATTTTACTAAAATTCTCCATCGAGTACATTAATATTGATTTAAAAACCACGTTTTCAGCAGAGGATGAATGACATCTGGAATAACGTTTATAATTAGGAAAACTGAAAAGGGGGTCTATTTAATGGAAGAATTAAATAAATAAATAAAACATTCTCCACTAATCTCATTCTTTTCTCTTAAATTAAAGTCTAATTTAAAGTCCTCGAAAAATTCTTTGTAAGAATAAGTAATAATAGTAATAAAATAATAATAATGGTAATAAAAAATTTTTTTTTATCACTATTATCTACTACGATGACAGTTGATGATAATCATAATAATTATACTAGTGATAACGATAAATATTAATGATAACAATGATAAATATGTAATAAGTACATATTCAATTCAAATATTGTTTTAAAACCATATTATTTAGAAGAAAAAAATAAAAAGTACCATATATTAACCATATAGCTAAAAAGCAAATTATAAGGAAAATTTTAGTTCATGGAAGTTTCTTTTGCAAAGTAGCAGAAATATGGAATTAAGGCGAACGACTTCGCTCAGTTCGACACGCTTCCTTTTCGATTCGATAGGGTCCGAATAGACGTGCAGTTAAAAGTGAATCGAGGCGGTCGAATCGAGGAGTGGCGGTCCCCAAACTGCTCTTCTTTCAGCGAAGGAACGTTTGCTCAGTTCGAATTCACTTTAAATAACGACTGGAGAAGCCAAACGAGAACCTACAAGTTCTTCGAAGATGCATTGAGCAAGCGAATTTTTTAGAATAGATGGAGGAAAATAGAAAATAATATCCCTTTATGAATACTTTATTATTTGAATCTGCGAATATTCTTTAAAAAAACAAATGGCTAAACAACTGGTCAGAAACAAACAATTTGCTGCCGCTGTAGTCGATAGTTCGTCTTGGAAAACGGCAAATATTTGTCCTTCTCGCAGTCATAAATTTAGTGAATGGTGGCGATTTTAGAATAACGTAAATGCCCACTAAAATCCAATGCAAAGGCATAGACAAGGCATATGAGTGAGCTGAAAAACGACGGCCATTGTTTACAAATGGCACGAAAAGAAGGCATGTTATGGGATATTTTTTATCACAGATGCGATAAATTGGATAATGGATAGTGAGCGCTTGCAGCCACTAAAGGTTCCAATCGGTCCAAAGTGTAATATAATAGACCCCGAAAACTGCATTAACGTTGTCTCTTGCACTATGTAGAAATACGACAGCCGCCACCATGTTACTGCAGCAAAACTGCACCGGGCTCATTTCAGAAGAATAAGCTTATAAATTTGCTGGCGGCTGAAAAAGCTCTGACTTTTGAGTATCTTGGATCCGCTGCAATGTCTTTTAGAAAGCAGAATATATAGAGATTCCATCTTCGCATAGCTACACTTTGGACCGATTGGAACCTTAAGCTACATTAAGAAATGCTTATTTTCGAAACCCTACTGGCCTCGCCAAAAATATCCATTGTACTATCCTGAGTGCAGCACTTTTATATAATTCAGAAACATAATGACATGAGATAATAGACATCAAGAGACCATTTACCTCGGACAATTCCTATGTTATTTCCCATGTTCTGCTCGATCAGATAAATTCTCAGAATTGCATCCCCTTTTTCCACTTAACACGCACTAATGTTATTATAATTATACTAGTGATAACGATAAATATTAATGATAACAATGATAAATGTGTAATAAGTACATATTCAATTCAAACATTATTTTAAAACCATATTATTTAGAAGAAAAAAATAAAAAGTACCATATATTAAATACATAGCTAAAAAGCAAATTATAAGGAAAATATTAGTTTATGGAATATTAATTTATTATTATAGCTTGATTATGCCACGTTCTTCGTCGCGCATCATCAAGGGTATATATGCCTCGTTTTATGCTATGCACTATGGTGGATAAGGTCATTCACGGTGACGGTTCGATATATGATGCGAAGGGGAAGATTGCTGAATTAAAGCTTGATAAGGAATGTTTTGAAGAAATGGGTTTGAAGTGCTCAATAAGATAGTATACTTTAGGAAGATTTTAAGTGAGTGTGACGGGAACGAAACGTTTTTATCATCGATGGACAACCAATCGTCATGCGGAAAAACGATGGAAACATGGAAAAAACGCATCAAAAGCATTTGTATCTAAAGACAGTGAATGCGGAAGCATTGTCCAAATTGGTCAATTAAATTATTTTTACCGAAAGGAATTAAGGATTTAATGAAAAAATATTTTTTTTCAAAAGCATCGTTAATTTCAATTATTTTTTAAAATATTCAATTATGATATTGTGTTTATTTAATTTAGAAAATTCTTTAGGATTATTTTTTAGATTTTGGATTTGTGCAGTCGCGTCAAGCAGATGTTTTTTCCATGTTGCCAAATTTTTCGTGCCAGGCAAGGAATGGTGCAATTAACATAGCACTTAGGCAAGGAATGGTGCAATTAACATAGCACTTAGGCAAGGAATGGTGCAATTAAAATAGCACTTATCAAAATCAAGAAATCAACTGCGAACTCAACATATAATAATGCACAAATTAAATTTATTTCTAAAAAAATTTTGCAAAAATTATAAAATTATTTCAAATTAGTCAAGCGAATTATATAAGAGGTTGCTGCCTTCGGAAAATAAATTGGCAGATAACGAGGACAATTTGATGGTTTTCGATTATTCGATTATAAATATAAGAGCATTTCTTCTGGAACCATACATGCCAGATCCTTTAACCGATGTTTCTTATTAATATGCATTAAATAAGTTCCTCAATTCTTGAACAATTTCGCTTGAGAGAGAGGGTAAATTAAGTAAGAGTGACGAGCAGATTGCTTCACGATTAAATGTCGTTTTCATTTTCAAAATGAAATTGAGATTGAAATTTTTTTCTCGCTTTGGAAACCTTAAAAATTATCTGCATGATAAATTTTTAACAAGTTTACTGCTAGTCCGATCGTTTCCTGTTTACGAGACCACAGTAGCTTTTGCATTCGCCATTTCACAACACTCGAAAAATTTTTTGATCACAACCATCAATGAGAATGATAAAATTCGGTCTCGAAAAATTGGGGTATGACAGGCGGTTTCAATTAATAAGTGCCATCGTCCGATTGCTGTCTCTTCACGGATATAAATCGATCATTAATCTGTTCCCAAAATGTCTTTTCGGCATTTTCATGCTCGTCGATGTCATGGAAAATTCAAAATCGAATAATAAAATTCTATTTTGAAAATATGTTTTTATAATAAATGTAGATACAGACGCCGAATCCAGCAAAACCGAAAACGATAAGTACTATTAACACGACTTTGGATATATAAATGGCATTAAATATTGCTGGCTGTACCAGTAGAGTTGATTTTTGCCAAATTTTCGGGGCAAATGTGGTCATTTCCTTCTCCCATTCCATTTGTTTAAATTTTTTATACCATTTTTCAGCCTGAATATTCCTCGATATAGTTAGTTATTTATATATGCCTGTTTCCTAAAGTTCGTTTCAAAAAATTTCATCCAAATTTAATTTTTTGTTCATCCGATTTTTCATAATTTTGCAATGATTGCTAATTGATATATAGAAACAAATATTTTTATTAAACATAATGTAAAAATGTTTAAGAAATCACATAAAAATATATTTTTCAATTTTTTCAAATTTATTTTTCAGCTTTAATGTATTCTTTTTTTAACTTTAACCTCTTTAACTTTTATCATGTTTTATTCCTTAAAAGATCAGAATTAAATAAATCCTTAAATATATATTATTTAAAAAATAATTTTTGCCTTGTTAAAGTGATAAATATTTTATCTTCGCATTTTCCATTATTACTTTTAGGAACAAATTAAATAAAATTATTTATGACATCGCTTATCGCATATTGCAAACATGATAAAAGTAATAATGCAAACTGCAAATCTTTCCAAACCAATCCAATACCTCTTCTTTATCAGTTATTTTGCAACAGTTTATTTTCCCTCACACTAATATAAAATATCTTTTCCCTTTTCTTTTTTCTCATTTTTTTTTAATATAAGCACATGGCGCTTGTCATTTGATTAAATAAATATTACAGCTTTAACAGAAGAGAAATCAGGAAATTATTAATAAAACAGCCTAAAAATGATCAGTCAAATAAATAATTAGGAACCTCAATTCCCAGTGATACCCATACTATTAACACCTTCCAGCAGCTTACTGGGTAATACCGTAACCTCGGCTGCACCAAAATACAGAAACGATTGGTCACGAGCAATAGAGTTTAACAAGAAATTGAGTAAATCGAATTTTTTTCGAAAGAAATAATGTTAATAATTCGGACATCAAATTATCCATCCTACGATACGATCTTTGTGAGTCTTTGCTTCTCGATATATGTAGCTAATCCACCGATGGTTAGGATCGTATTTATCACCTCTCTTAAAAACAAAGTATATTACTCAAAATCCATTGAAACTCGTTATATTCCCTTAAACAATTGTTTAAACTCTGTTATAACCGTTAACACTCCTCAAATCCACATTATTCTCCTTTAATATTCCTTACTCTTTGCCCTCTCTCTCGTACAGTCCCGGTTAATGGAGAATTATTATTTTTTCTATAAACAAATTATCTGGTGTAAAAGAAACAAAAAAAAGTTTAATAATATTTAAAAGAAGACAAAACCAACATAGAAACAATCGTAAGTCAAAATTAATGAATAATGAAGGAATTAGATGAAGACTTGAAAAAATCCCTGAAAAAATTTCATAAGAATGGTTAAGAATAAGCAACTTTTGAATGAATCACAACATACAAACAATAAACATTCTTCGCCATGATAACCAACTCTTATTAAAATCGCTAATTTTTCAAGAGTTTCGGCGGTGTTTCGGCGATGACGTCATAAATAAGTCATCAACATCAATTTTTTTGTAGGATGATCGAGCTGATAAGTTGATTTGACTGATTTTAAGCAACACAGGTTCTTATCTATAGGTAACTGCATTAAAAATGAAATCTAAGAATCACTGGAATTTCTTTCTACTCCCAATGGCTTTCAAGCGAAGAACTTTCTAGCAGTCAGTAAAAATCAAAACAGGGAGATGAATGCAGCTGGAAGAATAATCCTCAATGATATTAATGATAGCGAAACATTTATTTCATCGTTTAAATTTGTCTTACAAGTGAAATTAATGCTAAAAAAATAAATACAAAGAACCATGAACCAAGATTATGTAATTATGTAATAGAATACCAAATACGTATGGTCTTATCAGGTTCTAACGTTCCCGATGCAATAATATTTTCATTTGGATGACAAGCGCTGCTTAGAGGCACATCTATAAAAAATAGGAAAAAATAATGAAATAACAGTAGAAAAAATATCAACCAACATTTCATTGAGATTCTATATATGTTGTAAATATAATCATTTTATGATCAATATTTTCATATTTTACAAGTGATTATTTATTTATTTATACTATTTATTTTACATTTCTGTAGACAGTTAGGAAAAAAAATTAATCCTAGGGGATGGGAATTTTACTAAGAAACGATGTAATTTATCTAAAGAATTTAAACTTGTTTTATGACATTATGTATATATAAAAGCTTGCAGAGACTAGAAAAGAATAATTTATTTATGGAAATTTAAGCTATAAACTTGTTCGATAGAATAGGAAAAAAACCTGAATGTCCCTCTAACTTCTGAACAATTTCTTTGGTATGAATATTCCATATATAAATGGCATTATCTTCTGATCCGGAAACAATCCACTATAATATAAAGATAAAAAATATTAATTTTACCAAAAAACTGATTTCTTTTAAAATAAAGAAAGCAAAAAATCACCTTTCCATCATATGTAAAGCTAGAGTAGAGGCAATATTGATCATTCTTATGCCCACTGTATTTTCTCACACTTTTACCTTTGAAGATATTCCATAATTTAAGAGTACTGGAAAACAAATATTTAAAAATCCATATCCTACAAGATATGTGCTCTTTTAAAATTTTTCAAACACAGAAGGAATAACTGATTTGATTAAGGAAAAATTTAAAACGAGAGAAATAAAAAAATTTAAAAAAACAAGGAAAATAAATAGTAGAAATATCAATTAATGTATTTAAAAAAATCAATTAAATGCATAAAAAACCTATTTTGTGCAGCAGCAAGTATATATCGCCCATTTGGTGAAAATGTGGCAAAAGTTGCAGGTGGATTCTCCGTATCACCAAAGTCTTCAATAAAACAAAGTGGGTTAATTACTTTTATTTAGTCATGAATAATAAATAACTGAAATACAAAATTTTTTCAAAAAAATTCTAAATTCTAAAAACCTAAGAATAAACATAAGTTCGATTCCCGAAAGGATTAATGGGTGGTTTCGGTCGGAAAGAATAGAACTTATCATTAAATCCAGGTATTTCCTTTTTTGTTGACAAAGTATTTCCACTCTTAACAACTCAGTTTTTTCATAATTATTATCTTACTGCACATAAGTCGGAAAAAAAACTTATTTATTTCCAACAAAATCGGCCAAATTTTTCCAAAATTTTTCTTAAACTCTCACTCTAAGAAAAAAATCCCTTTCTCAACTCCTGTGAATGATAAGAATTATCCTCAACCTCGAATCCTCTAACAGGTCTGTGAGATTAAGGATTCTACATCTTAGCTGCTTCTAGCAGTGCGCTCTTCTAAATAAAAATTGCTGTCGAGAATTTATAGAAGCCACCTTTCTAATTTTGAGGTCATCGTTCCAAACCCCTGGTATTTTTTTTACTTTTCATATTCCTTCTTCCTAAAGTTCCGGCCACTTGCTATTGTTATATCCTTGACCAGTGCTGATTTTTGATTCTTGAATAGTATCACGATATCTGGTTAATTGACCAGTACTTGTTTATTTGTCTGCATGGAAAAATCTCACACAATTTTCACCTTATTCACGATTTTCTGAAGTATCTTCCATCTAATCTTGGAAGGATCTAAGCTATATACATAGTGAGTAGACATTCCTGCAGATGATGCTACTTGGTTCTCCCTTTCAGTGTTGCCTGTTGTTCCTGCTTGCATTTCAATATTTCCAATCCAATTACAGCTCTTTTAGACTAAATGTAAAGTACTGGAAAAACTGATTTGCAACAAGTTGCTTAGCTGTCTTGATGCCAATAATTTCGTACCCTCCTATCAGCATAGATTTTGCTCGAAAAAGCCCATTTCACAAATATTGACAAATCTTTCTGGTTGATCAGCATCATGATAACGGAAAAACAATATCAGTTGCATTCGACCAAAACATTTTATATCGTTTCTCATAATAAACTGTTTGTAATCGTTAATCTCTTTGTGCCCTTTAATGAACCCAATAACACTCTCTGAAAGCTCACAGCAATATCTTCAAAATCTTTTCTGTAAAATCTTTGCCCGTAGTACTGAAACTCCTTAATATTTCATTTTCTGCGGAAAAACTTCACTAACTCCGTTATATTTATTTACTTACCATAATCTATTAGTGATCCATTTTTAATGCCTTGATCCTCTCCTAAACCCAGCTTAACACCACCCACTTTGATACCCAAAGTTCCATCAATCTTCAGTGGGCTTTTCGTAACTAAAGTCATAAAAAGCAAAAAATGGAGTTAAAATGAAGAAGGATGAATCGAAGGAATCTGAAGATATTTGGAAAAAATTGGAGTTACAACGGTTTAGATATTAAGGGAATACAACGGATTTTGAAAATATCAAGACATGAATGAAAGTTTGAAGACTATTCACCCATAAATCGAGTTTTTCATTACTTAATGATAGATTACAACAAGAATTAATAAAGATCGATAAAAAAATTCACCAACGAGAGTTTTCACGCATTGCCCACCAGGAATATCCCAGATGCGAATGAGCCCATCATAACCTCCTGAGGTTAACAAAACACCAAAACTGAAACAAATATTAAAGAAAATCGATAAGGTATAATTTTTTTAATATTGACCAAATATTTTTAAGAAGCTATTATGCAAAGAATAAATAAAGAGGCTTTTGCAGAAATCTATACCAGTCAAATGAAACAGCACAAACTGGATCTGAATGAGCAGGAAAAGTTCGTATGCAATTACCATTTCTAACATCCCATATTCTAACCGTTTCATCACAAGATCCCGAAGCAATAAGTGATCCTTGTGGATTGAATGTGCAACAAAAGACATAATTTGTATGTCCTTTTAATGTTCTTACGCATCTGGCCTACAATAACTTTAGAAATTTCTCAATCCTTAATATTTAAAAAAAATTTCTTTTCAACTGAGAGTTTTTTACATATTTTCTTTTCAATAAAGCATTGTTTAAACAAGAATTAATATTTGCTCAACTAATTTCTTTTATTTTCGAAAGTTAAAAATGTATAGCTTATTCAGAACTGAATTTAGATCCAACGAAAATTTAAAATCTAATTCTTTTCACAAATGAAAACGACTAACATTATGCACATCCCATACTTTTAAATTTTTATCATCAGCACAAGAGACCATATACGAAGAATCAATTGACCATGCAATATCATTTATACCAAGTGGATGTCCGGGAATCAGTTTTTCTATTTTGCCATCAGCTGTATTCCAAATTCTTATTGTTTTATCAGCACTACCACTGGCAAGTAAAGCTCCATCAGAATTGAATTTAAGCGACGATATTGTACGAATATGACCTTGTAGAGAATATTTTAGACGATAATTTGGAACCTGAAGGAAGTTCTGTTTTTTCACTTTTACATCAGTCAACACAAAATCGAAAGATCAAAAATAAATGACTTCGTATAATTTGAATGCATTTAAAAATTACCTCACATGAAGCGACTTCTTTCGCTTCAGAAGACGTCACCTCAGCATCTTCCATCGCCGATGTTCCCACTCGCTCATTTGGAGAGATTTCTTTCAAAGTTGGCACGTCCATCTTTCGTTTTTGCGAATAACTTCTCTAAATACTGAAATGACTCGTCCGTTGTCCTCACTTCCTGGCGGTTAAACCTTATAACTTCCTATCTACTCTTTTATCAGTTCTAAAAACAAAAATTATTAAAAACCCTTCCATTTAGTTGGAAAATTTTCTTTTCGAATTATAATAAAATAAAATTTATATTATATTTATACATATATAGATAATAAAATAAAATAAAATTCAAAATTTTTTATCATTCATTAAATCGACGGAAAATTAAGAAACCTTATAACAATAACAAAAGAATAATGAACTATGATACTGGTTCCGAACTTAAATCCATCAGATAACCTGTTTAAAACTAATTTTTTAAAAAAATACCAGAAATGCTTAAACATTAGTAAAAGTGTTGATTGCTTACTAAAGAAATACACACTTTTATATACGAAAATATACGAAAGCACTTTCCGAAAGCCATTTTAAAAAGATGCATGACTAAATTTTTCAAGTTTTCCGATTTAAAAAAACGCTTAAAAATTTAGTTCCAGAATCTATCAAAACTTCTAAAGGTTCATATGGTCTCATACATATAACTTTTACTTTTACTTTACTTTTCGAGGTTTCACAGGAAGGCAAAAATACAATAGAAAGGTAGGCAAGAAATTTTAATCGAACAAATTTTAATTACATTTTATCTTTTCTTCACATTTAATAGATAATTAGGTTGGTATTTAGCAAATTTCCCATCATATTAAAAACCAGAAAATGTGGAAGACTATTTTTCAATATCAAATTTTATAAACGTCTGAAACATTCCACAAAAACAATAAACCTAGAAAACTAAAACAACAAAAAAATAAAAGCATTCACAAAATAACTTGATTTAAAAATATTCTTTAAATTTTAAATTTTCTGGCAGTAAATTTCACCTTACAAATAAAACAATAAATAAATTCAAATCATCATATTTAAATTTCTTCCATAAAAATGAGATCATTTCCAATTGAACATGAAATTCAAAATCTGAAGATGAACCTAAAATGAAAAAAAGAAAAGACCGGCCTATTTTTTACAAATATTCATCAACATTTCTTTGACAAAATCTCTTTTCTAAAGCAATTACTCGGTTAAATTTGTTATGAATCTGAGTGCCAAATGCGAATAGCTCTATCACTGTCCATCGTTCCAGAAGCAATAATATTTTCAGTTGGGTGACAGTCACTGCACAATGTTACATCTATTAAAATTGTTAAAATAAGATTTATGAAAAAAATAAATTGCCGAAAGGCTACAGTAAAAAAAAATCAGAAAAATTCTTCCTGTAAAAAAATAAAATTAATTACCATTATGTTCTCGCAATGTCTGAACTATTTCTTTGGTTTGCAAATTCCATATGTACATTGCATTATCTTCTGAACCGGATACAATCCACTAAAAACAAGAGAATTATAAAGAAAAAATTAAGTTAAATCAAAAATGAACATAAAATTAAAAATTAATTAAATGAGAATCGTTTTCTGCTTATGTAATATGTAATCTTTTAATAGTTAATAAATGACTTTCAAAATAATTTTCGAAAGCTCATTATAGATCAAAAAATGAGATGAGTCTTCTATATGTTAAAAAAACTTACTTTTCCACCAGTCACAGAAAAATTAGCAAATATGCAATAATGATCATTTTTGTGCCCAATATATGTCTTCAAACATTTTGATTTGACAAAATCCCAAAGTTTTATTGTACTGAAATTCAGTAAAATATAAAAATTACATTTCTTTTCTAGAACAAATATGAAGGATCTGATTATTACGCAAATATTATATTTTCAAACCTATTAAGAGTCGAAGCGAGAATATATCGTCCATTTGGGGAAAATTTAACAAATGATACTGGTGGACTATCGTTATCTGAAATTGCTTAAAGTCTGAAAAATTTTTAGCAAGCATATTAATAAACAACCAACATAAAATAATTAAATAAATAAAATCTTTTATTTTTCTTATTTTATTTAATTTATTTTTTTATATAAAATATTTCTAAAATCTAAAAATCCTTAATAAATAAAGGAATTCACTATAACCACATCACAATAAAATAAAACAAATGCCAAATTTTGAACAACTGTTGCTTGGAAGAGTTTACAGTTGAAAAAAAAATTGCACCATTCTTTATTCAAAATTTTTAAGACTAACCGACAAGAAGAGACTTAATACATTGTCCCGTCGGCACATCCCAGACGCGGATTAATCCATCATAACTACAAGAAGTGAGTAAAATTCCATCTCTGAAACCCAGAAATAAATTTTCTAGTAAATTCAAATCCTAAAACTACATTTTAGGACCTCTGGCTTTGCAAAATTCTAAAAAAATATTAATAATATTCATAATAAAAACATAATAATAAAATAAATATAGGCATATTAACCAAAGAAAATAAACCGATTAAATGAGACTGCAGACACGGGATCAGAATGGGCAGGTATAGTTCTTATACAATTACCGTTCCGCATATCCCAAATTTTAACAGTTTCGTCGAAAGATCCAGAAGCTAGAAGGTTGCCTTGTGGATGAAAAGTGCAACAAAAGACATAATTGGTATGCCCACGAAGTGTACGGACATTTTTCCCCTTAAATTTCTTAAATAATTATAATTTATAACAAGATATGAACGAAACATTATTGGTGAAATATTATACAATTTTTTAAAAAATTATGTTGAAAAAAAAACACACATTCGATACGTCACAAAATTTTATAGTTTTGTCATCTGAGCAAGAAGCTAAATAACGTGGATCGATCGACCACGCTATATCTGATATTCCAAGCTTATGTCCACTGATTGTTAATTCATTATCACCCGTGGCCGTATTCCAAATTTTAACCGTTTTATCAGCGCTCGCACTTGCCAACATGAGACCATCATATGAAAATTTTAAAGAAGAAACAGCTTTGAAATGACCGTGCAAAGTCATCTTTAATTGATAATTGGGGGCCTGAAATTAGAAATGATTAATAGCAAATACTTGAAAAAAAATGAATAAAAATGAAAAATTTCAAATTTAAGAAATGAAATTGTCATGAAATTTTTTTCCAAAAAATATTTTTTATATAAAAAATTTCTTCTGACCCAAAAAAATTACTTATTGCATGTACTGTAATAATTTCAGATAGTATATTTGAGATAAACCAGATAAAAAGATACAATAGGTTCCTGAGGTGGCATAGCAGGAGCTGATTCGCTTGCGGACGTGCCAGCTTGTAAATTTTCAGAATGTGGCAAATTTTCATTTTCCTAAAATTTTTCCTCAAAAAAATCATACTTTTAAGAAGCCTAAATTTAATTGTTCCAAGTTTTTCATTCAAAACATAATGATGCCTGTTCTTTATTAGTGACTGAGGAAATAGAAGCAAAAGAGAATTAACTGATGAGAAACAGAACAGAAAAAGAGAAAGCAAGAAAGAAATGAAATGAAAACTACGATCAAATCGATGACAAATTGGACTATAACTTGACAAGTCTTGAACCTAGAAAAAAAGCTTTGCTTACTTTACTTTAAAATCTAACGTTATTATAGTTCAAAACTCTCGTAAAGAACTCCATTCGAGATAAAGGACGGATATTCTATATATTTTATACGAAAAAATTTTTTCAAAAAATGATATAAGAAATCGACAAATTTCTTGCAGTTTCAATAAAAAATATTGAAGGACCAACTCCGCTTTTTTGAACGGATGTATCGGTTTTTGTTTCTCTCTGTTCCTCGATGATATTTTCACTCGTTTCCGCCGGTCTTTCATCAACTTCCATAGGTGTACTACTCAACTCCATTGCCATTTCATCTGAACCAAGTGGTACTCTTGCTTCTTGCACTTCCTTTGATTCAGCACTCATTTCAGCTATTGATCAACCAAATATATTTCTACAATAAAAATCTTGCATAAAAATGAAAAAAAAAATATTCTAAACACGTCAGTTTTAATGAAAATTGAAAATTATTGGGAAAATTTTAAAAAGTTGAAACTTTGGATTTCTGAAATTTCGATGTTAAAAAAGTGATTAGCAAATTTTTATTTTTATTATTTTTTATTGGAAAAATTCATTTAATAACAGAAAACTGATAAATTTATTAATAAATATTCATAACAAAAGAATTAATAAAAAATGCAAATAATGCAATTAATGCAAATACGAGGTGTTGGCCATACCTGCCTGGAACGTCAGAATGGACGTGAGCCAAGTGATTACTATCCATACGCTTTCAAAATATCAAGTAAATACCATCTACTTGGCGTGGCTCCGTTTTCTTCAGTTCGGCTCTCTAATAATTACTAAACCTGGCACTCGCTCTGAGCAGAGGTAATGACGTTCCAGGCAGTATCGTTGTGGTGTTTCGAAATGGCGTAGCGATTGCCACATCTGAAAAAGTTTGATCCACTTTGATTCAGTGGAAACCTGACCATACGGCCTATGCTTAATTCAAAGAAAAATTCTGCAATATTTCTGACATCAGTGCTCTCTTTAACTCCAATATTCCAACTTTATGCGTAAATGATCGTGAATAAGGTAAGTTCTAAGCGGAACTCCGACTACTAACTTCTCTACCGAAAAGTGACATGGTCATGATCGGAGGAACTGGAATATGTGCGTAGATCAACTCCATATGATTAGGTGATATCTTCTGCAATGCCGTCAAGATGAACTCGCTAATTTGAGAATATGGCACTGGAATCCAGTGCGACAGTGGAGAACGCCTTCTTCGCCTAGCTGAAAAGCACGAACTTTACTAATACATGCTTCCGGAAGATATATAACCATATGGAACTTCTGTCAGGGCTGCGCCCTTTCTTACAATATTCAACTTTGCGATAGACTGGATAATGGGCTTGTCGGCACTCAAGAAGATGCAGATCAGTCCAGCGCACAGCATCACAGAAATACGCTGATGATGTAGTCCTTTTTGCTGACAATTATGAGGAAATGCAAATAATATTAAACAATGTGTCAACAACTGCAAGAGAATTGGACTCAAAATCAATGCAAATAAAACGAAAGTGTTTTCGTCTTATATATAAGATGCCGATAAAATACCTATTTTTATCAATTTATCGCTGGCTGAGAAAATGCTAGATTTTAAGTATCTTGGATCCACTCTAATCCCAAACGGCCGGGCAAAGGATGGAATTGTAACCGGGATACCGACAGCTAGAAATGCTTTTCCGGTTGATGAAACCTTCATGGAACCGTCGCGAAGTCACCATAAAGACGAAAATTCGCTCCATATAGTTGTAATTCGCTTGATCTTGCTATATGGCTGCAAAATATGGCCAATGAGAGTGGAAGATATTAAGAAGCTATCAGCCTTCGACTACCATGTCCAACGTACATTTTACGGGCCGAGAGGATAAATCTCACACGACTGCGTCGACCTCGTCATTTGCGTTAACAGTGCTATCACAGAGCGTCGCCGCCTTATCACTAATGGAGATGCGAAAAAAATTGGAATTCACTGCAAAAACAATAATTAATAAATGTTAATGGGAATTAATGCGAAAACAATGGTTAACACGAATAAAATAAAAACAAAAAATCATTTAAAACTCGACAAATAATCTCTATAAATAAAAAAAAGCGCTCAAAATATCGGTGTTAATTTGTGACCACATTCAAATTACATTTCTAATATTCGTACTCCCTCACTAAAATTCAGTCGCGAGTGAGTTGATTGACTCGCTAAATTGAAATTGCTTTAAATTTACCTCAGTGCAATTTGTCGTTTGATTGATTAAGTGGTGTTTACGTGTTAAATTAAAATCGACATTAGTGTCAAAATGCGAAATGTCTGCGAAAGATTGCTTCGAACATTTGAAACTTCTTGCTGGGTCAAAATCAAGTATTTGCCACACAAAATTTCGAAATGCTAAGGTCGGGTAGCGTGCTAAGGTCGGGCAACATGCTGAGGTCGGGTAGCGTGCTGAGGTCGGGTAGCGTGCTAAGGTCGGATAGCGTGCTAAGGTCGGGCAACGTGCTGAGGTCGGGTAGCGTGCTGAGGTCGGGTAGCGTGCTAAGGTCGGATAGCGTGCTAAGGTCGGGCAACGTGCTGAGGTCGAGCGCACGTTAAGCACGAGCTATCCATTACAATTAAATTTATCTTATTTCATTTCTTACGATTGATTTTTAGTTTATTTCACAAAATTTCATCGTATAGCGTCATTTGTCTGTTTTGTTTTTGTTTTTTTTTTTCGAACAACAAACAACTTTCATTTAAATTAATCAATTTCCAATTTTTAAAATTTATTTTAAATTTTTGTCCCGTGGCTCGACCTTAACTTCATGGTTCGACCTTAACCTCGTGGCTCGATCTTAACTTCATGGTTCGACCTTAGCTTTGTGAGTTGAGGGGTGACTTGACATTAGCCTCTTCACATTATCCTTGAACTGCTAGCTAAATAAGTGCATTTTGCATAATATTAACTTGTATAATATAGTTAATATAGTTGCATAATATTAAGTTCAAGCTACGTGCAAAGGTCAAGTCGATGTTTTTTTATAAAAAAGACGATGCACTCACTCACTCATTGCACATGTGCACTTCATTTGCACGCACGTGCATTTAATCAGTTTAATATTTTTGTGACTGTAACACAACATAAATTCTATTACACTATTATTGTTGAATAACACTCGCGATTATGAAGTAGAATAGAAACATTATTAAAATAATTGTAATACTGGTTTTATTTGACGTTTAATGAGTAATAAAAATAGTAGAAAAGGGGGAAATGAGTTGTTTGACCCAAATTTACCTCCCTCAAGTGGGTCATCATTCAGTGGTACTCACCAAGTTGTCTCCCCTTTTACCTTGCAGCCATAGTTTTCCTTATCCTTGTTCGAAATCGTACAGTGGAATGGCTTATGCTCTAAACATTATGCTTAGGCTAATGAAGTTGAACTATAAGAGCCTTTTTAAGAATTTGCGAAGAAGGAGAAAAGTAGGAGAAAGGGTTTACAGAGAGGAGAGAATGTGGAAAGAAGGAGAGGGGAAGGACTTTTGTAGATTTTAGATAATTAATTATTAATATAAATTGTTTTCTTAAAAAGCTCTTTTTTCATGTTCTATCGATTAGAACTCTGAAGATTTCACTGAGGTTGACCTTTCTCACGTGTAATTACTGCGGTGAATGACCTTCCTTATGGGTCAGCACTTATGGCTGATTGACTTTTCATATAAGTGTTTTTCTTTGTGTATTTGCCCTAAATCGATTTATCTCTTTTTATTGCGAAAGCGTATCGAGTGCGAATCGAAGTGCTTTCAATTCCAACAATCTCAGTTTTTTCTAACTGAAAATTTTTTATATATATTTTATTTTAAATTCGGCAAATTATGTGGTGGGGAAGGGAAAATACCCATATGGGTTGGTATTTTGAGAAACGCTACTGTCAAAGAATATTACTTGGGAAAGGGAAAAGGTAGCAATAACCGTTCGATTTAATATTTCTTTTTTGTTATTTAACAATTCTCTTCATCGTTCTTTTCTAAGCTCATTTCTGGCTTGGCGAATTGCGCTCGCATGTCGCTTCAGACAGATTTAACTTGGCTGCTGCCAGCAACATCCGAACAGTTTCATTAAAAAAATAATTTCTTAAGGAAGATGAAAATTTTGCTAATTAGCCTCAAACGAAATTTTGCAAATGTTGCAGCAGCTTCGGGAAGACCTTGGAAAGATATAACCGTTGCTGCTATCAGAGAAGTCTCGCAAGGTTCGTTCTTCCTATTTGCAGATGCAACAATGAAAAAACTTTTGTACGTATTAGCATCGACTGTAAAATGTTTGGGAATTATATAGCAAAGACTTTGATGGGCCGCGGGCTATTCCGAGTCGTTTTATGCGATTCGAATAGAACGATTTTTATTGCATTAACCGAGTAGGTGAAAATCATTCCTTAGAATTGCTCGTTGGCTGTTGGTGAGGAATTTTCGCTAGTACGTCAGTTAGGGGTAAAAGAGAAGTATAGGTGGGCTTCCGCCACCATCCGGATTGCTTAGTGAAAGCTTCGTGGGTAGCAGAATTCTAAACATGGTGATTCAGACAGTAGTCTGAGCAACAATGTTGTGTTGCAATTTCTTTATCTTTTAAAAAATTATTTCAGTGATAATCTCAAGTCAGGTCACAAAGTTGCGGTCATAGGCCCAATTCTGGCTCTGGCTGTTAACTTTTAAAATTTATTTCTGTGATAAAGTCCATTCTCACTTAGTGAGGAAATGCTATGAATAGAAATGTATGGTTCCGTATTAGATAATCGTCAAGTACACAAATATTCTAGGAGAAAAAATTCTGCAGGAGAGAAAAGAGTTGCAATAACTCCTCAAGCAGCGGAAAGTTTAATTAAGAAAGGAATCCGAGTTGTTATCGAACGCGGTGCTGGTGTTTCTGCTTCGTTCAACGATGATTTGTACCAGAAAGTTGGAGTTAATGTTGTTGACAAAGATACTGCCTATCAGTCTGATATTATCTTTAAGGTTTTTTATTACTTTATCACTAGTTTCAGTTTCGGTTTTTCTTTATTTCAATTCAGCTTTCTGAAAAAAAATAGGAAGCTTTACGACCATAAATTTTAATTAAATTATGGGTTTTCTAGTTCAGAATAATTATTGACAGCTATATTTCTGAGTAATTCGATAGGTTTTTTTATGTTCACTGTCCTCAAATATTCATCTGAGGCATCAGCAAGTTTAATATCCTGACTAGTGATGAATTAAGCGTGAATTAAATTAAGATTGTAAATCCTGGAGATGCAGGTCAATGACTATAATCCTTTCCAACAAGTGTCCAAATTATTTATTTATTTATTTAATTCATTCGTTATTTATTTTTGTTGAATATTGTTAATTGAATAAATTAAATGAAATTAAGTTCTACTTCATTTACTTAATGGTATTACTGAAATAATTATAAGCTGGGTAACTGGCAAATGGTAATCTTTTACTTTTAGGTTCGTGTACCAACTTTAGAAGAATGCGCGAAATTTCGTCCTAAAAGCACTCTGTTATCGTTCATATATCCAGCACAGAACAAAAACGTTATTGATGAACTTGCGAAGAGAGAATTAACTGTGTTTGGTATGGACTGCGTCCCCAGAATATCGCGTGCCCAGGTTTCATTAATAATTTTCAATATTATTATTTCATTAAATATAAAAATTGTTGCTTTCATCCGATTCAGTTTCAGACTCAGATTAATTGATATAGAAGAAATGAGGAAAGAAATTTAAATGAGTTGGGTGTAAGAAAAGTAAAGAAAAAATTTGTAAAAAGTAAAGAAAAAAGAAAAAACAGGAGAAAAAATTTATGTGGATATAGATTTGCTGGCAATTTATAGTACCGTACTAGATAACAGAATTTTGCAGTTATAAATTTAAATGATGATTTCTATATTTAAAAAAGGATTTTGTACCTAATAATCAAGAATAAAGAATTTTAAAATGCTAACAGTAAAATATCAAGAAAAATTTTTGCAAAAAATTGTAAATTTATAGATTTTATGAATTTGGCAATTTATATTGCAAATTTAATTTTATTTAATTTTATTCATGCAAATTGATAAATTGGTGTTCTGTTAGGTATATGATGTGCTTAGCTCAATGGCTAATATTTCTGGGTATAAAGCTGTTATCGAAGCTGCAAATCATTTTGGCCGATTTTTCACGGGGCAGATAACAGCAGCTGGTCGAGTACCGCCTGCAAAAATTCTTGTAATTGGTGGTGGCGTTGCTGGTTTAAGTTCTATAGGAACAGCAAAAGGAATGGTTTGTATTTAGTTCAATTTATTTCTAATTTCCTACATAAAGTTGAATGTTTGTCTACTTATAAAATTGCAATAAATTTGTATGATTTATTTTAATAAATTTTAATAACGATTTTAATAACGAGAAGAATGTGTGGGAGGAGAAGATTCATAACACCAGTGCAAAATAATTGTAAGATCTGAAAAAAGACAAGGCACAGCAATATTCCAGAGCAGGAACTAGTCATCATAACATTTGCTGATATCCATCTCGAAAATATGATAAGTTGGATAGCGCCTGGTCCAGGCACGATCCTCACCTACTGGTTAAAGAAGTTACCATCGGTTCATGAGCGTCTAGCAATATAGATGCTTGCGGCAGTTTTCAGTCAAACTGGTTAAGGATCGGTATTTATTATGAAAAACCTTCATAAAAAGATATTGGATATAACACCAGAGGCTCAAACACCAACTGCTCATAGATAAGGCAGTCGCAGATTCAAAATCCTGGCAGACCCATCCATGTACAAATTTACTTTAGGTAAATCTGTGATTCAATGCCCCACTCAAGGATCTGTGAATTTCTGTGAATACAAAGTCAACACCCCAAAGATTAGAACTCCACGGGACTGTGGAAAACAACACTTTAAAACTTGCACAAGTGACTATCAAATGCGGCATATATCAAAGTGACGCATTATCTCCTCTATTGTTCTGAATAAAACTAAATCCTCTCATGGATAAAAATTCAAGAGTTGGACTACCATTAGCCATCTTTCTACATGAATGACATCAAATTATATGCAAAAATAAATGAGACCTCTACTCGCTCATCCATCTAACTCGGGTCTATAGCGAGAGCAAAGTATCATTTTCTTAGTTTATTCCAACTAAATGACCTCGAACGCGGTTAATGATTTAACACGATTCAATTCGGATTAGAGAAATACCACAGAGACACTTGGGAATACAGGTGAGTCCCCAGCACCCACCCGGATTTTTGATATGGCAGGTTTACTCCTGCTGAAGACAGATATCGTTCTATGAGATTATTTATTTTATAAATATTTATGTTTTATAAATATATATATCTTATTCAAAATTATATTGGAATTTAGGGAAAGAGAAAAAAAAAACTTAGCTCGTTTGAAAAGGAGATATCGAGAAAGAATTAAAAAAACTTCACAATAATAGCTGAAAAATAATCGATTTGGGTCATATAAATAAAACAAAAGAACCGACCGCTCAATGACGATTTTTTCACAAAATTTTTTCTTTGATTCAATTGATAGAAAGGCGCATTGTAGGATGATGGAATACTACGGTGTTCCAGAGAAGATCATTCATCATAAAGGTATTTTATGAGCATACGTCGGCGCAGGTCTGTATATATGGGAAACTGACAGACTCCTTCGAAATAAGAACTGGTGTCTGTCAAGGTTGCGTCCTTTCCCCTACAATATTCTACTATGCGATAGACTGGGTAATGGATACCACTTGTAGGCACTCAAGCGATGTCCAAATCAGTCCAGAGTATCGTATCACAGATCTTGAATACGCTAATATGTAGTCCTTTTTCTGTTATGACGAAATGCAAGTAATGCTAAATAATATATCAGAAACTGTAGCAAGAATAGGACTCAGGATCGATGAATACAAAACGAAAGTCTTTTCGTCTCATGTGCAAGAAGCTGGTGAAATGCCTCTTTCATTGCCGGTCGAAGAAGTGCCTGATTTTTAAATAGATTTCATCTTGGGTCCACTCTAATACCAAATGGCCAGGCAAAAGACGATATTATAGCCCGGATCACGGCAGCTAGAAATGGATTCTTCCGGTTGACGAAACTTTTATGGAACCATCGTGAAATTATCATTAAAACGAAAGTCCACATCTATATAGTTGTGATTGGTTCCATCTTGCTATATGTTCTTTGAAACATGGCCAATGAGAATGGAGAATATTAAGTTATTTGCATTTGACCACTCTTGTCTAAGTCTATATTTTACGGATCCGTCGAGCGTATAAAATATCACATGATCGCATCCACCTTCGTTCAAATCCCATCTGCTTTAATAATGTTGTCACAGAGTGTCGTCTTCTGTGGTTCGGTGGTAGGGCATGTTCTCCGTCGTCCACCACAAGAGTTGTCGCATTTTTTGCTAAACCGTGTGATGGATGGCGTCAAAAGCGAAATAGACCAATAAATATTTGGACTGATACTGTCAAGAAAGATTTTGAAAATATAGGTGGACCAGCAGTATATGGACTTAAACGATAGAAAAAGAAATGGTTTCTATCACTGTCGATGATGGCATCAGACCGCGCCGACTGGAAGCGTTTTAGCGTTTTACCCTTGCAGCCGTTGGAGTCAGCCTAACCAGTGATGATATGGCAACATGATGAGGACTGGAAAACTGAATAAGATAGACTACAACATCTAAGTACCACTAAGAGACGAAACAAATCTTGAAGAGCCAGATCAGTAAGAACAAAATCTGTACTATAAATATGTATACTCTGCCAGTAACCAGGTATGCAGTTGGTATTATAAGATGGGGCAAAAGAAGACATGGAGAATACTGATATAAAAATCAAGAAACTCCTCATAATGCACGATAATTTGCATTTCAAATCCAACACTCCAAGGACTATGTACTAGTTGGGAAAAATGGGTGGGGCTTGGGAAAGCTACTGTCTTGAACGAAATTCGAAACATTCAGAAATATATCTATCAGCAAGATGGCATCAAAGGATGAACTGCTGAAAGAATGAAAAGCATCTACAGTTATAGACATTGAAAACGATCAAGAAATGGAAATACCATGGTAAAACAAGCTCCTTCATGGATTGTACCATCGACAAATAGCTGACATTGTAAAATCGTAGGAGAAAGCTGGAATAAAAGACATTGAGGCATTGATTATAGCAGTATGGAGCAAGCATAAAGCATCAGATCCATTGAAACAAGGATCTACTACATTGGACAGGACGGTAGATTCTACGAAAATGCCCCAGAAACAGTCAAAATGCCCCACTGTATGAACAGTGGCAGGATATAAAAGCAATCAGAAACAACTTAGACTGAAAGGCGTAATCATGTAGGTAATATCTACAGGAATATCTGCTCGGCATATCTCTTAGTTTTTCCCAAGACTAAATGGGAGATTTCTCATAAAATTGTAGAAAATAAGGCCAAGATACTGTGGAACTTTTTCATTCAAACAGACAAACAGGTATTGGCCAATCAACCGAATATCATGGGATAAGAATAAGAAATCAATATTGATGTTAGATATGACAGTACCAGACGACAGGTACGTCAGGTAGAGGGAATATGAAAAGTTAGAGAAAGTTACACCAAGGACCGAAGGAGGCATTAGAGAAGATGCAGAAAATAATGACCAAAATAATTCCAGTAATAATTGGTACACTTGGAAACCTAGAAAAGTGGCTTCAGGAACAGCATCAGAGATCTCTGTCTGAAAGACGGCGGACTATTGGGTACCCTCAATCTCCCAAGATAGAGGACCCGAGGCTGAAGATGATCATGACCATCCACAGGGAATGAGAAAAGTTTTTTTTTATAACTAATAGTTAAAGCATTATTTATCAGCTATTTCAGGGAGCAATAGTACGTGGATTCGATACACGTTCAGCTGTAAAAGAACAAGTAGAATCATTAGGCGCAGAATTTTTAGAAATTCAAATAAAAGAGGAAGGTGAAGGAATTGGTGGTTATGCTAAGGAAATGAGCAAAGAATTCATCGAGAAAGAAATGGAACTTTTCTCGCAGCAGTGTAAAGAGGTTTTAATAATTTTTTATTTCTCTGATATTAAATTGTTCTTTCGAAATGATAGAAAGTTAAACTAAATTTTTCTATTTTTCAGAGAAATATTTTAGGTAGATATCATTATATCAACCGCACTTATTCCTGGAAAACCAGCTCCGAGACTAATTACGAAGGTAATAATTATTTCAGTCGACGATTTTCTCTGCGATTTTTCTCTCCGTCAATAAGAATTTTGAATCTGATTTTCCAGTTATTAGCCAAATTATTTCAGGAAATGATAGCAACAATGAAACCAGGAAGTGTTATTGTCGATTTGGCAGCTGAGGCAGGTGGTAATATTGAAACGACAAGACCAGGACAATGCTATACCAATTCAAATGGTGTGATTCATATAGGTTACACTGATTTGCCAAGTCGTCTTCCTACTCAAAGCAGTACTTTGTATGCAAATAATCTAACAAAATTTCTTTTAAGCATGGGTTAGTAATTTCATTTCATATAAATATTTATCGCTAAACATTTCTGATTATAAGAAATTTTTGTAGAGAATCGTTTGCCGATAGAAGAACTATTGAGAAGCTAGCTTCAGTGGGATTTTTTCCTAAAAGGTGGATTTCCCGGCCTTTTTTAAAAGGAAAGCCGAACCATTGACTTATGATAATTTGAATCACCTAGTTATCCTGTCTTCATCTGATATCTATTTAAGTGACGCTGTTTTTTTACCTAAATATTTTATATGATAGGTCCCAAGGAACAATTTAATGTGGATCTGAATGATGAAGTTGTGCGAGGTACAATCGTTCTCCATCAAGGTCGAATGATGTGGCCTCCACCAGTTATTTCGTCTCCACCGCCAAGTCCCACTTTGGCCAAAAAAATCGAGGAAAAAGCAGTAGTTGAAGTTCCACTTAGTCCATTACAACAGACATTCAAAAGTGCTGCCATATACACTGCTGGTAATCTAAATTTTTCATAGTTTTTAATTTTTTCAGTTTTTCCAATTTAAAAGAATTGTGCCAGAGCATTATATAAAATAGCTATTGTTATTTGTAAATTTATAATATTTCATTAAAATAATGAAATGTTGGAGCTCCTTTATTTCAATTTGTTTAATTTTAAGTTTCTCTTCTTTTTCTTCTCGCATCATCGCCGGTTTGGCTTCATTACTGGTTCCACTGCCGACTAGAGTAAGGTATTTCCAAGTTTTCTTCTTCGATACCATTCCTGAGAGTAAAAGAGTAAAGGTAAATGAAATCACATTTTTTTATCGTTTAAGTCTATAAATCGCTGAGCCATTTATTTATTCAAAAAATTCCTTAACCATGTTGGTCCAGGTCTTAATTATTTTTGACACCATTCATCATCCTTTTAACAACACCCATCTAGCAAATAGAATTTAATAAATAGCAAGATGAATATTAATTCCTGTAATAGGCGAAGAAAAACAGCCAAACCGGCGCAGATACTTTGCGGCGATATTTTTAATGCAGATGGTTTTCGAGTGAAGTTGATACCATTATGCGAGACTTGAATATTTAGGATGTATTTTAGTGTTCAAAGGCAGAGATGATTTCCACTCTCATTGCCAAATTTTGCAACTATATAGTAATATTGTGTTGAATATTGCAGCCAGATCTTTTGTTTTAAGGTTGATTTTGCAGTGATTCGAAAGGGGGTTCGCCAGATAAAAGGAAGTGCCTCTGGTTTCAGCCATCAAATCTCGGATTGTTCATTATATATGAGAATGGATCCGAAGCATTTAAAGTCTGATAGTTCTTTGATCATTTTTGAATTTATCTTATAAGCTTCTGATATATAAGACAAAAAGGGTTTCTAGCAAAAGAATATCGTCAGCATATTCAAGATTCGTGACGCTATACCTTGTACTGATTTTTATGCCTCTTTAATGCTGGTTTCTTAGGCCAATCTATCGCATAATTGAAATTTGTAGGAGAATGCAGTCTTGACACTGGCCGACAACTATTTGAAAAGGTTGTGTTACCTGCGTTGACGTCCTTAAAATGCTTTGATAAATCTGATTAACTTCTCTGCAGTACCACTGCGTTATATAATTTGCCAGAGCGCCACTCTCTTGATCGAATCAAAAGCAGCTTTGATGAAGCACGTAACGGTAGGTTGTCGATGCTTGATGCTCGATCTTTCATTGTCCCCTTTATCTACTTTAAACATTAAAATTTAGTTAGCCACGTTCTGATCTATTTAGGGAGCGTCCTATTGTCATGTATTGCCAAGAGTCTAGTCAGTAGAAGAAAAAAATCTTCCTAGAAGCATCTAGCAAGTTGATTCGATAATTATTATAATGCGTCTTAATGAATTGAATGCAGAATTGCCTTTTCAGAGCATTTTAAGGGCTTTTCAAATATATTTGCCACACTAATGAATTATAAATGAAGTTAGGCAATATTTAAAAAATGCAGCTTGCAGATTATTTTTTATTGGATTTGAACTTGTTGCAGTTTTACGGCTCCAAATGCATTTGCATTCCAGTTATGTTCGGGATATTGGTTGATTTGTCGTAGTTAAATCTAGATTTAATTTAAATTCAAAGAGCTCTCTATCGGAAAAGGTGTTCCATCCATATTTCGAATCATTTCTCGAATTCCAGCTGCATTGAGAAATAAGTGAGATATTCAAAGCCATATCAATATCCATACATTGTTCCGACATCCATTTTTATCTCATTGCGAATTTATGGCGCTGCCTTAACATTTCATTTTAGTAAGCAAATAATTCTTGGCTTCATTCAATATTTTGCAAAGTGATTTTTTTAAAAAAATTTTTGGAATTTCGAGATTTTGAAGTTTTTATTTGAAACGCCGCAATAGTAGAATAGTTGGACATTAGGTCATTTTATTTAAGACCCAGCTTACCTTCTTCTTAGTCGTATGTTCTGGGATTTAGGATGGAGACAAAACCGTTACCTCTCGACGATTCCAGAGATATTGATGTTATTCGACCTGATGATGAGTTCCACACAAATGATGCAATGTTGAAAGCAAGAAATCTATAGTTCCTCAACAAAGGAAAAAAACTCTTTCTCGTGGCAAACCAGTTTCCAACGCCCTTCTGGTCGGCTACAGCGGGATAACCTCATATTCTACGCATGCGTTCCAGTCTCCCACGATCACGATTTATATCATTTTTTTGAGAGAGAGATAATGCCAGCAAGTTGAGCTTGGCGCCATAAGCACTGATGATTGAGAAGTTATTTTCAAAACTGGCCCTGCTGGTCAATAGGGTTATTTACGATAAGGGCTGGTCCCACCATTTCAAATATGATCGCCATTGTCTGTTTTTCTGAAACACCACTGTGATACAACCAGTAATTCTTATTGGAACTAAATTGAATTATACTCTCGATATTCTCTTTATACTCTCGATCCGAAATTGGATTTCTAATAGCCATATCAACATGATATTTGGGTAAAGTGTGGATGCTTGGTTCTCTATATCCATTATATTACCGTTCCGACTTTCCTGCGCTAAAATCAAGGTTTTGCCGTGCAAAATCAGCTAACATTTTTCCTACTCAAGTGGGTTTATGTCTGTCAGCTGGGAAATTTACAAGGCTATTTTTTATACTATTATTTAGTTTTCTTATCATTTGCAAGTCCGCACGTTGCACTTATCACCGGTCAGATATACTGTGCGCATAGAAACACGCGGTCAAATTTGCGATTTACTCAACTCATTCGCCATAGAATTACTTTGGGATGCAGATACAAATGGGTCTCCAGCAGCCATCCAGTCTTTAATGACAGATTTTCCTTCATCCATATAAGCAAGGACAATCTCATTATATCTGTGACTAAAAAATCAATAAGAAAGGAAGTTTATTAAATTTATAAAGTATATTTAGGTGCAGGGAGAAATAACTGTCAGAATCATAATAAGGATAGATAAGGGGGGGAAATTTTTTAGCTTACTATTTTATATTTCTATATTTTGTCGAACAAGCTTGACCTACTAAGGTACTTTGAATATTCTAAAAAATACTGGATGTTGCGAAATGGCGAAAGCAAAAGGACTACTTTGGAATGGTGTGAGTTCGCTTCCACTCTTTTTTTGGCTCATCCTGTGGAGCTACTTCATTGGGCCATTTGGCCAGTTATCGATATCAATTGGATCATCTTTTCATATTTTTTTCTTTTGGCCTTTCTTTGCTTCATTTATATGTCTTATCTTCGTCTTCTTATATATTTGAATCTTTTATGCTGACTATATATTTTGACATGTAATTAAATATGACATACCACTTTGAATCTAAGAAAAAAAGCTGCCTTATCAACCTCTTCTTCACTGTTCCTCAGTTGTATAATTAATTTGTTGACAAGTCAAGCTAACTGCTGGTTTGAATCCATTTTTTATTTTTATGACTCCATAGCCTTTTTGCTTTCGCTTTTTCGCAACACTTGAATAGATCAATCGATAATGATATCAATCGATATCAGAGATATGGAAATATGTTAATAGGAAAACGACCCTTCATCAATTATATTGTAAATTTTTCTCATATAGGCCTAAATTTCTATAATAAAAATTTCAGGATTGGGAGGAGTAAGTTTGCTAGGATTCGCTTCACCAAATGTTGCTTTAAGTCAAATGATAACAACTTTTGCATTGGCTGGTATTGTTGGTTAGTTTTGTTTTCTTCTAATTTTATATGAAAGCTTGGAGGAACTGCTAAAATTTTGCTTCCTTATTTCTAGGCTATCACACTGTTTGGGGTGTTACTCCTGCGCTTCATTCTCCTCTTATGTCAGTCACCAATGCAATTTCTGGCATAACAGCTGCAGCAGCATTGTGTGTGATGGGAGGTGGTTTATTTCCTAGTGATGTTTCACAGTCATTAGCTGCTGGAGCTGCCTTCTTTTCCTCAATTAATATTGGTGGAGGATTCTTAATTACGAAACGAATGCTCGATATGTTTCGAAGGCCGAGTATGTTTCCCCTTTTATTTGATAATATATTATATACTATAATATATTATTACACTGTTGCTTGAAGCACAAAAAGTTTTATTATAATTTTCAGCTGATCCTGCTGAATATAACTATCTTTACGCCATTCCTGGGACTGTTTTTCTTGGTGCTTATGGATATGGCTTCATACATGGTTGCCCCGAAATCCATTCTCTAACTTACCTTGGTTCATCTTTGTGTTGTGTTGGAGCATTGGCAGGATTATCCACACAAAGCAGTGCACGGCTTGGAAACTGTCTTGGTTTGTTTTTGTCTAAAATGAAGTCATTTATGGAATTTCTATTCTAGAATAATTTTTCTTTCTTTTGTTATCTTATCTTGTACAAATTTTTTGTTTTGCTTTTGCATTGATGAAATTGATCAAAGCATTCATTTTTCCCACATTCTTACATTGGATTTTGAAATTTAAAAGCATATGTTAAGACATTTTAACATTCAGCAAAGAAATAATAATTTGCATTTCAATTATTTCACTAAAAGTTCTGAAAAACATGAATTTCTTTTAAAGGGATGATTGGTGTCTCTGGTGGCATGGCTGCAACATTAGGTCAGCTGCAACCTAATTTGGAGACACTTATTCAGATGGGAGCAGTTATATCGTCAGGAATGCTTATTGGTCTTGGAATTGCGAGCAGAATTAAAGTATTTTTTGTGTTTTTTAAATTATCTTATTCTCACTCTGAAATTGTGTTTTTAAAATACAGTATTTCCGATACATCCTTTGCGTATATAAATTCAACTTTTTGTTACTGTTATGAATACCGTAAAACCCGGAAAATACTTGATGAATGAGCATAAAATCATTGCTTTTGGGAAATAATCAACCATCTTGAATATAAAAATTTTAACTTTTTATTTAATTAAAATCATTCAGAATTTGAATCAAGAAAATTTTTAAATGAAAAATTCAGGTAACCGATTTGCCGCAGCTAGTCGCTCTTTTCCACAGTTTTGTTGGAGCTGCAGCAACAACAACATGTATAGCCGATTTTATGGTAGAATATCCGCACTTTTTAGCTGATCCTGCAGGTACAGCAGCAGTAAAGACAGCGCTGTTTCTTGGTGCATATATCGGTGGTGTTACTTTTACGGGAAGTTTAATGGCTTACGGAAAACTTCAAGGTTGAAAAATTTTAGTTTATATATTTAAAAAAATATGAGTGGTACATACAACACTATTAAATGCTCATTTTAAATAAATTTTCTTTGTTTGTTAGTTTTTTACAGATGGTAGTTACTTTCATAAAGCTAAGACGATTTCAGGTATTCTAAATAGTGCTGCAGTATATTTACCAGCTCGTCATTTGATAAATAGTGCTCTTGGATTGGGCAATATTGCAGCTCTTGGCATTTACATGGCCTCAGGAGATAAGATGATGGATTTATCTATGTTAGGCACCACGTCTATTTTAAGCAGCATTATGGGAATTACTCTAACGATGGCTATTGGTGGTTTGTGTCATGTTTCTTTTTAATGAAATTTAATATGAATCTGATTGCGAGCAAATCCAGCAAATATTACCAAATAATTTATTTCACCTTTCATTATCAAGCATTATAATTTTTTTATTATACATATGTATATCATAATGATTTTTGATATTTATATTAAAAAAATAAAATTAGAAAATTTTCGCATCATACTTTTTTAAAGCTTTTTAGGTGCCGATATGCCGGTTGTTATTACTGTACTTAACAGCTATAGTGGATGGGCATTATGTGCTGAAGGTTTTATGTTAAATAATGATCTTTTGACGATAGTTGGAGCTTTGATTGGTAGCTCCGGTGCTATTCTTTCATATATCATGTGCAGGGTTGATGCTTTTTTCAAATATATATGAAATTCCGACATTGATTTTGATACGAATTTTATTTAAATCTAACAGCCATTTTTTTCTTCTCTATTGTAGGTGAAACTGCTAAATCGGGAATAATAAATTTTATATCACATTTCTTGTAGGCTATGAATCGATCACTGATAAATGTGATATTGGGTGGAGTCGGTACTAAATCACAAGGTACTGGCCAGGCTAAAGCAATCGAAGGAACAGCAACTGAAGCAACCTCACAACAGGTCATGGACCATTTTCAAAACTATATGAAGATTCACATGGATAGCCATTCTTAACTGCTATTGACTTTTAAAATTTTCAGGTAATTGATCTTCTTGGTGATGCCAAAAAAATTATTGTGGTTCCTGGTTATGGACTTTGCGCTGCACATGCACAGTATTCTATAGCAGAAATGGTCAGTTTGCTACGAAAACGAGGAGCAAATGTTCAATTTGCTGTCCATCCAGTTGCAGGTAATTTTTAATCCTTTAAATAAAGAATTTAAATATTCTTAATAGCTTGAGAATAATAAATAACATCGAATAATTCAATAATAAGCATATATACTTAAACATTTTTTCTTGTGTAAGCTGCAGTACAGTACAATGCATTCTCAGGTCGCATGCCAGGACAGTTAAATGTCTTATTGGCTGAAGCAGGTGTGCCTTACGATATTGTAAAAGAAATGGACGAAATTAACGAAGAATTCCCAGAAACTGATGTAGCATTAGTAATTGGCGCGAATGATACAGTGAACTCAGCTGCTGAAGATGATCCAAATTCGTTGATAGCTGGCATGCCTGTACTTCGCGTTTGGAAAGCTAAACAAGTGAGATTTTTGATGAATTTTTTATGTTGAAAGGTATTTCGCTTCTGAAAGGTCAGGCTAGTAATGGATTCCACTTGTATTTCTATTCTTAATTGATTTTTTGATTCCACTCAACCATCCAGACCATGAATATTCAGGAAAATTGTAGGTCGTTGTGATGAAAAGAACATTAGGCGTAGGGTATGCGGCGGTAGACAATCCAATATTTTTCAATGATAATACATGGATGCTTCTCGGAGATGCTAAAAAGAAGTGTGACGAACTGTTGAGTGGAATAGCTGCAGTCACAACCAGATGATAAATACATTTACATAAAATGTATCAAACGTCTATCTCTTCAAACCTTTAGGTATTTAATTGTTTGTGGTTCTTGGTCCTAATAGATTTTATAGATTATTAACATTCTGTCAAGGTCCCGTTTTTGGAATAAAATATTCGACCAATGGTGCATAATTCTTCAGGAAAAAGGAACAAAAGAAATTCGAAACATGAAGTTTATAATTTAATAAGTTATTCGACCTCAGATTTCAATGCCATTAACAGAATTTTTTTTCTTACGAAAAGGAAATATAAAAAAAGAATGGAAAAAAAGTTTCCCTGGGTGAGAAAAACGGGGAACGAAAAAAACTCTTGGCAATTATTAATGAAGAAAAAACACGGCAGTGGGAATGAAAGAATAAAGTAATAGATAAATAGAAAAATTGATAAGCAGTAAGCAGCTAAGTAATACAAAGCAGAATACCTAGGCAAGCGACAGAATCTAAAATCATAAGACCTAAAGCATTCAATCTAATAGTTTTTACTTGCTGATTCTGTCTCATTCTCTCTATTTTGCAAAGAATTCATCAATTCTTCTATTAATTTCTGTTGTCACGATGCTAAAAGCCAGACTTTTTAAATGTAAAAAGTTTTAACTTATTTGATGTCGGTAATATTCAAAAAAATTTTTATAATTTATTTAAAACATTTCGGAAAAGTAGATTAGAAACAAAAAACAGCTTATCAACTAATTTTACCGTTTTTTCTTGATACATAACCATTCGCATCTAGTCTGACTATTTAAAAAGCTGAAGTTAACTGGTATATGAAAACTTCCACCATCGGATTTATTTGGATCATGCAATGCAGACGGCAACTATAAGCATTCTCGTTCATATAGTAATGATCAATCATATCGAAAGAAAGATTACTGTAGGTTCAGATGGCCGTATTAGAAAATTTGTAAAGATAAGCTTAGTCGGACTCATGTTAATAAGGTAAATTTTGCTTTATAATTTTTTAATTTTTTTTTGTTTATTTTCTTCTATTTTCTGTTTTATTATCTACTCTTCTTTAATTCTTTATCTCTCAATTCGACGACAGTAAATCTGTCATGATATCAAAAACTCGAGCGGCTGCTGGGAATCCACCTGTAAATATATCCCCAAATGACTCCATGGTGAAAGGATCTGGTTTTTTGACATGGCGTCCACGTTCTCCGCGCATGATATCCCTAGCCCGGTGATACATGCAATAAGTATGCAATCCGGGCATAATCAAAAGGCCTCAAGCTTAAGAATATGATGTGCACGAGCCAGGAAACTTGTCAAGAGAAACGGCTCTCTCATCGAACGACAAGACCATAGCAGCATGGAACGTGAGAAGGTTTATGAACGTTGCAAGCCAAGCGATATCACTGCCCACACTCTTTAAATACCATTTCTAAATACTATTTTAGATTGTCCTTCCTATTATGGCGCTGAAATAGATAATTTTCATGGTTCAGACCATTTTATGGTTCGAGCCAAGATTCGTATAGAAGTGACGACTCAAATAACGGTGTGTTTCCGAAAGTCAGCCACTTCCACGCTATACGCTAGTTGGGTATTGGGCATACAAATGTCCGAGAAGAGTGCCAAAGCATGAATAAGGAGATCCCAACTACCGAATGCTTCGAAGAATACGACGACAGCAGCATGGCGAGATGAAACTACTGTTGGAGACCTTTATGGCCTTTCGAATGCCGCGAAATGGCCAATGATAGTGGATATCCAGAAACTACTTTCCTTTGACCACTTATGTATAAGATATATTTGAAGGATCCGCCGAGCGAATAAAATCTCACATAATTGCATCTATCTTCGCTCCGATACCACCTGCATTAATAGTACGGAGCGTCGCCTTCGCTGGTTAGGGCACGTTATTTATCATCCACCACAGAAGTTGACGCATATTTCGTTATTTGATAAATGCTATGATGGATGGCGTTAAAAGCGAAAAGGGCCACTCAAAACCTGGACTAATATAGTTAGCAAAGATTTCGAACGTATAGGTAGATGAACAGCAATATGTGGATTTAGAAGGTGAAAAAAAGGCTTCTATGAATGACACCGAAGCCATCGGAGCGAAGAGCTTGTAGAGGTTTTGTTCTTATAGTTAGCGGGCCAGCCGGACACAAAGTTATTACCACTATAATATTTCAGGAGAAATTTTACTTTTACCTTAAGCAGTACATAGCAAAAGCCTATACGTTATGGGTTTCTTTTGGTTAATCTTTCTCTACAGCTTCACCATAACACTATAGCCAGCCTAATTTTACATCGGACTATTTGTTTGGCAGGATTTGACTTTAGATGGAAAGCAAAAGAAAGAAAATCATCACTGTTCAAATCACGAATCTTTTTTTATTTTAATGCGTGCTTTCCGACAGTCATTCCGACACAAACTTTACGAAAAGGTAGAAGTGATAGAAAATAAACAAACTAACCGTGTACGTGTTCTTTGACTTGATAATTCGCACTCCTCTGTAACGAATCCATTTATCAAACAATATTCGACATGAAGGTGAAATCTTTAAACGATGATCAAGAAATTTATCATTTGTTAAGAAATAACCATCTAACATTAACGATGCCAACAAAATAAATAAATCGTCTTGAGATCTGAAGTCCGAATTAAATGAATTCTATTTTGTTCGGAAACTGATTCATATTAAATTCTACAGTTTCCATTAAAATTTTTCAAATGCCGTTGGTTTCGGGTAGATTGCAGTCTGGGGTATTTTTGCTGATTCTCCCATTGGAAATTCGTAGAAGTGAAATTAATAAATTTTTCCAAGGAAATTTGGTATATCGTTTCTAAATTTCCTTTTTTTTCTTGTAAAACTGTAATTTTAAAAAAATATGAAATTGTTATTCTTGTAAAAACTATTCCATTTGAAATGAATTCTTCGAACATGGAATAAAACATATGTAATGGACTCTTCAACTTTTTTTGCCCATTGCATAATGGAAACCTGCTGAACTATGGAGGAAAATTGTCAGTATGAAAGTAATTTGAAAGTTATTATGAAATATGAAATTAAAACAAAAAATGACAAAATCATCGAAAGATATCGTAATATCATACATACCTAAAATCGCACAAAAAAATCGAAATTCCCAGTTTCCGCACCCACTTTATTGAACGAGACGCTGGACCGTCGCGAGATATGAGAAAAATTGTGGTAAAATCATCATTAAGGCGTAATAAAAGTTTCTCTGGATTATTAGCACTATATATAGAATTCAAATAATCAACTACCAACGACCGTCCATTTTCCTCAAAACAAATTTAGTGAATGGAAGAAAAGAAATAAAATGCAAATTTAATATCTTTTTAACTTTTTTGTTCTTTATAAAAAATATGAATTTTTAAATGGATTGAATCTCTTAAAAATCGTCCTATGATACCTACATACCAAAGTTAATGAGAACATAGAGAAATTCAATGAATAATCGTAATAATCGTTTTTCCCAGCTTCCAGAATAGCGCAGGGGGCAAAATGGAGCTGGAATAAATTGAAGATTCGAAGTACGAAAGGCACTAGCACATTTAAAAGGTAAATTAGTGTTTATACACTTCTTTATCAAAAAAATATGCTGAAATTAATGCCCGATTCGCACGTAATGTTAAATTACTATTAACATTGCGTTATAGCTTCAGCCATACATTTTCGTCAAGATTTCATCTAAATTAAGAACGAAAGAACGATCTAAACTGCCCAAATAACTAAAAAATCACTTAATTTGAAATTACACTTAAGTTACACAGAAATTACATAGCAAAACAGTACAAAAATTTTATTTTTTAAAATCCACTGAAAATTTCGTACCTAATTAAATACATATTAAATATATTGTAAAATTACTGGAAAATTGAGCCACAACCACTTTCTTCAAAGCGGTTGAATTATATTCCTCGAGCTTCATTTTTCGATTTCTCGATTATTTTATTTGTGTCAGTTTTTGATTGCAAATCAATCACTTAATCAATAAGAAAAATGGTAACCTCGCTCTTTTATAGCTTTATAGCTTTTTATGCTCGCCCTGATCGACTTTGGATAGATAACCCAACTTTATATTTCTAGGATGGCTTTTTTCGTATATACAATCACTTTAAATTATTAGTAAATATTAAGAAATCAACAGCATATTTCAGTTGTATTAAGCATTACATGGATTATTTAATTATTTGATAAAATATTTAATATGGAAATCAGAAAAATTTTAATAAAATTAACTTTAAGTATTGTGTTGACATGTTTAATAAAAGCATTATATTCAGCAGGACTGCACAGTATATGACTTGTTATATTCGCTTTAATGTATTTCCTATAAATGAAATAAAAGAAATTTAAAATTAGGAAACATTTAAATTTAAGACTGTATATAATTGAACTTTTTAAAAACGAAAGAAATTAATAAAAAAAGTACTTCACATCATCCAATAGAATTTCTCTTTCTTCATTCGAAATTTTTGCTGCAGGCAAACAATTTCCACAAACACTACAAAATTTGTCAGTAGTCATCTTCGTTTTCTTCAAGTTCCACATTTTCGACTCCCTAAAAGTTTTCTAGGCCATGTTTTTGAAAAATCTGTTACCAACACCAAAAAACTCTATTTTTCTCATAAATATATACCTTAAATGATACATTGATACATACACCTTAAATGATTTATCAATATAAATGAAGTAAATATAAATAAATAAATAAATATATATACAATAAATAAAATCACAGGTTTACTTCATTTTTCTTGTAAGGAATTCTCAGTAGAATTCGAATACAATTTATTTCCACTCTACATTTTCAAGGTTTTGGTTTAAAACTATAGAAAGAAGGATGAAATTGTACGTTAAGAGAATAACCAAATGAAGATTTTTTTAAAACGAAGTAGACAGCTAACCTTAAAATTGTAATAAAGGCCGTTCTTTCTTCCGCAATCAAGGGTCGCTTTTGAAGCACTAAATGATCCAAAATTATTTCTGCTAAGATTGGCATTTTTGAAGATTCATTCGCCATTATATCAAGAAGAAGAGGCGAGTCAACGAGGATTAAGTCAGGCTTAGTGGATAGAAGATCCTCGAAAAATTTAATATTCCCGTCATTTATAAAACGCCCTGAAATTTCCATGCTTTTTAGTTAAAAAATTGTGGCATTCTATAAAAAAAACGCAAATATAAATTTGAACCACCTAAAAACGGTAATTATTATTAAAACAGAAAATATTAGAACATCGAAAAGAGTCACCTAATAAGCAGATAATAGCCTCATTTCGAAAAGGAAAATTTGGTGGAATACTGGGGAATGATGACAGCGGGTGACAACATTGCAAAAACAATGAAGCAGCTAATTTAAGAGGACCAACATTTCCAATTTTATCGACGAGAAATGAAAAAATATTCTCGTCTTCAGGCACATTAACTCGACTCAGATATATGTGAGTTAATGTAAGGCACATTGCCAATAGTGATAATGGATACGAAACATTATCTTTAATTAACCTAAAAATTTTTGCCATTAATTTATATACCAAGAAATTTCATTAAATAAAAAAAATTTATTTTTAAATACTCGATGAAACATTTAAAATCTCCATCACTTCATGAAGTTCGAAGATGTTATCGAATGTTTATTTTTAAATTCTACGAAAGTTATTTATATATTCATACAATATAAAAATATAAAAATTCTGAAAAAAAAATAATTTAATTTGAAAGTTCAGATAACTTTGTAAAACTTACACTTGCATATAAGTACGAGCTGAGCGCCAAAACTTCTTTTCGCAAAACGTTAAAAGAGCTCTTTTATCATCAGCAAATTTAGTAGTCTGTCGATAATATTCAACATCAACAAATCTGAGTGAATCTTCATGACTGATTTGCAATTTTGCAAATATAGAGGGCACCAAATCCTTTAATAAAGATAACTTGGAAAGAATCGCTTGGTTTCCGTGGCACTTTTCGATACCATAGCGACTAGCACTGATTAATAAGGAAATATTGAAGAGTTGAAGAGGGTGATATCGTAAATATAATAAGGGAAATATATTCTGCATGCTTATATGTAAATTGGTTGAAAGGGAAATAATTAAATGAGAAGAATACAAAGGAAACAGTAATAAGAACAAAAAAAGCAATAAATAAATAACTCTCTCACTACTGCTTACCCTCTCGTCACTACTGCTTAGTATTGTGCAAATAATTGAGAAGTACCGCTTAAAAATGATAAAGATTCCGCAATCAAGTTAAATGAAAAAAAGATTTGAAATTTAAAAATAGTATTCAACCTTATTCATAATAGAAGGTGTGGAATGACTGTTGATTATACCACAGAATAAGTTTGATGGAGCTAATAAAGTCTATAAAAATATTTAAAAAAAAAAAATAAATATTTTTTAAAAATCCTTCAGCAAATTTTAATATCAATAAAAAATAAATAACTAAAAACATTACGAAACTGAAAATCTCCGCAAACACAATGGATCTACACAATGTTTTTCCAGTAAAAATATTTTCGATATGAATGAAATTATTATTAAATAAAATAGCATTTCATTAAAATTTGGGAACCTTCCTATCAATTTTGTGAAGAATCAAAATTTTGAGTAAATTCATTGTCTGCTTTCTGAAAGCCTTCATTGGCAAGTTTCTTTCTATATTGTTCTATTCCACGGCGTTTTATAAAATGATTTATCTGAAATTTTTTAACAATTAACTTTTTTGGAGGATAAAATTTCCAGTTTTATTTTAAAAATTTTTGCAAATTCAATTCTAAGAAAATTTACTTAAAAATTTAAAGAGAAAAAATATTGTGTAAAATTTAGAAAAAAGATAAAATGAAATATTTAAGAAAATTGTTAAAAGCATATAGAATAATAAAAATAGAATAATAAATTGAAGAATAAATAAGTAAATAAATAATTTTATGACAAATTTTGCTTCATGAATTCTCTATAATTTAATATTTTAACTTAATTTTCTTAAAAAAAAATAAATTAAATGAAATATACCCAACTCGTCGGACAACTTTCTTCAAAAACTTTTTTTTCCTTCACACAGTTTTCTTCACCACGCACGTCAATACAATCAAAATATTTATCGCGACTTTCACCACAAATCTTTCTATCACTCTTCAGAGCCGAAAAAGTTTTTGACATAACAAATCCTGACTAAAATTTCGATAAAATTTTATTAAATATTTCACAAGACAATCATAAAACATTAAGCAATTTTTATTGAAATAATTTTATAAGTAATTTTTGCAATAATTTTTGTTTAGAAATTTGTTTAGAATTAGAAATTATATTATGATTTTGTATTAAATTTTTATTTTTAAAGAAAGATATTTGAAATTATGGAAATTTTTACTGAAAAATTGCTTCTTTTTGAAAATCTGAAAGCACTTTTCATTATTCCAAAGAAAAAAACTTCCCTAAAAAGCAATTCGGAATTTAAATTAAGATATATTTAGATAAATTAAGATTTTGAATAATTAAGATTTTAATGAAACTTTAAAGCAAAGCCTGAAAAAATCCATACTTATAAAAAAGCCTCCCCAAAAACTTTAAATGGAGATTTTAGTAAATAGGATAACTTCAAGGTTGTACTCGCATGTCTCATGCTTCCATGCTTTTTCTTCTAACCACTCAAATCCGACATATTTGTCTCTCTATCGTCCCTCTATTTATATTCTTATAGCTTCACTAATAATAAGCAAAAGTTGCTTCGTGTAACCGAAGTGTCGCATTTTTTAGACTTTCCAATGGAATTCTTTCATTCGGATAGGGGTCGGAGAGGAACTCAAATGAAATGCTATACTCAAGCCCAAGCATTTCCCGCGATTAATTGATTTAATTAATAAATAAAGAAGATAAACGATGAATGAAAGCGAAATATCCAGTGAAACTCACAAAGGATGTCCATTTATTTGAGAAATGAAACCATTTTCTCTACGAAACCCAGTAAATTAATAAAACATCCAAAAAACCCTCGAAATTACTCACCTCACGAACACGAAACAAATAAACCTAATACGACAATCTAATATTTAAAAGAAGTAGCAAATTCATTGTTCACCGTAGAACTGCATTCGTTTCGAGATTTTTTTCCGAAAATTACAGCACAGTTGTAAAACCCTCCAACCAACCAATGGATAAGTGTAATGGACTAGCATTTTCTAAATTACATTATTATATTGTTCATAATGAAGAATGAAGGAATGGAAGAGAAGGAGAAGGAAGAAGAAGAGACGTGATCTATTTATGCGACGTGCCAGGATTATCTTTCTTTATCTTTGTTGTAGGAGGAGGTGATAGGTTTAGAGGTGACCGACTTAACCTTTGAACTGCAAATTTGGAGATAAACCTTCTGAACAAATTGTAAAATCTAATCCTCTTCAAAACTGAATGAATGGAAAAGGAGTGAAGAGGAAAGAGCATTCATGCATGCGGTTATATTTCTATCATTTTTCATTCTTTTTCGGATATTTTTTGGCTGCAATTTTTGTTTTCTTCTGGCCTTGGTTCATAAAAAATTTCCGACTCGGTGATCAACTGGCATCATATGGCACAAATCAGAAAGTATTGGGCCAGAAAGTGCTGGGCTTTCGGCTTATTGCAATCTCTCTTAATGAACCACTCGTAATTACTCTTTTTTTTCGCTATTCGATTTCGCAGTGTTGCGTAGCATTAATTCATCAAATAGTTTAAATTTTTGCCTTTATTTTCCACGCAATTGGCATATAAATCATCAAAATTTGATTATTTGTCAAATGCATAGAATGAGATGTGATATAAGCATTGTAGGTTCGATTCGATTTCTGCCTTTTGACTGAAGAAAATCTTTCAGTGAAAGCGAAATCCGAGAGGTGCAGTGCAGTGCGGTGCACCACTTCCAGTGCCTCGGCCTCCTCAGGTGACGCACGTGCAACCGGACAAACCCTTCTTTCCCCACCAAAATTTTTGTGCTCTCTTTATTAAATAAATAAATATTCAACCAGTTCGTTCGAAATTTACAGAACCATTAACACGACCATCAACCATTTACACAACCATTTGTCTCAAACAAATCCTCTATGAATGCTGCGGAAGCGATTGTTTGCAGAAATTATTGAAAAAGTTTTCTTATTGCAATCTTAGAGAACAATCTTAGACATTTAATCGAACCGAAGATTTTTCTGATTATTATTTATTATTCACAAATAAATCTTTGTTATTGGATTAACCAAATCGAAACATTGGCAAATCACCGACATGTCGAATTTGAAGATGCGATGTGTCTGGTGAGCCTGTTCGTTGAACACGCTCGAGGAAACTGACACCGCTCACTGATTCCCCTGAAATCAATGGCTTTTGTAGTGTGTATAGTATAATAATAGGACTAACTTCGTATAATCAGGAATTTGTAGAAATTTTTCCACTAAGTAATAAACGCAATGAATGATTGATTGGTCTTAGGAATGAAGGATATTGCTTTGAGGAATTTTTGACAAGTGAATGCTATACTGCTTGTAGCAGGGATAGTATTGCTCAGTGGCTTGTTGCTCGATTCGAAGTGGCGATGCTGATATTCTATTTCCCGCAGGAGTGAACATTTCCGAAACTCGGGGTGATGCTGTCGATTCACCTGTATTTTTATCGCCAAGGGAGGACTTCCTGGCATATTTGTCCAGTGCGACAAGCCAGCGCAACGAGTTTAACCAGCAATGGTGAGGACTCTTGAAGAAAAGAATATTGCTTGTAGCATAGTCTAATAGGATTAAATAACTTTCTAACTTTCTAGCATCACTGTTAACTTAGTTCACTGGCGACCTAATGCAAAATGTTCCTAAGCCTCTTGGTCCGATACCAACCCTGAAACTAACTGAAATCACTCCCTTTCCACCCTTTAAGTCCATATATTGCTGGTCACTTATGCTTTCAAAATCAAAATCTGTGTGTGAATTCCTATGGTGAGCGATGAAGAAAATAGCCAAACAGGCGACGCTTAGTGAGTGACGATATTATTAATGTAGATGGTGTTCGAGCGAAGATGGTACGTAGGATGTACCTTAGGCAGGAATGGTCAAAGACAGACAGCTTTCTGATATTTTCCATCTCAAGATGCGAAATAAAATAATTGAATGATCTTCACTTATCTTTATTTCTACCCACAAGTAATTGGTCAATTTCTGAAGGTCAGTGCAGCCAGTCAGTCCAGAAATGATGAGTGCTATTAAGGGAAGAAATATTATAAAAATATTAAATCCTAAGAAACTCGTTAGACATAATGAATAACGTTGAATGCAAAGAAAAACCATTTCAAATTCATCATTTTTCGGATTTTTGGAGAATCGAATAGTGTTGTAAAAATTTAAATTTAAAAATTTAAAACTATTGAACTTTGAATTTGATTTTTAAATAAATAAACATACTTGGCAATTTTAAATAGTATGAATCGCTTTGTTCTTCTTCCATACTGCGTGCTAAACAATGATAATAATATTTAGTAAATAACAATATTAAAATGATAATGATAAATAATAACAGTAACAATAAAATGATAATAATAATAATAATGATAATAATATTTATAATGATGATCGTACTAAAGTATAAACGCACAAAGATGTTCTCAGTGGTTCTCATTTGCGTCATTTGTAATCTTTTAAAATGGAATATGATTACGTCAAAAAAAATTGAAATCTTTAAAAAATAATCTATTTACATCGTATAATATAAAATAAAATGACGCGATTTGAAAAAATCCATGAAATTAATTAAAAAAAGAATTAATTAAAAATAATTCGTGCATTTTCTGAAGTTGGATGGACCAAAACAAAGAAAAATTTATAAAATTTGAAAAGCAGATTTAACCACTTTTTTGTTATCCGTATTTATTTATTTATATATTTATTTATTTCCTCGTTTCTTTTACTTTTATTTTGTTTATGTACTTTTATTTACTTTTACTTACTTTCCATCTATAAATTTATTATTTTCGAGAAAATTATAATGGAAATAAATAATTCGATTTTTTTTAAATCAAGCAAAATATTTTTTTCAATAAATCTTTTTTTTGAGGCAAATTTTACCACCCTCTGAGAATATAAAAATTCATAAAAATTTCGTGAAATTATGTGATTTAAATAGCTGCTTTTTCCACTTTTTGCAAACATGGTTAAATCTTTAACTTTATGCAGGCACAATTAATTTCGAATAATTATCAATAATAAATTTAGCTAGCTGGAATTAGTTCAAATAAAAAAGAAAATATGTAAAATTACTAACGAAGCAAATATGTTTGAATAGGAAAGAATGCCGTTTCAGCTAAATAGAAAGAGAATGTTAGAAGGAATAGCTGATAAATATAATAGGTAATCATTTTAAATGAATTTGCTCCCCTGAAAAAACTTTTACTTATTTAGAATTTTTTACTTATTTTTGAAGAAAAAGGAAAAAACCGATTGAACATAAACTGAAATTCAAGTTTTCATTCAAAAAAATTTTTAATCTTTTATCATCGTAATTTACTTTCTTTATCTTCTTTCCAGATTTTCGAACTTTAAGACAGAAATGCCAAGTATATTTAATTACTTTATGGTTCTGATCTAGCTCCTGGCAAGACTAAGTCTGCCATTAAAAAATATTTGTGGCACTGAGGGCCCATTTGCGCCAATATTCCTAACCGATCCTTGGCAAAATTATCGTAATTACCAAAGGAGGAAGCGTAGCCAAATTTGCTGGCTGCTAACTACTGACTTGTTTGTTTGCTTATAGCCTTTTCTAAATTAGAATTAGAGTTTTCATAAGCATAATTTTTTTAAATTAAGTTTTTCCATTTTATTTATAGAATAATTTTCGACAATTAAATCACAAATCATAAATACGTGCTTGCTTGATTCATGGTGACTTTTGATAAATTAAAAAGAATTGAATTCAAAAGAAAAGCAGAATTTAAAAAATAAGAGGATTTAGGGTCGTCAAATTTCAAGATTTTTTTTGATTTTATCGATCTGAATAATCTTTCTTGAATTCTGAATGAATTTCTTAAATTTTTAAAATTCTGTGTTGTGAACTACAGTTTTTTTTCTGAGGTTGCTTATCATTTTTGGTTAGGCTTCGCTGGTCTGCCGGACCATAGAAGTTTTGAATCACTTGCCGACAAAAAGACAGATGAG